TTACTTTTTCCCATTCAAATCTTTCAGCGATACCATTAAGCAGCTCAGCTATTTGCTCATACTTCATAGGACGCAAAGTATTGACCTCAAAACCAAATTTCTCATGTTCTGTACCTATTCTGCAAACTCAGAATGTTAAGTTAGCAAAATGGAACATTTCCCCAATACACAAACTAAGAAATATGTCACAATTACTAACAGAACATATAAGGATCAAACTGTACCTATATTTGTCTTTAGTTTTGCATCCAGAGGCAAGATACGCAATCAGATCCTCTCTAGTCAACGGCTCAGTTGCAACGACAGCCTCTTCCGTTGGCGGACTTGCCGCAACAATCAATTGATGCCCTCTCTTGCTCATCTTAACAGAACGAAGAAGCATTGATTTGGTAGATAGACTCCTAGAGTAGGAGCTACCAAAAGCTTCTTTCATCCTCAACACATCCAAATTCCTCACACCACCAGAAACTGATTTAGTTCCAGTCTTTGAACATCCCAAAGGGACAACAGTGTATGATCCTCCTGCTTGTGACAAGAGCGCCATGGTATATATAGCTCCTGCAATTATAACAATCCACAAACATTCACATTTTTCTCAATTCCAATAAAAAAATAAAATCACATGATTGGAATCAGCAGCTTCCACACAATCAAATCACCCAAGAACAAATCAAAATTCAAGAATCACCAAACCAAAAACAACAACAAAAACCAAATCAAAGCAAAAATCTGCACAAATTCGACTCCAACCAAACAATAATCAAAACCAAAATCATGAGAAAAAAAAAAGAAGAAATCAATCACAAAGCGAAGAACAAGAGAAGCAAATCAGACCTGAAATTCGTCAACCTTGACGGAGATTGAGAGACACCGTCGAAATAAAGAAGAAAGCTAAATCAAGAAGAAAGCTTTAGAGCAAAAACGAATCGGCGGTTTCAATTTATATGCGACTGAGAGAAATGAGAAAATTGATAAAAAAGAAAGAGTGAGAGCATTAGCCGATCAGTGGAGCTGAGCTGTCTACAAAAGAAAGTGATAAATTAATAATCATTGTATAAAAGATTCTTTCGTTTTTTGCCTCTTACTTTTCCTTTTTTCACATTTTTTACCCATTAGTTTTTAAAACAGTGTATAATTATATTTTTTATTCTTTATACTATACTTTAAACGAGGTTTAACTTTACAATATTTAAATTAGAACGTAAAATAATGATAAGTGTGTCACTAACCAACCACATGACCTCAGATAAAATACTCTATAGCTAAAGAATTATACTATAAAAACAGTATCATTATCTATTGGCGTTTATGTTTTTATATTTCATACTTCTTAGTAGGTGGAATCAAATCCTGCTTTATAATTAAAAAAAATGTGAAATAAAAAACATGTGAATGGTAGATAATGAATCACCTTCAAAAGGTCTACTTGTGTAATTATATATAGATACGGGATGGAATTGAAAATATCCCAATTATAACACTATAAGGTTTTTTTGTCTATATTGTTCATGTAATTGGTCATTTACCTTATTTTTAGAAATAATTGTATTTTAGTAATAAACACAATTATGGCTATATCACCTAATTTTTTCTATCTGAGTTTGATTTTTGTATTCGTGACAAAATAATAGTAAAACATGTTTAGAAATTTTGTTAACTATTTGGTAATCTATTTTCAATGTTGAATTGAAGTAGATTTTAGTTAATATTTTTCCTCTTGCAAAAAAAACAAATGCTTTTCAAGAATTTGGTTTTCCTAAAATGAGAAAAACTAATTGTTGTGTTAAGTTTTTTTTTTTTTTTTTTTTTTGAATTGTAAATCGAGTTTGTTATATTTTAAAATCCTAAAAAATCGAGTTTCATTCTAATTTCATTATATCACACAAATGACTCTATTTCTATTTTACTACAAGTCCTAATTGTTTTGCATATCGATACACTTATAAGTTATGAAAATGTGCTAAAAAGAACATGTGGCATTAGTAATTTATTTATTTGATATCAATTATGGCTGCCATTGAAATTAGCCAAATAGATGCAGAATTGCTTGCGTGTGCATATGCGTAACTTAAGTAATAAAAACTCTTGTACTGACAAAATAGAAAAACAATAAAAAAAACTCTTACAATTGTGCACTTCTATGTTATATATTTAAATTAATATCAATGTATATTTTATAGAACATGAATGAATAAGTTATTAGAAGAAGGTAAGGTAGGTGGACACGTGCGTGACTCAAATATGGCGGCCATGACTTCTACTCTCCACACAACCAAAAGCCCTTAAACGGAACCCACCTCCACAGTTTCTTCCTATTTCCTATCGACATTCGTCACGTCGTATCACGAAAACTTATCTTCTGATAAAAAAAATTAACAACTAAACATTTGACGTAATAGAAATCTTATTAATATTTAGCCGTCAAAATTAATAAAAACTAAAAGATTAATGGTAGCCGTCAAAATAAAAAAAGATAGCCGTCAAAGAGTGAAGTCAGAAACTCTAAGGTGTGACTGGTTATACATTATAGAAGAAAAATAAAGGATAAACAAATAATTCTTCTGTATTCTACTAAAAATAAACCAATCAAGTAGAAAAGAAAAGATTTACTTTTCTTCTCAGTTCTTCCAAAAAGTGACGTAAAATGAAGAAACTTTTCAATTATAAAATACATGGTATACAAAATTCCTCCAGTTTGTACTTTTATTTTCTTCTGTTTTCTTCTGATTTTTTTCTTCCTTTTTCTTCTAACATTTACCAGTCATAGCCTAAAATGATACGGAATTAAGCTGGAGTGTGCTTTGCAGACTCTTTAAATTATCTTTTCCTTCAACATTTTTTAATATCCACAAGAAACCCTAAACTTTCGATTTCACATTAAAGCCCCAATTTTCAGCACAAAGTAACTAAATGCATCACACATTGACACATACATACATAGTACTTAGTTAATTGCGCTTATAATGATTTGAATTTACCAAAAGATTTTCTTCCTAGGGATTTAAAGCAAAGTAACATCTGGGATTGTCATAGGCAAGCCCAACTCATGTATGTCTCAACGAAGCCGAACTACACATATTGCAGAGGTAGATGATACACAATCTTGAAAGTTGTTCTATTTGAACTCGGCCTATTCAAGGCCCATGAGGAAAACCTATATAGGTAACATCGAGCTGCAACATTCCGGAGCTCCTCACTCAACCAGGCCCAAGTCACATCAGTTTAGCTCGTGATGGCCCATATAGTTTGAACAAGTCAAATAAAACGGGCCTATCTAACAAATTGAAAAGGGGACCTTATATTGGTAGACATCGAGATGGGGACGTTATGATTTGCATGGATTGACCAAGGAACACGGGTATAAAATGAGGAGGAGGTCGTATAGACCAAGGTCACTTCTTTCTAGAAAACAAGCTAGAAAATAGACCAAGAGCTTTTTTTAATTTCAATCTCGTTTTATCTTTGTAAATCAGTTCGATTTTCATACTAATCCACGGATATTAACCTCGATTCTTTCTCACGATTTAAAATCACCTTAACGGATATTAACATCGAGGCGAATTAACTCAGTGTGTACTGATAAAAAAATTGTACTCGAAGAGTGAGGGCCGAGGCACACGAGGCACATTTAACAGCCGAAAGAATGAAGATCAATCAAAACTTTAAAAGATTATGGATCTGATTATGTGAAATCCAACCAAGTGTCGTTAGCTCAACTGGTAAAGATCCTAGGCGAAGCTTAGAAGTCGCCGGTTCGAGTGACGCTTGAGACGAAACTAATATTACATGATGTGGTTTCGGGCCTGGGGGATTACGGGTTTCGGCCCAGAACCTCCTGGTATTCAAAAAAAAAAAAAAAGAAATCCATCTCAAGAGAGTTCATTGTTCTAAGACATATTTTAAAAGGTTTATTGGTTTTGTCTTATAATTTAGATTTAAAAACACTCCCTTCTAGTCGAGTTTCTAGTTTTTCTTTTGATGCTTCGATGACTAAAACACTTTACTTATAAGTTACAAGTTTTTTCTTAAAAAAAGTTAAATCTTTTTCAAATTTAAAGATTTTTAAAAAACAATTCAAATTCATTGAACTAAGACAATTGTTAAACTTGTTTGTTAAGGTTAACTGGTTTAAGAGATATTTGTCTAATCATAGAAGCATAAAGGAAAACAATAGAAACTTGACTATATAAGGAGTTTTTTTTTTAATGCAATTTTGAGATAAAAACGAAAAAATAAATAATTAATGTCTTAGAACTTTGACCTGTCTTGAAATGTATTTGACATAATAAGATACAAAATTTCATTTGATCTCCATTAGCCTTCTTTAGATTAAAATAATGGAAAGTTCATATATAATAAATTTTACCAAATAAAAAGAAATTTTATTTTCTATGTTTAAAAAATCTAATACCATAAACATTTACTGTCAAAATCTTTTCCTAACTAAGTGTTTTTTAAAAATGCTATATACTTATGTTTGGTAGCCCATGTTTTTAAGTCCAAAGTAAAAAAAAAGGTAAAATATCGGACTGCAAAATCTATTCCTAACTAAGTATTGGAGACAGATATTTTACCTTTTTTTACTTTAGACTTAATAAATTATTATGAAGAATTATATTACTTTTTTCAATTAGATAAATAAATTAATTAATAATTTGTAATTCGAACCGGGATACATGTTTACATGAGAAGAATTGAAATTTCAAACTCTAGCATACCGAGTTAAACTATTAAAAATAGTATAAAAATTATATCGCACCAAATTTTGAAATAGATGGAAACTAGTTTAGAGACTTCCGATTCGGCCCACCAAACGGTCCGATTTAAAATTGCAACACTAATCTAATATTTTTCTTTTTCGTATTTTACGCGCGAAAAGAAGACAAAAAAATTAAAGCCGTTACCCTCCATTTTGAGGGTTGTAAAAGCCTCCATTTTGAGGGTTGTAAAAGCAAGGAGAAAAAATCTATATATCTAGATTCCTCCAAAGACACTTATAAGTTCTCACAATCTTTTATCTTTTATATATTGTCTCTCTCACTCTCTCTTGTTGTGAATTATTTCCTTTGATCTTTCAGGTTTGCAAGTTCAATGACGAACAAATCTCAGCCGTCAAGTTTATCACCAGATGAGGCTTCTCCCCTTCCCCAGCAGCCTTGCAAAGCTCTTCCAAATGGTGAAGCAACTGGTTCGCAAATGAAGCCGTCGAAAACCAAAAAAGCCCCCTACAAAGCTCTTCTCATTAGAGCTCGATCACCAGACTTTGAGGAATATTCATCGGAGAGTGAATATTCCTCCGATGAATTTTCCTATGAAGCGGATGGTGAAGCATCCGATTCATCATCAGCGGGTAGTGATGCAACCGATGTGAAGCCGATGAAGAACAAAACTGCGAGAAAAGCTCCAATATCGCAAGAACCAGAAGCGGGGATGGAAATCGAAGAGCCAGCCAAGAGGAGAAGGATCTCAGAGAAGGACGATGATTCTGAAGATACCATGTCCTGGGAACCAGAAGTTAAGAAGACTCCTTGAAAGAAAATTTCGTCAGAAGAAGCATAAAGTAAATCCAAGGAGAAACCATGACCATGTTCTAAAATTTTAGTTCTTATCTTTTATTTTCTGAATTCTGATTTGAAATTCTGTGTTCTATCATAAACATTATCAACTTGCTGAGAATTTTAATCCAATATTTTCTTTTGAGCCTTCATCGTCTTTGATTCCAAGTGTTGTTAGTGTACCAATGAGATTTGGGATTCTCTGTCTTTCTTTTCTAAAAAGTTCCATCCATATACAAACGATGCATGTTGAGAACATAGCTTTTTTTTTATTTAAAGAGTTTAATGGCTAAGTTAATTAGATGGTTGGAGTTTGTTACAGTGGATAAGAAGAGGCTTAAGCTAAACCACTTAATTTATTCATTGACTTGTAAATGTACACAGAACACTTTCTTGAGTTTTTCTTCTTAGTCTCAAGTTTTATTTATGTTTGATTATCGAAAATCCATCATAAGAGGTCCATGTAACCTACAATTAAATAAGAACACATGATTTTGAATAGGAAAGTTGAAGATGTCAATGAAAAAATCTTGACCCAAAAATCTATTTCACATATCCAAAATTTCCAACTAATATCAAACTTTAAGATTCAGAAACCTAAAGATTTTCTCTGAATTCTCTTTATTGAAGATAGTTTCAAATTCATTAAGCCGCCAACTCTCTCACAAACCCTAGAAATGTGAGAAATTTCTTGAACGGTGAATCTAAGAATTCAGCTTAAACACGTGAGTTAACCATTTGTGTCGTGTTTATTGTAAAACGCCATTTAAGGTGTAATTTTTGTATAATATATTTTAATAGACATTATTATTATTGGAAAAATGGCAAATGACAGTTCATAGATTTCAAATTGTTATTAACTAGGAAAAAAGAAAATTAGTGGTTTTGTCCCTATATAGGTTTGCTTTTATTGCTATTCAAAGGAAATAACTATATATATATATATATATATATATATATTATTTAGTGATTTCAAACTTTTTTAAAATTTTCCATTTTTTAAAATTTAAAAGTAAAAAAATAACACATATATTTATTGTAATAACTAATTATGTATATTTTTTTTACCTAGAGATATGATTATTAAAACCAATTTAAAAGAAAAATGTTTCAGAAAGAACATTACAGAAATCATATCAAATATATCTATTTGTAAAACGAAGCCAAGACATATCCAAACATAGGTCTGGTGGGATAATAATCAGGTACAGATTTGAGTAAAAAAAATTTTTGGTGTGTATAAAATGAATAATCTAAGTGATTTTTTAAGTTTCATGTAGGTTAAGTAGCTTTCTGTTGGTAATTTTTTTTAGTTTTTCGGGAATATGTTTACCATACAAACCCCATACTGTTGATATTGTACTTGTATATGTTATGAACTTATGATTAAAGTGTAAACATGCGTCGATGAAATTTTAAAATCCGTTATAGATAGATACATTTGTGGGTTACTTGTCTTATCCCGTTACTCGCTATAAATATTCAACTGCCGAGACGATTTATTACATAGTAATTTTGTTTGTCAGCTGACTTATTACATATTTAAGTAATTTTTTGTTGGTAAATTCTCCAGTTCTTTTTAAAATTTGAAGATTCTTATTTTTAGTGGTGAGTACAATTGAATATTTTTGGATTTTGTTTTGGGTGATTCAATTTCTAGGTTGCCCAAATTATTCATCATTTATCTATTTAATATGAAATTATTATAAGGGATTGTTTATTAGGATACACAAATATATACAATATTTAATATAATACTTGTATCTTTTTCACTATATATAACCCGCATGAGAAAGATGTTGACCAAAGAGATTTTAACCCAACAATTGAATGAAGTGTTGATGAGCAAAGATAAAAATGTCCCATTTCCAAGATTGAGGGATTTGAAGATGATCACCACCAAAGAAGTGGAGATGGAGCAGCAAAAGCGGAAGATGGAAAGTGAGGAAATGCTAGTGAATAAGAAAACAAAGTTAGAGTGGAGACCGGAGGATTGTGCTCAGGCAATTGGATTATCCGATAAGTGTACTGGCGAGGGAGAAAAGAAGAAATGTCATTACAAAGACATTTCAGTTTCATGCCAATATATATGGACTGGTGAGTTTTGTTTTGCTTCTCAGATTATGTTGATATAAAGGTTTTGACTGATTACAACATTTATCTAGTACTTGAAATGTGTTTGCGAAAAAAGAATGGACAATACAAGGAACAATTTGGATACATACTATTTCTATTAGATTTTTTTTCTTCTTATTTTTTTTAGTTATTGTATTACCATTTGTATTAGATTTTTTTCTTCTTATATATATATTTTTTTTTTGCATAGGAGGACTCAGTGCTACTGGTTCCAGAGGATGCAACCCAAAAGCCCTACGTTGCGATCATAAAGGTTGGAAAAAGAAGAAAATTTGATATGATTTTCCAGTTGTTGTCTTATCGTAATCAAATTATTTGCTGGACAGGATATTTATATACAAGAAAAAGAAGAATATGTGAAGCTTGAAGTGCAGTGGCTTTATCGTCCAGAAGATGTGGAGAAAAAATATGTCGGAAAATGGGAACCCAAAGACTCAAGAGACCTCTTCTATAGTTTCCATCGCGATGAAGTGTTTGCTGAATCTGTAAAACACAATTGTGTTGTACATTTCATTCAAGAGATTAAGCAAACCCCAAACCGTAGAAAGCATCCTGGTTTCATCGTGCAGAATGTTTATGATAATGTTAAGAAGAAGCTTAGGAAGCTCACTTTTAATGGCTTTGACTTGCAGCAAAAGCGTGAAATAGGTCATCTTGTGGAAAAGACAATTTTGAGAATTGGCCATCTTCCTAACATTGTGAAGGAGCAAAAGATTTTGATCTCGAGGAGTAAAAGATCTGTTCCTCAAAGTTATATTATAAAAGAGGTGGAAACAAGTCGTGAAAGCAATAATGTGGATAACTCGCTCTTGGAAAATTTTGATTTGTTGACCGGTGATTCGGATCGTGACAAGAGTTTGGAAGAGCTTCTGGAAGTAGTTAAGCCTAGTTGTCGTACAAGTAAAAAGAAGCAAGCGGGTGATTATGATTATTTCTGGCCAAATGATGTCGTTTCGGTTGTGAGTGCTCTTGAGCAGGCTTTATATGATTCTTTGAAAGAAGATATACCAAAGTATAGTAACAAGTTGGAGATTCTGGTTGGTAAACTCAAGGTCAGCTTAATTCATTTTTTAAGTTAGCTGTTACTTTCTTCGTTTATCTTCACCTTTTTTTGTTTTTTGTGGTATTTGAGTGCTTTGTTTTGATCTCTTATTTTTTGTTTGCAGAACTCACGAGTGCTAGCTAGACGACTTCTTGATGGCGAATTAAAACCTGAACAAGTTATAAAGATGACGTGCTATGAGTTATTGGTAATCTCTTTCAGTCACAGACTTCTGAATCTTAATTTTAAATGTTATTTTTGCTGCCTACAATATCGGGATAAACTTCAAAGCGGATTCTTTTAGTGAAAATGGAATGTTTTCTGATGAACCAATACTACTGAACCTGAATCACAAACTAGTTAATAATTAATCACATCTTTAATGATTTTGACATATTAAAGTAACTAAGATTAGCTTTTTTTTTTTCCCGGGATCCGCGTGGTTTCACTTTTGATGAATTAAAGGCCGACTTGAAAGAACCAATATTGGAGAAAGATGCTTCTTCATCCACCTCCAGAAGTGTTGCGCGCAAAGATTCTTTCGAAGATTAAAGATGTAACTAAGCCCTTAAATAATATATTTAGTGTTATCTTGCTTCTTCCCTTTTAAGGATTTTTTCCTAAATTGTTCTTTCAAACTATGTTGCAGATCATGACTTATTATGTAAACTTTCAACTATTAAAGTTTAGATATTGTTTAGAGTGTCATATTGGTACTAACATGTGTTAGCATGTATGCAATTGAATAACGAATAAAAAATATTGTATGTCTTTGTTTTTATTTCTGGATAATTTGCTTCATATCATAGATTCATAGAACATAGGAGATTTTGTAGCACTATGTTCTTATGTTTTCTTTCAGTATTTTTACGTAAGTAAACAGTTTTTGAGACTAGGCTTGCGTTTTTATAGTTTTTCTTCCTTCGACATCGAAACATATAATAAACGGCAGAAAATTCTATAGTTTTTCCACGATCTCCCTATTTGATTCCCGTTCTTAATTCACATGTCCTAATTTTCTCTATTGATCAACAAAATTTTATTTTTCCTTTCCTTCTTATATATTTTATTTTATTTTATTCTCTGTTTCCGGAAAATATATTCATTTTTACACTAGTTTTAGATTTTTCGATAGAGAAAATCAATATCAAACCAAAAAACACGTCACCGTTTTTTTGTACACATAGATAGATTTGGGTAAACACAAGTACTGCGTGACTGCCTAATTTTAGAGCGTTACTTTTGTACTCATAAACCAAATAAGTTCATTGCATTTGTACAAATGGCAAACGACAGTTCATAGAATTTTGAATTGTCGTAATTTAATTACTAGTTTACAAGAAAAGAACATGAATGGTTGACTATATCTAATTTTACTTTTATTGCTAAGAAAAGGACAACAATTCAAATTTCATACTATAAAATATTGTTTATTATGCAAAACTCTTTTCTCATTTCTCTTTTTTAACATCTTTTTCTTTCTTCTTAGGTATCTATTTATAAGTGGAAAAAAAATCACATTTATGGTATGAAAGAATTAATTCTTTATATTGTCTTTACCTAATAGTAATTCATTTATTAATATAGGATATAAGAAGCGGGAAAAGGGGATTTTCATACCTGTACTATCTGCACCGTGGATTTTCATACCTAGACAATTTCGTAGGGTATTTTACAACCTAAACTTCAATAAAATTTGAATCTCATACCTATACTTGATACAACGTGCAAAAATCGGAGTCAATCTAACGGGTGTTAGTCAACTCTGTTACGGTGCTGAGTCATCGTACACGTGTACGCTGACGTGTATCAAAACGACGTCGTTTTCATACCCGTACTGTCTGCGCCGTGGATTTTCATACCTGAACAATTTTGTAGGGTATTTTACAACCTAAACTTCAATAAAATTTGAATCTCATACCCTATACTTGATACAACGTGCAAAAATCGGAGTCAATCTAACGGCTGTTAGTCAACTCCGTTACGGTGCGTATCGAAACGACGTCGTTTTGATATGTGTTCTCAAAGTTTCAATTTTTTGCAAAATTAGGGACTCGAACCCGCGAGCCGTAGTCACATGAGAAGCACCGAATACCAATTGATCCCACAACGTTCATCGAGTATTCCTCAATCTTTTTTAACTTATAAACCCAAAAAGTTGTGCGAAGCCGTAGTCACATGGTAAAACTTTGTTCATGCCTAATTTCTGAGAAGAAGAAGAAGAAATGAGAAAACGATTTCTCAATTCGAAACCCTAGTATTCATAATTTCCTCCCAATTTAAAACGATTGACTACGGCTCGCGGGTTCAATGAATGTTGTGGGATCAGTTGGTATTCGGTGCTTCTCATGTGACTACGGCTCGCGGGTTCGAGTCCCCAGTTTTGCAAAAAAATTTAAAACTTTGAGAACACATATCAAAACGACGTCGTTTCGATACGCACCGTAACGGAGTTGACTAACAGCCGTTAGATTGACTCCGATTTTTGCACGTTGTATCAAGTATAGGGTATGAGATTCAAATTTTATTGAAGTTTAGGTTGTAAAATACCCTACAAAATTGTTCAGGTATGAAAATCCACGGCGCAGACAGTACGGGTATGAAAACGACGTCGTTTTGATACACGTCAGCGTACACGTGTACGATGACTCAGCACCGTAACAGAGTTGACTAACACCCGTTAGATTGACTCCGATTTTTGCACGTTGTATCAAGTATATGTATGAGATTCAAATTTTATTGAAGTTTAGGTTGTAAAATACCCTACGAAATTGTCCAGGTATGAAAATCCACGGTGCAGATAGTACGGGTATGAAAATCCCCTTTTCCCTATAAGAAGCAATTTCATCGTTTTCCTACTATCTTTATGGCCCTCAGGCCCATGAGGCCATGATACACGGCCTTATCTCAATCCTAATGGGGTTGTACATAACAAATGCACATTATTTTCTTGCCGACAAAGGACCAAGAACTAGGGTTTTGGCATTGCTATGATTGCTTGCTTGCCAAGCAGTTAATCATCAAAAGTGAGTGGGTTCACGTAATTTTTCACCCATCAAATTTTTTTCCCTTTTTCGTCTGAAAGAATCTAAATGATTTATAACCTTTCTTGGTAAAATCTATGGATATGATTCGATTGATGGTTCAGTTTGTTTTCTTCGAAATAAATTTAGATGTTGTTTTGCAAGAGAAAGCAATGCGAATTGTAAAACAGCTAAGAGTCTTCGCATTTCTTTTTTACGTAATTCGTCTTCGATAGTGGTTGCTATCGTTTTCTCGATGTTGACTTCGTCTCATTGTCTTTGTTTTTTTCCTCGTGGACCATTTCTTTTTTGTTTGTTCCAATTATGAATCTCTGCCTTACGAGAGAATCTATAGCCAGCGATATAATTGTAAAAATTTGCAGTTGACTCAACCAAAAATCGACACACGAGTCAACCCAAGAGACATTTAGGGACCAACTTGTAAATTATTTGTACATTTATATGCAAACCATTCAAAACACTGACCTCAAATCTAGTAACATTTTCCTAGATTAGAAAATGAACACAAAAATCTAAATCTTGAATTTACAATTATTTATGGTTTATGAAACGAGTTTGTCTTTAACGAGGAGCTACAATAGTAATCGATGCAGCATCAATAGAACAACAGAGAGAAGACTTATCCATCGATGGACCTGCTTCTTCATGCTTACTCCGGAAGAAAAATCCAGGTGGTTGAGGTACATCTAGGGCGATCGAGCTAGTAGTAAGCATTTGTACGATCGCTGACATGGTTGGACGATTTTCAGTATCTTCTTGGACACATAATAAGGCAATGTGGATGCATCTAATTATTTCGTTTCTTTGATAACTCTCTCGAAAGGACGAATCCACGAGCTCTAGTGGTGACCCGTCACTCCATAGCCTCCAAGTCTATTGAACAATTTAAGACTTAAAATCTTTGTGACTATTTTGTAAAGAAAAAAATAAGTAGCAGATTTTATAAGTGTTTATTTATACTCACATATGTAACCAAGTTTCCGAAACTAGCATCCATCTGATAGAGGCTGCTGTTTTTCTTCCCGCTTATAATCTCAAGAACTAAGACTCCGAAGCTATAAACATCAGATTTCATTGAAAATTGGCCATACATCGCATACTCGGGAGACATGTAACCACTGCCACAATACATATATGTTTGAGTTAATAGGGGATTTTTATATTTAACAGATGGCAAGACCAAAACTTACTAGGTTCCGACTACTCTTCTCGTATGGGCTTCTGTTTGGTCCATTTCGAAAATCCTCGCCATTCCAAAATCTGCAACTTTCGGGTTCATATCAGCGTCCAAGAGGATGTTACCTGCTTTTAGGTCTCGATGTATGATTGTGAGTCGTGAATCTTGATGTAGATACAAAATTCCTCTAGCAATTCCTCCTATGATCTTATACCGTGTAGTCCAATCTAGCTGGCTCTGCATTCTAGAATCTGCACATCCATATAATTAGTATGTCTAAAACATGAGTTCCAAAATGAAATATCTTTCCTAAGCTAAAACTTACCAAACAAGAAGTAATCAAGACTTTTATTAGACACAAACTCGTAGACAAGTATTTTCTCTTCCCTCTCTAAACAAAATCCAAGAAGCTTGACAAGATTTCTGTGCTGAAGCTTTGCCACAACAAGAACTTCGTTCTTGAACTCTTTCTCACCTTGTCCTGATGTTTTCGATAGTCTCTTCACGGCAACTTGTACTCCATTAGGAAGTATGCCCTAAGAAAATAGTGAATTAAACAGAGTCATCCCCTGATTAAATTCTCTAATGAAACTAATTAGGAAGCTTAATGAACTGGTAGTAGTACCTTGTAAACTTGTCCAAATCCACCTTGACCGAGTTTGTTACACATCGAAAACTTATCTGTCGCAGCTTCAATAACCTTAAAATCAAACTGCAGTGATCCTGCAGTTGTAATGTCATCCTCTTCTGCAAAAGATTTAAGAATTCAAATCCATAAAGTTTAAGCAACACAAACATAGATTTTGGAATCTTTACCATCATTTGCAACTTCTGTATCAGAAGGCTTCTTTGCTCTCTTTCTTACATGGAAGCTAAAAACAGCCACAAAAAGAAGAACACATATAGCGACCGGCACAACAATTCCTATGATTATCACTTTGGAATTTTTGCCTTTTCCTGCATAAGTCTTAGATTAGACATGACATATAATTTCCCAACTTTTGAATGTCTCAAACCAAAATAACTATTATGTAAATGCATAAGACAGAGCTCTTACCAGGCGGCAATGGAGGAGCTAAAACCAGTGGCAGTGGAGGAGCCGAAACTGTCGGAGGAAGAACAGTTCCCTCTACGGTTTCCTTGTAGAAAGGGTAAACCTCGTACCTTGAGTTACAACTCGGGACAAGAAATCTTCCTCCGACTTTATTGAAATATAATTCCTTGATGGATTGTTGAAGACAACTTACGCAATCTTCACTTGTCAGATCAGGAATGCACTGAACCGATGCATAAAGAGACTGAGACGAACTGAAATCCGACTTCTCAACCGCGAATTTCTTGCTTGTACTATTAGCCGCTTCCTCTGCAGACTTTTTCATCAGAGAAACCACTGCATCATTGAACCGGTCGGATTGGTCCGCGGTAACATTCTGAGTGTTCCAAGTGATTATACTAGTTGTGGTTACAGTATCCATGAATATATTCCTGTCTGAGTATCCAAGCATGCACTCATCATACTGAATCAAGAACTCTTTCCCACCAGGACATCGACTCCGAGTGTCTTTAGTAGCAAAGATGACGCAGTCATGGCAAGCTTCCGGCGAGAGATCTCCTTTACAAAGATAAAGTCCGAACACCATGTCGGAGTTTTGACCCTTTGTGAGACTATGAGATCCCAAAGAAAAGTAAGCATTGTTAGAAGAAAGAGAGGTCAAAAGAATTTGGAGATTTGAGAAGTAAGTGGAGTTTCTTGATATTCTGTTAGTGCAAACATGGCCAACGTAAGTCGGGTCTTGTAATTGTGCAGAAGCTCTCAAGCTTGCAATGAAGAAGGTGAGAAGGAAGAGAAAGTTTAATGAGGTATAAGCAGACATTATCCAATTTCTTCACCTTTCCTCTCTGTTTTCTTTTTTCTTTCTTTCAATGATTGGTTTATGAGTACTACTAATGAATGAATGTGAAACCAGCCAAGCCAGTCAAATTTTGGTTTTTGTAAAATAATACAATTTCTTGCAAGTCAAGGTCAACTAGACGAGTAACATCAACTTGTATTGTTAATTAAAATGAATCAACTATATAAATGTTAGAATAAAACATGTGAAAGCGAGAACCAGAGAAAATATAATTTGAAATTTTGTAACTATTCTATCAATCTATTTCCGGAAAAAGATAAGCATATTGGAGTTGGATATTTAATAGGTTGGTGATTATTCAGCTAGCCGCGGAGACTTTGGGTCAATAAGAGAGCACCGTTAAACTTCCGTACCTGACAAGTAAACAAACCAACAATTATAAGTTAAAAACAGTAATTTCCCAACCCTAGTTCGATTCAGTTTTGTTGGGAGTGGGCTTCGCCCCATAAACAGGCCCTGCCTAAATCCATCAAAAGAGATAGAATCAGCCCAATCCACCTCATCAGTTTAAAAGAGTATCTTTTCAGTTTAAAAGAGTATTTTTTTTTAGTACTTTACCTTGTTAACTTTACAACTGCATGTGTATTAGATTTTCAGAGTCATTTTGGGAAACAAGGAACTGAAACATGCCTATTTGCATCATTTTCATCTCACAAACTCCATAGCTTCTTGCGCAAGACAAGTACTTACCTAGCACATCTCTGTTCCAACAAAACATACTGTCGAGGAATAATTAACAGTGACGCAACTTTTTTTTGTCATCATTCTCCGGTAAATAAAACTATAAATTTGCCATGCAATACAAGGAAAAAAAATAAATAAAAGAGGCGTTTACTATGACTTTGACAGACACAAACCATCCTCTACTTCACGTTAATCTACAGTAGTAGAGAATAGAAGTTATAAATGGGAGCTCCATGATTTGAAACCCAAATCAGGGAAGTCTAGCCATGCCTCTTAACGCCTCTTTCATATTCCTTTTCCTTTTCTCCCTCCTCACTAGCTTCAAAGCTTTTGCTCAGAAGCCCACTTTCACATACAATCATTGTCCAAATACGACAACTTACTCAAGGAACAGCACTTACTTCACCAATCTCAAAACCCTTTTATCGTCTCTCTCCTCCCCCAATGCCTCTTATACTCCACCGGATTCCAAAACGCCACGGCGGGGCAAGCGCCCAACAAGGTCACCGGACTTTTTCTCTGCCGCGGAGACTTGTCGCCGGAAGCTTGCCGCAGCTGCGTCATCTTTTCCGTCAACCAAACCTTACTTATGTGTCCGAATGAGAGAGAAGCCGTGTTCTATTACGAGGAGTGTATGCTCAGATACTCTCACAAGAATATTCTATCGACCCTTATATACCATGGAGGATTCATCATGACGAACCCCAATAATATTTCATCTCATCTAGAAGACCGATTCGGAGATTTTGTATCGTCCACGATGAACCAAGCTGCCGAGGAGGCAGTGAATAATTCTAGGAAGTTCTATAAAATAAGGGCCAACTGGACCGCACTCCGGAGTTTGTACGCACTGGTTCAGTGCACTCCTGATCTTAGAAGACAAGACTGCTTGGCCTGTCTGCAATACTCCATCAATGGAATGCCTCTTTACAAAATCGGAGGAAGACTTCTCTGGCCAAGCTGTAACTCAAGGTACGAGCTTTACCCGTTCTACAACGAAAGCGTCATTGAAGCACCACCACCGCTGGAGTCGTTGGTGTCTACTCCTCCGATGGCATCTCCTTCATTACCTGGTGAACTCTTTCTCCTTCCTCTGTTTTTTTCCCCTGATTTCTTGAAATTAGTAGTACCAACAGGGAATCCTTTCGATTGATTATATATTTTTTATACTTCTGTTTGCCATTGATGTTTGAAAAAACAGGGAAAGGTAGGAATTCAAACGTGTTAGTGGTAGCCATTGTTGTGCCTATTATAGTGGGTGTTCTGCTTTTCATAGCTGGTTATTGTTTCCTTGCAAAAAGGAAAAAGAAGTCTTTTGACACAGCACCTGCATCTGAGGGTAAAGATTTAATAAACAATCTTAACTGAGTTTGATTAGTGGTCATTTTCACCAGCCTCTTTAGCTGATTACTAAAACATTTATTGTGAAGGAGGAGATGATATAACAACCGCAGACTCACTACAGCTCGACTATAGAACAATCCAAACTGCAACAAATGATTTTGCAGAGAGTAATAAGATTGGTCGAGGTGGTTTTGGTGAGGTTTTCAAGGTATAATATGTTACTATGAATTCTTTAGCTGCACCCTAGGTTGAGTACTTTGTGTCAACACATTGGATTACAAGATGATGCTGATTAAAACTTTTAAACGGATAGGGCACATTGTCAAATGGGAAAGAAGTTGCGGTGAAGAGATTGTCGAAAAATTCAAGACAAGGCGAAGCAGAGTTCAAGACCGAGGTTGTTGTAGTTGCAAAGCTTCAGCACAGAAATTTGGTTAGGCTTCTTGGGTTTTCGCTACAAGGAGAAGAAAGACTATTGGTCTACGAGTATATGTCCAACAAAAGCCTTGATTACTTACTCTTTGGTCAGTTCAATTTATTGCTTTGTTTCAATGATTCTTTAACCATTCTTGAAACTTTGGGTTGCTGATCTTTAAACTTTAACTCATGGATGTGCACAGACCCTACGAAGAAAATTCAGCTGGGCTGGACTCTACGATACAAGATCATTAGAGGGATTGCTCGCGGGATTCTATATCTTCATCAAGATTCACAGCTCACAATCATACACCGTGACCTTAAAGCAAGTAACATTCTCCTAGATGCGGATATAAATCCGAAAATTGCAGATTTTGGAATGGCTAGGATCTTCGGATTGGACCAAACCCAGGATAACACAAGCAGAATAGTTGGTACCTAGTAAGTCTTCCACTTAACATCTCGTAAGTTAAAATTTGTTGAACATTATTTTGTCAACATACTAAAAGTTTTTTTTTGTGGATTCCAGCGGTTACATGGCTCCCGAATATGCGATGCATGGCCAATTCTCAATGAAATCTGATGTCTATAGCTTCAGAGTGTTAGTTCTTGAGATTATAAGTGGTAGGAAGAATAGCAGTTTCCACGAGTCAGATGGTGCACAAGACTTGCTCACACATGTAAGTTTTAAGGCAATCAATATTTTACCTCTCCTACATTACATTAAGCAATGTTAGCTAGAACTGATTGATTGATTGATATTCAAGGCTTGGAGGCTTTGGAATAACAGAACAGCATTAGACCTCGTGGATCCACTTATAACAGATAATTGCCAGAATAGTGAAGTGGTGCGATGCATCCATATCGGTCTTTTATGTGTTCAAGAAGATCCTGTAAAGCGTCCTACAATATCAACCGTTTTCATGATGCTCACCAGTAATACTGTGACTTTACCAGTGCCTCGACAACCAGGGTTTTTCATTCAAAGTAGACCCGGAAAGGACCTGCCTGATTCAGATCAGTCTACCACGACCAAGTCTATTCCAGCGTCTATTGACGATGAATCGATCACTGATTTATATCCGCGCTAAATATGATTTTAATTATCCTTCACGCTTGTAATCAAGTTTAAGCATATATTTACATATTTCTAGATGTGATCAACCCTATGTAATTTGTTTTGATATTTAATTAAAGAACAACTAGTTCAGTTTCGACATCACCATCGATTGAAAAATTCATTACCTATGAGAGTGAAAAAATGAGATAGGGAGAGAACACTTAGAATGTTGGCATTACAGTTTGGTCCATTCTAAAAATTTGGCCAATCCAAAATCTGTAACTTTCATTTCAGCGCCTGATTCAGATCAGTCTACCACGACCAAGTTCATTTCAGCGTCTAAGAGGATATTACCTGCTTTGAAGTCACAATGTATGATTATGAGTTGTGAATCATTCTAGAATCGCTTTAGCAATACCTCCAATGATCTTGTAAACAGAGGGAAAACAGAGTACTGTGGGAAGGTGATTTTACATGATTTGTGAAACCATCTAGCACGTCAAAGTTTTTTTTTTTTTTTTGGTAAACTAAATAACTAATACAATATCTTGAAAGTCAAAGTCACCTACACGAGGAATTTAAATGTTAGACTAATACATGTGGAAGATATAACCAGAGAAAATAGAATTATAAAATTCCAAGTTTTGATGTCTTAAAAAAAAAAAAAAAGTTTTGATGTCTATCAATTAGTTTCGAGAAAGATATAAAAATATTGGAGTTGAATATTATTTAATAAGTTGGTGATTATTCTGCTTGGCGCCGAGACTTTGGGACAATAAGACAGCACCGTTAAACTTCCTTACCACACAAGTAACAAACGAACAGTTATAAGTTAAAACAGTAATTTCACAAACCTAGTTAATTCAGTTTGCAGCCTTCATTGATTCAGAATCAGAACCAATCAACACGCTCAGTGGAAGGTTCACTGTAAATGTCGTAGTCTTTGATTTTTAGAGTCATTTTTTTGGAAACAAGGAACTTTACAAATATGCCTACTTAGATCACTCTCATCTCTATTTTCCTCACAATCTCCATACCTTTTCCATATTTTTCAATAAATTATTTTTCAAAATTTTTTTTATATTACAATTTATTAAATATTTTCATACATCTTCTAGATATCTAGGGGGTTATTGATAGATGGATCCTTCACAACTTTTGAGATTCTTTTGTTATTGTTTTATGGATTTTTATATTCTTAATAAAATTTAGTTTTATTAGTATCATGATTTTTAAATCCCATGCAAAAAAATTCGTCATTCAGAGAATTGTTTCATTAAATATATTTTTATCGACGGATCAATTGTTTGTAATTTTATTCATAAGTCAAAAAAATTTAAAAAACCATGAATATCCATAAAATATTAAAATTATTCTAACTACAATACTCTCTACAAATTAAAAAATCTCTCATTTCTTGAAAGTTGAAACCAAACCCCCATATAATTTAGAGTTGGAGAAACATTGGTCAAGTTTTGGGTTTGGCTCAACAAATGTTTTTTTGTTGGATCATTGATCAAAACACTGAAATCAAGGTATGTTTATGGCCTTTTTTTAATAAATTTTACTTTTGTTGTTAATAAAAAAGACATTTAAAAAAAAAAAATCCTCTACATTGACTTTGATTGAGGGCTGACTTATCGTCGTCACAAACCATCGTATACTTCACGTTAATCAGCACTAGTCAGAGAGAGGGAAAAAAATTCAGTTTATAAATGGAAACTCCATGATGTGAAACTCAAATCAAGGAAGTCGAAAAAAACCCATGTCTTCTCTGACCACTTTCATCTTCCTTTTCCTTTTCTCATTCCTCACTACTTTCACAGCTTCTGCTCAAGAACCTAATGACCTAGCCTATTGGTGTCCAAATAGGACAACTTACTCAAGTAACAGCACTTACTTCACCAATCTTAAAACCCTTTTGTCCTCTCTCTCTTCGCCCAACGCCTCTTACTCCACCGGATTCCAAAATGCCACGGTGGGACAAGCCCCCGACAGGGTCACTGGACTTTTCCTTTCCCGCGGAGACCTCTCGCCCGAAGTTTGCCGTAGCTGCGTCACCTTTGCCGTCAACAACACCTTTAATAGGTGTCCAAATCAGAGAGAAGCTGTGTTCTACTACGATGAATGCATGCTCAGATACTCTCACAAGAATATTCTATCGACGACCAACACAAACGAAGGAGAATATATCATGAGGAACCCTAATAATATTTCTCCTATTCAAAATCAAACAAACCAGTTTATAATTTTGGTGTTATCTAATATGAACCAAGCCGCCACAGAAGCAGCCAACAATTCTAGAAAATTCTCTACGATAAAGACCGAATTGACCGCACTCCAGACTTTGTACGGGCTTGTTCAATGCACTCCTGATCTTTCAAGAGAAAGCTGCATGAGCTGTCTAACAAGTTCCATCAATAGAATGTCATTTTATAGAATTGGGGCAAGACAGCTTTCGCCAAGTTGTAATTCAAGGTACGAGCTTTACTCGTTCTACAACGAAACCGCCATTGGTACACCACCACCACCACCACCACTACCACCACCGCCGATGCAGTTTCCAGGGTCTTCGCCTCCATTGGCATCTCCTTCACTACCTGGTGAGCACTTTCTTCTTCCTTTGTTTTTTTCCCTGTTTACTTGATCTTCGCAGTATTGCCATATGGAAAGCAGAATTTTCAATTTTATTTAGTTATTCGTATACTAGTTTCTTACTAAAGCAGATGATATTCGGAAAACAGGGAAAAGTGGGAATTCAAATGTGTTAGTGGTAGCCATTGTTGTGCCTATCATATTGGCTGTTCTGCTTCTCATAGCTGGTTATTGTTTTTTTGCAAAGAGGGCAAAGAAGACTTATGGCACAACACCTGCTTTAGATGGTAAAGATTCAAGTGATTAACAATCTTAGTTAGGTTTGATTAATGTCATTAATTATCAGCTTCTTCTTTTTTTTCTTTCTGATCACTAAGACATTTATTGTGCAACAGAAGATGATAAAACCACCATAGAGTCTCTGCAACTTGATTATAGAGCAATTCAAGCTGCAACAAATGATTTTTCAGAGAATAATAAAATTGGTCGAGGTGGATTTGGTGACGTTTACAAGGTATAGTGAATACTAGTATATAATTTATCGATTGTTTTTTTTGCTACAACATATTTAGATAACGAGATAATGCTGATAAAAATGGATAGGGTACATTTTCAAATGGAACCGAAGTTGCAGTGAAGAGACTGTCGAAAACATCAGAACAAGGTGACACAGAATTCAAGAACGAGGTTGTCGTTGTTGCAAATCTTCGGCACAAAAATCTGGTTAGGATTCTCGGATTTTCTATAGAACGAGAAGAAAGGATATTGGTCTATGAGTATGTGGAAAATAAAAGCCTTGATAACTTCCTATTTGGTCAGTTGCATTTGATGAGTTGTTTCGTTGATTCCTTAACCAGTCTTGAAACATGGTTAGAGCTAACTACTATTCATGGACGTGCACAGATCCTGCAAAGAAAGGTCAGCTGTACTGGACACAGCGATACTATATCATTAGTGGGATTGCTAGAGGGATCCTATATCTTCATCAAGATTCACGACTCACAATCATACACCGTGACCTTAAAGCGAGTAACATTCTCCTGGATGCAGATATGAATCCTAAAATTGCTGATTTTGGAATGGCAAGGATCTTTGGAATGGATCAAACCCAGCAAAACACAAGCAGAATAGTTGGTACCTAGTAAGTCTTCCACTTGACAACATGTTGAAATTCGTTGAACATTTTATTCTCACAACATATTAAACTTTTTGATGTGGATTCCAGCGGTTACATGTCTCCTGAATATGCAATGCGTGGCCAATTCTCAATGAAATCTGATGTCTACAGTTTTGGAGTATTAGTTCTTGAGATTATAAGCGGTAGGAAGAATAACAGCTTCAACGAGACAGATGACGCACAAGACTTGGTCACACATGTAAGTTTAATGGAAGTGAGTTTTATATATACCTCTCCTAATCCTACAATAAGCAATAGTTGCAATAATTGGTTGATTGATTGATTCTAGGCTTGGAGGCTTTGGAGAAACGGAACAGCGTTAGACCTCGTGGATCCATTCATTGCAGAAAGTTGCCGGAAGAGTGAAGTGGTTCGATGCATCCATATCGGTCTTTTATGTGTTCAAGAAAGTCCAGTAGAGCGTCCTGCCTTGTCAACCATTTCCGTGATGCTCACTAGTAATACAATGACTTTACCAACGCCTCAGCAACCAGGGTTTTTTGGAAGGAGTATACCTGGAACAAACCCGCTTGATTCAGATCAATCAATGAACAGCAAGTCTGTTCCAGTATCTATTGACGATTCATCAATGTCTGATTTATATCCTCGTTGAATATGGTGTTATTAAACCTTACGATTAAAATGAAGTTTAAGCATATATTTACATATTTCTATACTTGATGAACTATGTTTATTGTTTAGTTTTGGTTTGGTTTGTTAAAACCACATGTAATTGTTTTGATTTTTAGTTCAAGAATAATTAATTTAGTCTCAGCTATCAACATCACCACCGATTGAAAATTCATTACCTATGAAGTGAAAAATTGAGATAGGAAGAGAGAACTTATAAAAGTTAAAAAAGAAGAGCATCACTTTCTTAGCTTGCCGAGAACATAAAGAAAGTGAACAATGGAAAAGTTAACTGAAACAAAACTTTGTTCATTGTACATGCTTTTTAGTCTAGAATCGGGAAACATGTTATAAAAAATCTCAACTATGCGTTTTCGTTGAAAAAACGCCTCAACTTTGCATCTGGTAAAATAGATATCAAAATTTTTGTTGATTTTATATTAAATCTTAAATTCTTGTTGACTATGCAAATTTAGGCACATCGCTAAGTCACTAGACATGATTATGTTTCGATTAATAAGCTTCGTTAATTAGCAAAACGACGCTTTACAAGATCGACTTCAAAGATCCTGTAAAGCGTCCGGCAGTATCAACAATTTTCATGATGCTCCTATGACTTTACCAGTTCCTCGGCAACAAGGGTTTTTCATTCAAAGTAGACATGTAAAGGACCCACTTGATTCAGATCAGTCTACAACGACCAAGTCTTTTCCAGCGTCTTTTGACCCAGACAAGTAAATATTTTACCTTTGCTGTTAAAAAAATGAAATTAAAAAGAAAAGAAAGAATCGTTTACATTTGGACTTTGATTGACGACTGACTTATTCTCACAAACCATCGTATACTTCACGTTAATCAGCAGTAGTCAGAGAGAAGAAAATATTCAATTTATAGATGGAAGAAGCTCCATGATGTGAAACTCAAATCAAGGAAGTCGAAGAAAAACCATGTCTTCTTTCTTCTCTTTGATCACCTTCCTTTTCCTTTTCTCATTCCTCACTAGCTTCAGAGCTTCTGCTCAAGATCCTTATTTCCTAAATCATAATTGTCCAAATTCGACAACTTACTCAAGTAACAGCACTTACTTCACCAATCTTAAAACCCTTTTGTCCTCTCTCTCTTCCCCCAACGCCTCTTACTCCACCGGATTCCAAAACGCCACGGTGGGACAAGCCCCCGACAGGGTCACCGGACTTTTCCTTTGCCGCGGAGACCTCTCGCCCGAAGTTTGCCGTAACTGCGTCGCCTTCTCCGTTAACGAAACGTTAACTCGGTGTCCAAATCAGAGAGAAGCTGTGTTCTATTACGAGGAGTGCATACTCAGATACTCTCACAAGAATATTCTATCGACAACTACTACAAACGAAGGAGAATTTATCTTGAGCAACCCCAATAATATTTCTCCTATTCAAAAACAAATAAACCAGTTTACAGGTTTGGTGTCATCTAATATGAACCAAGCTGCCATAGAAGCAGCCAACCGTTCTATAAAATTCTCTACGATAAAGACCGAATTGACCGAACTCCAGACTTTGTACGGGCTTGTTCAATGCACTCCTGATCTTTCAAGAGAAAACTGCATGAGCTGTCTAACAAGTTCCATAAATAGAATGCCACTTTCTAGAATTGGAGCAAGACAGTTTTGGCCAAGTTGTAATTCAAGGTACGAGCTTTACGCGTTCTACAATGAAACCGCCATAGGAACACCACCACCACCACCACCGCCGCTGCGGTTTCCAGGGTCTACGCCTCCGTTGACATCTCCTTCACTACCTGGTGAACACTTTCTTCTTCCTCTGTTTTTTTTGCCCTGTTTACTTGATTTTAGCTCGGTTAGGTCTACTATTTTCTTATCTTAAGCTAATGATCTTGGGAAAGCAGGGAAAAGTGGCAGTTCAAATGTGTTAGTGGTAGCTATTGTTGTGCCTATCATAGTGGCTGTTCTGCTTTTCATAGCTGGTTACTGTTTCTTTGCAAAGAGGGCAAAGAAGACTTATGGCACAGCACCTGCTTTAGATGGTAAAGATTCAAGTGATTAACAATCTTGATTACGTTTGCTTAATGTCGCTTCTTTTTTCTTTATTTCTGATTATTAAGACATTTATTTTGCAATAGAAGATGATAAAACAACCATAGAGTCTCTGCAACTTGATTATGGAGCAATTCAAGCTGCAACAAATGATTATTCAGATGATAATAAAATTGGTCGAGGTGGATTTGGTGACGTTTACAAGGTATATTATATACTACTATATAACTTATCGATTGGTTTTATTTGCTACAACACATTTGGATAACGAGATAATGCTGATAAAAATGGATAGGGTACATTTTCAAATGGAACCGAAGTTGCAGTGAAGAGACTGTCGAAAACATCAGAACAAGGTGACGCAGAATTCAAGACCGAGGTTGTAGTTGTTGCAAATCTTCGGCACAAAAATTTGGTTAGGCTTCTCGGATTTTCTATAGAACGAGAAGAAAGGATATTGGTCTATGAGTATGTGGCAAATAAAAGCCTTGATAACTTCCTATTTGGTCAGTTGGATTTAATGATTTGCTTCATTGATTCGTTAACTAATCTTAAAACATGGGGTTGCAAATCTTTAGAGCTAACTACTATTCATGGACGTGCACAGATCCTGCAAAGAAAAGTCAGCTGTACTGGACACAGCGATACCAGATCATTGGTGGGATTGCTAGAGGGATCCTATATCTTCATCAAGATTCACGACTCACAATCATACACCGTGACCTTAAAGCGAGTAACATTCTCCTGGATGCAGATATGAATCCTAAAATTGCTGACTTTGGAATGGCAAGGATCTTTGGAATGGATCAAACCCAGCAGAACACAAGCAGAATAGTTGGTACCTAGTAAGTCTTCCACTTGTCTTCTCACAGGTTGAAATTTGTTGAACATTTTATTTTGCGGACATACTAAAGTTTTGTTGTGGATTCCAGCGGGTACATGTCTCCTGAATATGCGATGCGTGGCCAATTCTCAATGAAATCTGATGTCTATAGTTTCGGAGTGTTAGTTCTTGAGATTATAAGCGGTAGGAAGAATAGCAGCTTCTACGACACAGAGGACACACAAGACTTGGTCACACATGTAAGTTTATAGGAAATGAAGTTTTATATATGTCTCCTCATCCTACAATAAGCAATAGTTGCAATAACTAATTGACTGGTTGATATTCTAGGCTTGGAGGCTTTGGAATAACGGAACAACGTTAGACCTCGTGGACCCAAGCATTGTAGAAAATTGCCACAAGAGTGAAGTGGTTCGATGCATCCATATTGGTCTTTTATGTGTTCAAGAAAATTCTGTAGAGCGTCCAGCCTTGTCAACGATTTCCGTGATGCTCACTAGTAATACTGTGACTTTACCAGCGCCTCAGCAACCGGGTTTTTTCGTTAAGAGTAGACCCGGAAACCCGCTTGATTCAGATCAATCAACAACGAGCAAGTCTGTTCCAATATCTATTGACGATACATCAATAAGTGATTTATTTCCTCGTTGAATATGGTATTAACCTTCACGCTTAAATCAATTGGTACGTATTAATGTATTATTCAAATCAAGTTTAAGCTTATATGAAGATATTCTAAATGTGGCCAACCCTATTTAATGTTTTGTATTGATTTAATTATGAGTGAAAATGAAAAAATGAGATAGTGAAAATGATACTACTTGCTTCGAAGGCACAATGTATGATTGAGAGGAAGAGATAGAATCACTTTGGTAATACCCAGAGCCGTGCCAAGAGATACAAAGGCCATAAGCGGTACATAAGAAAAAAATCAAAATACTAATCATCTCCCCTAATATAAATTTTTTTTGAAGTAAACAAAAAATATTAATTCTGAAACGTAATGATTTTATAGAAATCGTTAAATAAATTTTCAAAATCAATATTTTATAATATTTTTGTGAATAGTGAAGATAGTTTTTTTTTTTTTGTCGAATAATAGCCAAGATAGTTAAAACATCAAAATTATAAAGAAAGTTCAAATCCATTGTTAATAAAAGAAGCAATGGTCGTCAAGGGACCTTGTAATCTTGTATCACCTTATTATCTTTATTTCAGTGTTTTTTTTTAATTTCTAACTAATTACTAAATTTTGAAAAGAAAAATCTCACAAACACGATTTATCAAAAATATCATGTTTAGACGCTAGAAAAAAATAATCAAAAGCATCACGTTTCTATAGTAAAACTTTGGTTTAAATTTACACTAATATGCTGTTGAATTTTTTAATTAAAATGGGGCCGTAGGCGAAGGTTTCATTTTGGGTAACGTAGCCACGGCCCTGGTAATACCTCCAATGATCTTGTACCATTTGATTTGGAAACAGATTAATGTGGGAAGGTGATTTATATGATTTGTAATGTTTTTTTTTCAGACAATAATTAACGTCAACGTCAACTTCTTTTGACGAGTAAGCGATTGTTACACATTCAAATAAATACATTTTGATCTACTAATCAAACATTTAGTTCTTTTTATTTCTCTCTAATTTTTCTAATCCAATACTGACTATTTCTTTTTTTAGATTTTCTTTTTTAATTGTGTGGACTTGTCAGAGTTTTTAATTAGACAAGCATGAACGGAACTTTAGCTATGTAGAAAATTCTAGAGAGAAAACGATTTCAGTTACGTTGTATTACTAGTCTTCATTTCAATCCAAAATATCTTCTCTTTAGCGTATACAAGTCCTTTAATTAATTTCGTGGGCATAGTTAATATAAAGACCGTCTAGTTCTGTTGGACTTTGGAGGCTTTGCATGGAGAGACCGTAAGTAATCAAAGAAAATAAGAGCATTGTTCCCCTAACTTCTCGGTCACGTAATAACTGAACAGAGAAAAATGGTTAACAATCGTAATTGACTCACATCTCTTCCTCGCTTTCCATTCTTATGGGAAGTCAGGCTCAGGCCAATAAACAATCATGGGCTTGTTTACCTAAAAAGCAGATTGTATTCATTGCCGATAAACAATCATGGGAAGAATTAGGGTTTAAGGTTTAGGGTTAACAGTAATCTACCAGATTTCTTTTAGTAAATTTGGAATGTTTCTGTTGAACTACTACCACTGCATCTGGATCTTAATGTTTATTAGCTGATAATTTACTTTATAATATAGAACAAAGGAGGCTTTCTTAAAGATTTTCATAGTCAGATGAAAGCAAAGGGATTGAACCATGTCTCAAGCTACACCAACTCTCTTCATCACAAACTTAATTAATTTGACTTCGATAGTGGTTGTTCTCGTTTTCTTGATGTTGACTTCGTCTAATTGTCTTTAGGTTTTTTCCTCGTGGACCATTTCTTATTTGCTTGTTCCAATTGTGAATCTCTGCCTACGAGACTTTATAGCGTGCGATACAATTGTAACAATCCGCGGTTGACTCAACAAAAAATCTATACACGAGTCAACCCAAAGAGACATTGATGGGACAGGTAGTAAATTATTTATTTATACATAATGATGCAGACCAATAATCAAAACGAGGGGCCAGATTGATTAGACAATATACACTATCATTGAAGTGAATGCTAGAGGAAGTCTTTATCTACATTAACTTATAATCATACACCGTGACCTCAAAGCTAGTAACATTCTCATAGATTCTAATATGAACACAAAAATTGCAATAGTTTTGTGTTTATGAAACGAGTTTGTCTTTAACGAGGAGTTACCATGGTAATGGATGCATCATCAATGGAACAGAGAGAAAATTTATTTGTTGATGGACCTGCTTCTTCATGCTTACTTCGGAAGAAAAATCCAGGTGGTCGAGGTGCAGCTAGGGCAATCGAGGTAGTGGTAAGCATTTGGACGATCATTGACATAGTTGGACGATCTTCAGTATCTTCTTGAACACATAATAAGGCGATATGGATGCATCTAATTATTTCGTTTCTTTGATAATTCTTTCGAAAGGACGAATCCGCGAGCTCTAATGGCGTCCCGTTGCTCCATAGCCTCCAAGTCTATTGCACATTTTAAGACTTAAACATCTTTGTGACGGTTTCATAGAGCGAAAAACTAGTATATTTTAAGTGTTTATACTTACATATGTAACCAAGTTTCCCAAACAAGCATCCATCTGATAAAGGCTGCTGTTCTTCCTCCCGCTTATAATCTCAAGAACTAAGACTCCAAAGCTATAGACATCAGATTTCATTGAGAATTGGCCGTACATGGCATACTCAGGTGACATGTAACCACTGCCACGATGCATAAAAGTTTGAGTTAATAAATGGATTTAACATTTAATAGTTGGCAAGAACAAAACTTACTAGGTTCCAACTACTCTTCTCGTATTGGCTTCTGTTTGGTCCATTTCAAAAATTCTCGCCATTCCAAAATCTGCAACTTTCGGGTTCATATCAGCGTCCAAGAGGATGTTACCCGCCTTTAGGTCTCGATGTATGATTGTGAGTCGTGAATCTTGATGGAGATACAATATTCCTCTAGCAATTCCTCCTATGATCTTATACCGTGTAGTCCAATCCAGCTGGCTCTGCTTTTTAGAGTCTACACATCCATATAGTTAGAATGTCAACAATAAAATATATTTTGCTAAGCATTCATTTAACTTACCAAACAAGAAGTAATCAAGGCTTTTGTTAGACACAAACTCGTACACAAGTATTTTCTCTTCTCTCTCCAAACAAAATCCAAGAAGCTTCACCAGATTTCTGTGCTGAAGCTTTGCCACAACAACAACTTCGTTCTTGAACTCTTTTTCACCTTGTCCTGATGTTTTCGATAGTCTCTTCACGGCAACTTGTACTCCATTAGGAAGTGTGCCCTATAAAGATTGTGAATTAAACAGAGTTTGAATCTCTTATGAAACTAATTAGGAAGCTCAATGAACTAGTAGTACCTTATAAACTTGTCCAAATCCACCTTGACCGAGTTTGTTACATATTGAAAACTTATTTGTCGCAGCTTCAACAACCTTAAAACAAAACTGCAGAGAGCCTGCCGTTGAAATATCATCCCCATCTGCAAAAACCAAATTTTTTTAGCATTAAACTTCGTAAACAAAAATTTTAAGTAGTAAACAACAAGAATATTTTGGAATCTTGACCTTCATTTGCAGCTGCTGTGTCATTAGTCTTCTTCACTCTCTTTGTCAAACGGAAGCTAAAGACAGCCACAAAAAGAAGAACAGAAAAAGCGACCGGCACACAAATTTCTAAGATTACCCTCGTGGAATTTCCTCTTTTTCCTGCCAAAGTATTAGATCAGACAAATTATGTATAGTTGTCTGTCACAATCCAATCAAGCAAATGAAAGAAAAACAGAGAGAGAGAGGGCACCTTTACCAGCCGGCAGTGGAGGAGCTAAAACCAGGTGAGGAATCTTTACTGGCAATGGAGGAGCTGAAACTGGCGGCAATGGAGAGAGAGTTGTCACAGAGGATTCATCGTAGAAAGGGTAAATCTCGTACCTTAAGTTACAACTCGGGACAAGAACTCTTCCACCAACTTTGGTGAAAAAAAAATCATTGATGGACTGTTGGAGACAGCTTAAGCATTCTCCACTAGACAGATCAGGAATACACTGAACCGATGAATATACCGTCAGGGACGAAGTGAAATTCGATTTCATAACCGCGAATTTCTTTGATTTGCTATTAGCCGCTTCCACTGCAGACTTGTTAATCAGAGAAAACACAGTATCGTTGAACCGGTCCAAGTCCGCCTTAATATTCTGAGTGTTCCAAGTGATTATTGTAGGAGTGGACCTTGTGGTTACAGCATCCATGAAAATATTCCGGTCCGTGTATCCAAGCATGCACTCATCATACTGAATCAAGAACTCTTTCCCTCGTAAACATCTACTCCGAACATCTTTAGAAGCATTTACAACACAATAACCACAATCTTCCGGCGAGAGATCTCCTCTGCAGAGATAAAGTCCGAATACCATGCTGGCGTTTTGACCCTTTGTGAGACTATGAGATCCCAAGGAGAAGTAAGCACTGTTAGAAGAAAGAGAGGTCAAAAGAGTTTGGAGATTTGAGAAGTAAAAGATGTTTGTTGATGTCGTGTTACTGCAATTATGGCCGACGTAAGTCAGGTCTTGTAAATGCGCAGAAGCTCTCAAGCTTGCAAAGAAAAATGTGAGAAGGAAGAGAGAGCTTAATGAGGTATAAGCAGACATTATCTAATTAATTTGTTATCCTTTCTCCTCTGTTTTTTCTTTTATTCGTTATCTTTACTAGTTCATGAGTACTAAACTACTAAATAATACCAATGAATGAAAATGTTAAAACCATCCACCACGTCAAAGTTTTGTGTTCTAATACAATTTCTTGCAAGTCAAAGTCAACTATACGAGTAACATCAACTTTTATTGTTATTTAAAAGTTAGACTAAAAATATGTGAAAGCGATAACCAGAGAAAATCGCATTATAAAATTTTCTACTTCCCAGAATGATAAACGTAATGGAGTTAAATATTTAATAGGTTGATGATTATTCTGTTACGCGCGGAGACTCTCTGGGTCAATAAGACAACACCATTAAACTTCCGTACGAGACAAGTAACAAACGAACAGTTGTAAGCTAAAACAGTAATTTCACAACCCTAGTTGATTCAGATTCTAGCCTTCATTTCTTCAAAACCAATTAACACTCTCAGTGGAAGGTTGACTTCTAAAGATAGTCGGTGACTTCCTATTATAGTACTTTACCTTGTTATCTTTACAACTGTGTATTAGATTTTCAGAATCACTCTGTTCCAGCAGAACAAAAATACTGTCGAAGAATCAACAATTACGCCATTAATTCTCTGAACCCTTTTGTCCTCATTCTCCGGTGAATAAAACTATAAACAAGAGTATATCTTACACTTCCTTGCAGGGCACTCAGATAAAATGAAAATTAATGAAAGCAGTTGAACTAAGACAAACCTTATTATTCCTTTAATTTTAACTAATTAAATCAAATCAATACAAAACTAGAAATTAATTCATCTAGTAGAATTTGTTTGGCCAATTCATAAAAGTTAGAGAGGTTTTTCTTTTTAACTTTAAATGTAGCGACACCTCCTCTTTTCCACTGATACATTCGTCCGTTCACTCTCTGTCGTTTTGGTTTGTTAATTGATGTGGCCACCGTCGTTTTGCTCCGTCACGGTCGCAGATGCAGCTACAAGTTAAAGAAGAGGCCCATCGTGTATAATGTTGAATATCATATATAGATCTTATTTTTGTTTTGTGTAAGACTTGGTCGGAGTTTTAGATTATGCCGCGATGACCAAAAAATACAGCAAAAAAAAAAGAAAAGAAAAATATTACGCTAATGTTCTCGAAGCATTGATCAGCCAGTCCTTTTCTAGTCTTCTGGCTTCCATTCTCATAGGCAGGCCGCAGGCCCATAACTAATCTTAATGGATTCGTTGCATGAAAAGCCGATTATTTTTCCTTGTCGGCTACGGAGAAGAATTAGTACTTTTTTAGAACTAGTGTTTTTGAATAATCATTAAAATAAAATAAAATAAAATAATAAGAACTAGGGTTTTGGCGTCATCCACCGCCTCATACAAGCCAAGTGTATAATACATGCACACTCTAGGTTTGGTCATCGCATCCTCCTAATCGTCTCCTATATCGTTTACCTTCTAGGTTTCTTAACTTATCTTTTTCAATTTTATATTTTATTCGTGCATGTAATTGTTGGGTTTCTTAAGTTCAGATAGTCTTATCAAAAGTTCCGATTTATCTCCTCGTTTTTTATTCGTCTTCCGTATGTATGTGTGAATATGTTTTCTTTTTCTTTTTTTAACGATGGAAAAAGTGACAAATACTTGATAAAGGGGCAGTCGATCTAATAGGATCTAATGGTTGTAAAACCCTAAAGTATACGTCATAAATTAACAAAGCTAAGTATTCTTCACGAAGAAGTCATGGCGGAGGTCTCATATGCCCGTATCATGCGACCTTACGGAGCAGCGTCGCTGCCTTTACCGTTTTGTGCTTGGACATGAGAACCTATATATACCAAAAAGAGAGATTTCTCTAATTTTTATTTTTATCTTGTTTTTAATTTTTTCTTTCTTTTGTCATTTTTTTTTTCATTCTTAATGTATATCAGTATATGACTTCGAATAATTGAGAGAGTGGCAATCGATCTAATAGGATCTAATGGTTGTAGAACCCTAATTAAAGTATACGTCACAGAATTAACAAAGCTACGTCTTCTTCACGGACAAGTCACGGCGGAGGTCTCATATACCAAGCATCAATGTCTTGCGCCTTGACATAACATTTTTTTAAATATATCCGATCGGTTGATCCGGTAAGCCTCTGTAAAAACGCAACAGAGTGCGTGGAATTCTCTTTTCTGACTAATTCCCATGAATATCCAATTAGCCCAATCCTACATACCATCTGAATTGTTTAGGCCAAAGTCCAAACCCAGACTTTCAACATAGATGTAATTTTTGTTTCGATGGTGGATCGAAACTGGGCTAATTCTTTTTAACCTTTCCCCAATTCTCACTACTACTAGACCATGGTTGTGTGGGCATATACAACATTCTGGTTAGAATTCTTTTTCCTTATGTATATGTGAATGCCTTTTAAATTTTTGATTGCCCCTTTATTGTTTCGGCATGTTCATTGCCCATGAGAACCTATATATATTTATATAAATTGTATCTAAAAAGAAAATATTTCCACATACTAAAAAGAAAATATGGTTTTGCCCATAAATCGAAGCTCATTAATGGAATCGAAACACAATCAATTTGTTCTGTGTCATGACTTAATATTATGCTTAAATTGACAAAGTCAACAAGAGGTTAAGAAGATTTATTCGAAAACTCAATAGAAATTGGTTATTTATTTCACTAGATGCAAAATTGATGGTTTTTTTAATAAAAAAATGCAGATTTGAAACTTTTGATGACATTTTTCCGATGTAGAATCTATCATAACCTTTAGATATTTGAACAGTTTTGTCGTCAGCCAGGAGCTACACAAGTAATGGAAGCATTGTCGACAGAACATTGAGCTGACATATCCATAGATGAACCCACTCCTCCTCTTTGTTCATGCCTACTTTGGAAGAAAAATCCAAGTGGTCGAGGTACATAAGAACAATTGAGTTAGTAACTTAAATATACACACTTTAATATCTTTATGTAACTTTTTTTTTCGTTCGTTTTCGGCTAATGAAAAGAAAATTATTTTTTTCTTGGCACATGTTACTATCTAATTAATTGATTGACACATGTCTCAATCCCGCTGATTAGAATTTTGAAACGGATTCTCATGAAGAGTTACTTCGTCTGAATTTTCCATTTTGTTAAAGTAAGATAAGATTGATGAATTTTCCATTCTCATTTTTTATGGCGGGTCTTGTTTCAAGGTCTTTAGTCTGATTTTTTTTTTTTTGACTTTTCTCATTGCAAACTCCTTTCCATCTATGCGTATGAGATTCTACAACGTGTTCTTTTGGGTTCCACATGATTCATTCATATAATTGCATCGCATCAACCTTTGTTCTACTTCCAGCTTGTTTATGACGCTTGACTCAACATAAATTGCACATGAGTCAACCCAATATACGTGTTGATTAAGACAAAGGGACCAACGGGTCATGGGACAACTTGCAATGAAATTTTAATTGACACAGATGAATTGATGGACATAAATATACATAGACATATACTTTTTAGCAGTGATGTTCTTAAGAGGATGTCAAAAGCATCAGGATAAGGTGCAAAAGAGTTCAACAATGAAGCTGTTCTGGTGGCAAAGCTTGAGCATAGAAATTCGGTTAGGTTTCTAGGATTTTGAGTGGAAGTAGAAAAAAAATATACTTATTTATGAGTTGTGCCGAATAAAAGCCTGATTATAAAAGCCTGATTATCTGAAGTTATAGCTAATGTTGCATGTGTATGGTGCGTAAAGACCCTTCAAACCATGCCCAAGAAGACTGGACAACACGATACAAGATCCTTACAAGGATTGCTCGAGGAGTTCTTGACCTAATTACCTTCATTAAGACTCAAGGTTTACAATCACACACCGTGACCTCAAAGCAAGTAAACATTCACTTAGATGTTGATATGAACCCAAAAGTTGCTGATTTTGGAATGGCAATAACTATACGGATGGACCAAACTCAATCTGATACGAGCAGGATTGTTGGAACCTAGTATCTTCCCTTGATTTCCCTTTTTGACCAACTAAATTTGATCCAAAATGAAGATATTTCTTTTACAACTTTGTAAAGTTTTATTAATTACATACAACAGCAACAAAGGATAAAAATGAATTAATCGAAGAGGCGTTTACTTTGACTTTGCTTGACTTAAAAGTCGTCCTGAAATGCCATCCTCTATTTCACGTTAATCTGCAGTAGTAGAGAAGAAAAATAAACTCATTTTTATAAATGGGAGCTCTCTGATGTAAACTCAAATCAAGGAACTCGCACCATGTCTTCTTTCTTCTCGTTCATCTTCCTTTTACTTTTCTCCTTCCTCACTAGCTTCACAGCTTCTGCTCAAAGGCCTAATTTTCTATATCATGTTTGTCGAAATACGACAACATATTCAAGAAACAGCACTTATTATACAAATCTCAGAACCGTTTTATCCTCTCTGTCTTCCCACAACGCTTCATACTCCACCGGTTTCAAAAACGCCACGGTGGGACAAGCCCCCAACAGGGTCACCGGGCTTTTCCTCTGCCGTGGAGATTTGTCGCCGGAAGTTTGCCGTAGCTGCGTCGCCTTTTCTGTCAACCAAACCTTAACTATGTGTCCTGAAGAGAAAGAAGCCGTGCTCTATTACGACGAGTGTATGCTCAGATACTCTCACCAAAACATTTTATCGACCGTTATATACGATGGAGGATACATCTTGTTGAACGCCAATAATATTTCAGTTAATCAAGCTGACCAGTTTGGAGATTTGGTGTCGTCCACGCTGAACCAAGCCGCCTTCGAGGCAGCTAACAGTTCTAGAAAGTTCTATATGACAAAGGCCAATTGGACCTTACTCCAGAGTTTGTACGTACTGGTTCAGTGCACTCCTGATCTTAGGAGACAAGACTGCTTGAGCTGTCTGCAATACTCCATCAATGGAATGGTGCCTTTTAACAAAATTGGAGGAAGACTTCTTTACCCTAACTGTAATTCAAGGTACGAGCTTACCGTTTTCTACAATGAAACCGCCGTTAGTACACAACCACAACAACAAGCACCACCACCGTTGTTGCCTCCGCCCGCCTCTACTTCTCCAGTGTCATCTCCTCCACGACCTGGTGAACTCTTTCTTATTCCTTTGTTTTTTTACCCTGATTTCTCGATGTTAGCAAATACTATTAGCAAAAAAAAAAAAAAAAAAAAAAAAAAAAAAAACTCCATGTGATCGATTTTAGAGATTTATTCATCTGCCAATATCCGATCTCAAGAAAATGATCTCTGATACGCAGGAAAAGGTGGGAATTCAAACGTATTAGTGGTAGCCATTGTTGTGCCTATTATAGTGGTTGTTCTGCTTTTCATAGCTGGTTATTGTTTCCTTGCCAAAAGGAAAAAGACGACTTCTGATACTGCACCAGCCTTTGATGGTAAAGATTTGAATAATTAATTACTAAGGCTTTTTTTCTTAATTACTAAGACTTTTATTATGCAACAGGAGATGATATAACAACAGTAGAGTCGTTGCAACTTGATTATAAAACTATTCAAGCTGCAACAAATAATTATTCAGAAAATAATAAGATTGGTCATGGTGGATTTGGTGATGTTTACAAGGTACAATGATTATTAATTCAGGTTGTTCACTTTTTATTGAAATTTTATGTCAACACATTTGGATAACGAGATGATCGATGCTGATGAAAACGGATAGGGTACATTTTCGAATGGGAGTGAAGTTGCAGTGAAGAGACTGTCAAAATCATCAGGACAAGGTGACGCAGAGTTCAAGAACGAGGTTGTTCTTGTTGCAAAGCTTCAGCACAGAAATCTGGTTAGGCTTCTTGGATTTTCTCTAGAACGAGAAGAAAGGATATTGGTTTACGAGTATGTGCCCAACAAAAGCCTTGATTACTTCCTCTTTGGTCAGTTGCATTTATTGCTTTGTTTCAATGATTCTTTAGCCATTCTTGAAAATTGGGCCGAATTGCTTAGATTCATGGATGTGTGCACGCAGACCCTGCAAAGCAAGGTCAGCTGGACTGGACTCGACGATATAAGATCATTGGAGGGATTGCTCGGGGGATTCTATATCTTCATCAAGATTCACGGCTCACAATCATACACCGTGACCTCAAAGCAAGTAACATTCTCCTTGATGCGGATATGAATCCTAAAATTGCAGATTTTGGAATGGCAAGGATTTTTGGAATGGATCAAACCCAGCAGAACACAAGCAGAATAGTTGGTACCTAGTAAGTCTTCCACTTAACTTAAGTTGAAGTTTGTTTAACATAATTTTGCTACTATACCAAAGTTTTGTCGCAAAATTTCAGCGGTTACATGTCTCCCGAATATGCAATGCATGGCCAGTTCTCAATGAAATCTGATGTCTATAGCTTCGGAGTATTAGTTCTTGAGATTGTAAGCGGTAGGAAGAATAGCAGCTTCTATGAAACAAATGGTGAACATGACCTGGTTACATATGTAAGTTTCAAGACAATCAAGTTTTATGTGTACCCCTCTTACAATAAGCAATTACAATAAGCAATGGTTTCAATAACTGATTGTTTGATTGATATTCTAGGCTTGGAAGCTTTGGAGTAACGGAACAGCGTTAGAACTTGTGGATCCAATTATTGTAGACAGTTGCCCAAAGAGTGAAGTGGTTCGATGTATTCATATCGGTCTTTTATGTGTTCAGGAAGATCCTGTAGAGCGTCCGACTATGCCAGCCATTTTCATGATGCTCACTAGTAATACTGTTACTTTACCTGTGCCTCGAGAACCAGGGTATTTTGTTCCGAGTAGACCGGAAAAAGACCCGCTTGATTTAGATCAATCAACGACGAGCAAGTCTTTTACAGGGTCTGTTGACGATTCCTCAATCACTGATTTACATCCTCGTTGAATATGATGTTAATCTCCCAGCTTGAACCAATTGGTATTATATTTTACAAACAAGTGAAAACGTTTTTTTGCTGTAGAGTTGAGAGCAAGCAAACATTTGCATACTTGGTGTTGTCTCATCTGTGTATTAAATAATTGTGGTCCAAGATTGCTAATAGAATACGGTCAAGTTTTCTAATTCAGTTTCTTGTTTCCTGAAAACACATGAGCAGCTACATGTCAGTAGATCCTTTAAATATAAAAGATTCATGTAATAACCAATGATGGAGGATAAATTCGTTGAATAGTATGCTGTTCTTGGAAATTGTTGTAGAGACATATTAAAGGGCAAGAGTTTTCTTCACTCTTCATTCCCTTATTGTTTTATTTGATCTCTCACTTTTCTTAATAATTAAATCATTTCATCATCTATATACTTTTAGAAAGGAAAAAAAAAAACAGATTTTCTTATACATATATTTACTATTTGAATTTTGTCTAATAGAAAGTTATCAAGAATTTGATGAAAAAAAAAAGAATGTTATCAGGGAAAGGTAGACTAACAAGGAGTCCATATAGCCAAACTGGTTTATTAACAACATGTCCTATATGATTCCAGGATCAGTATCCTTGTATAGTACTTACTGTTCAGTTTTGCTCTAACTGTATTGACCTCATGTTCCTAGTCAATGAAGGTGGGTATATAACCAAAACTGGTTGACACATTAACTTTATGTCATTTTCAGGTCCCTCTCTATCTGCCACTACTTGGCTCGCTTCTATGGAATGCCTTTATGTCATTTTGTAAGTCACATTTGAAAATTCAACACTATTATGACCTTATATGACTTTTGGCATTGATATTGACACTCAGTTTGACGAATTTAACATTAGAAATTTCTGAGAAACTTCAATTTTGCTGTACGAACTGGTAAGAAACGGACAGATGTGTAAATACTGAGACAAACGTTTTTGCTTTTGAAATAGAAATTTCCAAAATTGTTTTTTGGCTTTTGCTATAATTTGAAAGGAAAAATGAAGCAGAGGAATTCCTACTCAATCCTCTGTTTTATCCTCATAAGCTTCGGTGTTGCTTCAGTTTCAGCACAAATACAATGCATGAACAATGGGAATTACGGAACTAACAGTACTTTCGACGCAAATCTTCGACTAATACTCTCTTCTCTTCCTTCCAATGTCACAGCTCATGACGGCTTCTTCTACAACGGTTCCATCGGACAAGAACCGAACCGTGTCTACGCAATCGGGATGTGCATCCCAGGATCGACTTCAGAAGACTGTTCTGATTGCATCAAGAAAGCGTCTGGTGGTTTGATACAGACTTGCCCTAACCAAATACAAGCGTATTCATGGGCAGATGATCCCACGATTTGCCATGTGCACTACTCCCAAACTTCTTTCTTTGGATCTGCAGATCTAGACCCGCGTAATCTGGTCTACGACAGTACGGATATCCGCTCAAATCTAACAGAGTTCACGGCAGTATTGGAAAACTTAGTTGTTCGTATGATTGATGCAACCTCCACAGCAAAAAGCACACCATCGTCTAGCAAAAACTATTACACAGCTGATGGTGCAGCCTTGACAGCTTTCCAGAATATATACGCACTGATGATATGCACGCCGGATCTTTCCTCTGGTGATTGTGCTAAATGTCTACGACACCCGTCATGCTGTGGTCAGACGCAAGGAGGCGTTGTTATGCGGCCAAACTGCTTTTTCCGTTGGAATTTGTATAAATTCTCTAAGGCTTTTGATAATATTACGTTGCAACCTCCTTCTACGGGCGACCGAGTCAACACGAAAGGTAATGGTAAGTCCTTGTAAAGCTATGATAATTTTAACAAGAACCTATCAAAAGATTCAAAGGTTATATTGCACTTTCCGCAGGTAGCGGAAAAACCTCAACAAGAGCTATTGTGGCAATTGTTGTTCCCATTTTAGTAGTCATCGTCATCATCATCATCATCTTGGTAGTATTTGCTCGTCGTTCTGCTGTACTTTGCTGGAGGAGAAAATCATATCAAGAATTTGATCTTTATCAATGTGAGTGTGCTTTTCTTTGGCCTCTTACCTTTTAGCAGATATGTAGTCTATGGATCTAATTAAGACTATTTTTTACAACTGAAGCTGGTATTACAACTGCACGTTCCCTGCAAATCAAATTTAAGACAATCGAAGCTGCAACAAATAAATTTTCAGAGAGCAACAAAATCGGGCAAGGTGGATTTGGAGAAGTTTTCAAGGTATCATTTCGTTAGCTACTTGGTTCATTACTTCTCTTGACAAAGCCTGGAATTACAGAGTCAAAGTAAGCTGATCACAGTGTAGTTATATATTTGTAGGGTATATTGCCTAATGGAACAGAAGTTGCAGTGAAGAGGCTATCAAAAACATCAGCACAAGGTGGACAAGAATTCAAGAACGAGGTTATAGTTGTTGCAAAACTTCAGCATAGGAATCTTGTTAAGCTTCACGGGTTTTGTCTAGAAGGAGAAGAAAAGATACTTGTTTACGAGTTTGTCCCTAACAAGAGCCTCGATTACTTCCTCTTTGGTTTGTGGAATTAGCATTTGATTGACTTTTGATTTTTTTTTTGGCAGCAACATTTGATGGTATATATGATTAAAATGTGTATAAGTTGCTAATAACTACTTTTGTATGTGCAGACCCTACAAAGCAAGCACTGTTAGACTGGACAATAAGATACAACATTATTGGGGGAATCACTCGAGGAATTCTATATCTTCATGAAGATTCACGGCTCACAATTATACACCGTGATCTCAAAGCAAGCAATATTCTCCTAGATGCCGATATGAACCCCAAAATTGCTGATTTTGGAATGGCGAGAATTTTCGGGATGGACCAAAGTGGAGCTAATACAAATAGAATAGTTGGGACACGGTATATACTACAAGATATGTTCTAATTTCTAAAGCTTGAAAAATATTTTCTTCACCAGTATACTTACTATATATTGTGTTTACTCTTTTAGCGGTTACATGTCCCCGGAATATGTGATGCAAGGCCAATTCTCAACGAAGTCAGATGTCTATAGTTTTGGAGTCTTAGTTCTTGAGATTATATGTGGTCAAAAGAACATATTCGTCCACCACTCAGACACTACAATTGAGAACTTGGTCACATACGTGAGTAGCAAAGAAGAACTGAAATTTTTATTGATGATCAAATGATTAATCAACAATATCATCATTCTTAGTTGATGTTATCAAATTATGTTACACAGGCTTGGAGGTTGTGGAGAGACGGGACACCATTAGACCTCGTGGATCCAACCATTTCAAAGAAATGTCAAACCGAAGAAGTGAAAAGATGCATCCACATTGCCCTGCTATGTGTTCAACACGATCCTACAGATCGTCCAAACTTGTCGACAATCAACATGATGCTCACTAGAAACTCCCTCAATTTACCTGTTCCTCATCCACCTGGATTCTTCTTTCCAAATAGACACAACCAAGAACTAGCTATGGAGGGCTTTGAGTCGAGCCAGTCTACTATCAGGTCAAATTCCCAATCTATCAATAATGTAACCATTACAGATCTTGATCCTCGTTGAAGAAGCTCATTGACACTATATGTCAGAAACTATGTTTCAAGTATTTCAGCTGAATCTGTAATGTCTTATTCAAAAGTTTAATGTAAAAAACGGTATTGTATTAGCTGTATTGTCTTATTCAAAAGTTTAATGCCCTGTATCCGAGCATGTACATGAATCGTCGTGGAAATCATTGTTCCCACCATTATTATCTTCTTGGTAATACTTGCTCTAACATTTTTTATTTGCAAGATGAGAAAATCAAACCAGACAGGATTTTCTTGAAAAGTAGAAGCCATCCAGACGATTCTTTTTCTTGAAAAGTCCATGATGCCTCAACCACTCATTTAGAACCTCATTGAAGATCCAACGATCATATCCATGACGCCACTAAATCTATGCACCCTTTTCCTCATTTTCCAGTAACTATAAGCAAGAGTATCTTACACTTACTTTCCGAGCTATCTGCAGACTTTCTTGGACAATCTCCAGCGTCATTTGCACACTTGTTCATCACAGAGAACACTACATCACGGACTCGATCTGATTGGTTTTCAGAAATTCAGTCCTATTTTAATCAATGTGAAGCCAGGCAATAATTTTCTTTAAAAGAATAATCTCACGCACCTAAACAATACTTTTTTGATATACTAATCGAACGCTTTTTTAATCTTTATCTCTAATCCAACGTTGAATATTTCCTTGTCAGATTTTCAACTCCTTTTCTTTTGTGAGTTTTACGCTGATGACCAAAAAAATTTAAGGAAAAAAAAGGGATTACGCTAATGTTCTAGAAGCATTGACCCAGTCCTCTTCTGGCTTTCCATTCTTATAGGCAGGCGCATACCCAATCATGGGTTTCATTTAAATCTTGATGAGATTTGTCGCATGAAAAGCCGATTGATTTTCCATGTCGGTTATGGAAAAGAATTATGTCAGACATAAAGTATTATATTTCTCAAATTTTTAATATTTGTTTTCGTTTTATTTTCTTTTTCCTCGTATATAATATGTGAAATCCTTGTAAGTTTTTTTTATCACACTGCCTTTGTCGTTTTGGATTTGGCCTTAAGAACCTATATATTATTTACCAAAAAAGCAAATTAATATTTCACATTGATATATTTTTATAAACTCATAGACAAACAATTTTGTAACTAGATGGAGCTTATGGATGCAAAATTAGTTTAAAACATATAATATCTAGGTGAAAAAAGAGAATCACGAAAGAAATTATGGAATGGCCATGAGGAATTAATTTATTTTTATTTTTAATAACAATTAAACTAATAATAAAATACAAATAGTCATTAAAAATTAAAATATAACTAATCTGTATTAAAATTTGAAAACTTCAATTAAACTAAAATAAAAATATTTGCTGAATCGTATATACAATGGAAGCAGTAACTATAGTAGACCATCGTAAATTTAGTCTCGTTGAATTAATAATAAACATACTAGCATATATGATACAAGATTACTAACCTATAACCCAAGAAATTTCCCGTATGGGTGGCGACAATTTTTCAGCCCCAGAATGTTTCTTTGAAGAATAGTCAACAAAGATTCCAAATTTCAACAATTCTATTACTATATAGGAAAAACGACAGTATGAAAGAAATTCTACTACTTTTCAGTCCCAGAGTACTATTTTTCCTCATATATCTAAATTCTCTACTACTAGTAACTATGATCTTTAAAAATATAATTCAGCTACTGCCACATTTATTTTCTCCTGAAAAGTCCAACTACCAATAGTGTATTGCTTTGCAGTGAAATATCTTTCTTTTTTTTGGAAAGAGGTTTAACTTTGAAGTGAAATATCAAAGAGAAATTTTGTAAACATACCCCAAGTCCCTTTCAAATGTACAATAACTCAAGAAATTAAGAATTTAGAGTTGAAACTTGAAAGCATAAACTTCAAGTTTAAAGGTTTTAAAATTTTGACTGTTATGATCATTTTTAATTTGATATAATTCGTTTTTTCATAATTTCTTCTAGTTATATAAGTTATTTTCCCAATTATTAATTTTTTTGTAGTCAATTTCCATTTTCTGTACCATCCATAAAAAAGTTAGTAATGGGATTAGTAGCTGAACCAATAAAGTTGGACAAGCCCCGACAATTCAATACGAGACTTGCTTGACCTTGACTTTTCGTCGTATCTACAGCAGTCACTAGTCACCGAGAGAGAACAAAAGATCAAATTTGTTTCATATATCAGAGTTTTCCCAAAGCTTGATGAGAAGAAGAAACACAAATCAAGAAAGCCCAATTATGTCTTATTACGCCTCTTTCTTCTTCCTTTTCCTTTTCTCCTTTCTCACTAGTTTCAGAGTTTCTGCTCAAGATACCACTTACGTATATCACAGCTGTCCAAATACGACAACTTACACAAGGAATAGCCTTTTCAACACCAATCTCAGAACCCTTTTGGCTTCTCTTTCTTCCCGCAACGCTTCCTACTCCACCGGATTCCAAAGCGCCACCGTCGGGCAAGCTCCAGACAGAGTCACCGGATTTTTTGATTGCGGTGGAGATCTCTCGACGGAAGTTTGCCGTAGCTGCGTCGTCTTTGCCGTCAACGACACCTTAGCTCGGTGTCCGAACCAGAAAGAAGCCACACTCTATTACGATCAGTGTACATTCAGATACTCTAACCGGAATATCCACTCAACTTCTATTACCAATGGAGGAATTATCTTGGCTAACAGACAGAATATTACATCTAACGAACGAGACCGGTTCAGAGATTTGGTTTTGTCCACGATGAACCAAGCCACCGTCGCAGCTGCGAACAGTTCCAAAAGATTTGATGCGAGAAGAGCCAATTTTACGACGTTGCAGAGTTTGTACGCACTGGTTCAGTGCACTCGTGATCTTACAAGACAAGACTGCTCGCTTTGTCTGCAACAGATCAACAATCAATTACCCACTTACAGTATTGGGGGACAAATTCATGTACCGAGCTGTAGGTCAATATTCGAGCTTTTCAAGTTCTATAACGAATCCGACGTTATACCACCACCACCACCGCCAGTTTCTACTCCTCCGGTGTCAGCTCCTCCGCGAACTGGTCAGTGCTCTGTTTTTTTCATGCTTAAGGGAGAAAGTTTGCAGTAATATCTCGAAATTGACAATACCAATAGGGAAAGATTCGTTCTTTTGACATAATTTGGATTTTCTATTCGTTTGTCGTTGTCTGAGCAAATGTATCTTTGGAAAGCAGGGAAAGGTGGGAATTCAACTGTGTTAGTGGTAGCCGTTGTTGTGCCTATTATATTGGCTATTCTGCTTTTTATAGCTGGTTATTGTTTCCTTGCAAGAAGGGCAAGGAAGAGTTATGGCATACCATCTGCATTTGATGGTAAAGATTTCAAGTGATAAACGATCTTGGATGTCAATGCTCAGCTTCTAAGAGTTTCATTGTGTAACAGGAGATGATATCACAGCAGCAGACTCATTGCAGCTGGATTATAGAACAATTCAAACTGCAACAGATGATTTTGCTGTGAGTAATAAGATTGGTCAAGGTGGATTTGGTGAGGTTTACAAGGTAATTATAGTTCCCTTGAGCTTTGTGTTTTTTGCTTGAAATTTTAAGCCAACACTTTTGGATAACGGGATGATGCTGATGTAAACAACAGGGTGTGTTATCGGATGGGACTGAAGTTGCGGTGAAGAGACTATCAAAGTCATCAGGACAAGGTGAAGTAGAGTTCAAGAACGAGGTTGTTCTTGTTGCAAAGCTACAACATAGAAATCTGGTTAGACTTCTTGGGTTTTGTCTAGACGGAGAAGAAAGAGTACTGGTCTACGATTATGTGCCCAACAAAAGTCTGGATTACTTCCTCTTTGGTTAGTTGCATTTATTGCTTTGTTTCAATGATTCTTGGCATTTGAGATTGCAACTGTTTAGAGCTAACTGTATGAATGTGCACAGACCCTGCAAAGCAAGGTCAGCTGGATTGGACTCGACGATACAAGATTATTGGTGGAGTTGCTCGAGGGATTCTGTATCTTCATCAAGATTCACGACTCACAATCATACACCGTGATCTCAAAGCGAGTAACATTCTCTTGGATGCGGACATGAATCCTAAAATCGCAGATTTTGGAATGGCTAGGATCTTTGGATTGGACCAAACCCAAGAGAACACAAGCAGAATAGTTGGTACCTAGTAAGTCTTCCACATAAATTCTCGTAACTTGAAGTTTGCTGGACATTTCTTATGCTAACATCGTTTTTGTTGTGGGTTACAGTGGTTACATGTCTCCCGAGTATGCAATGCATGGTCAGTACTCAATGAAATCTGATATCTATAGCTTCGGAGTGTTAGTTCTTGAGATTATATGCGGTAAGAAGAATAGCAGCTTCTACCAAACAGAGGGTGCACATGACTTGGTCTCCTATGTAAGTTTTAAGCCAATCAAGTTCCATATTTACCTGAACATAGTTGCAAGTGTTGATTGATTGGTTACTATTCTAGGCTTGGGGGCTTTGGAGTAACGGGACACCATTGGAACTCGTGGATCCAGCTATTGCAGATAATTGCCAAAGGAGTGAAGTTGTTCGATGTGTCCATATCGGTCTTTTATGTGTTCAAGAAGATCCTGCTGAGCGTCCGACATTGTCAACCGTTGTTCTGATGCTCAATAGTAACACTGTGACTTTACCCGTGCCACGGCAACCCGGTCTTTTCTTTCAGAGTAGAATTGGAAAAGACCCGCTTGATACAGATACAACAAGCAAATCTGTTCTAGGGTCTGTTGACGATGCATCCATCACAGATGTATATCCTCGATGAAGATGAGTACCTTCATACCTGATTCCTGAATCTATTGGTGTTGAAAATAAGTTAAAAACTTCTTTTGTAGTAGAACGTTTGTATTGTAATTGTAACCACAAGTATAAGATATATACCATTTACACGTTTCTTGGTGAAGACATAACAGTGATTTTTCCTGAAAAATCCAACTACCAATGGTCTATTTCTTTGCAATGAAATAGCAAATGTAGTTTCACAATAAAATACTCAAGAAATTAAGAATTTATAGTTTAAAGCTTAAATTTGGAGTTAAATGACCTAAATGTTGATTATTTTGAAAATTTTAAAAGTTAAATAATTTTCTTAATTTTGATAGAATTTGTTTCCTATAGTTTCTTTCTTCTTGCTGTATAAATAAATCATTTTCCATCACATATTCTATTCTCTATTAAAAATTCGTAATGGATTAGTAGCTAGCTGAAGACAAATTGGGCAGGACAGGACAATTCAATACAAGACGCGTTTACTTTGACCTTGACTTTTCGTCGTCACAAAACCATCCTCTGTTTCACGCTAGTCACTAGTCACAGAGAGAACAAAAATTCAATTTTATTTCATATAACCGAGTTTCCTTCCCAAAAGCTTGATGAGAAACACAAATCAAGAAAGCCCAGTTATGTCTTCTCTTATATCTTTCATCTTCCTCTTCTCCTTCCTCACTAGCTTCAAAGTTTCTGCTCAAGATCAAGATCACACTTTCCTATACCAAATCTGTCCGAACACGACAACGTATTCAAGAAACAGCACTTACTTAACCAATCTCAGAACCGTTTTGGCTTCTCTCTCTTCTAGTAACGCTTCATACTCCACCAGTTTCCAAAACGCCACCGCAGGGCAAGCTCCCGACAGAGTCACCGGGCTTTTCCTCTGCCGTGGAGACTTATCGCCGGAAGTTTGTCGTCGCTGCGTCACCTTTGCTGTCAACGACACCTTAAGTCGGTGTTCGAATGAGAAAGAGGTGACAATCTACTACGATCAGTGTATGCTCAGATACTCTAACGGGAATATACTCTCGACCCTAAGCACCGGTGGAGGAGTGTTTATGTGGAACCCCCAGAATGTTACATCTAACCAACTAGACCAATTCAGAGATTTGGTCGGGACCACGATGAACCAAGCCGCCGCGGAAGCTGCTAGCAATTCCAGAAAATTTGATGCCAGAAAAGCCAACTTCACTGCGTTGCAGAAATTGTACGGACTGGTTCAGTGCACTCCTGATCTGACGAGACAAGACTGTTTGAGTTGTCTTCAACAGAGCATCAATCAATTGCCCACTGATAAAATTGGGGGTAGATATATGATGCAGAGCTGTAGTTCAAGATTCGAGCTTTACGCGTTTTACAACGAATCCGCCATTACTACACCTTCACCACCACCTCCACCGCCGGTTTCTACTCCTCCGGTGTCTGCTCCTCCTCGACCTGGTCAGTGCTCTGTCTATTTCCTCTGTTTTTCGGGAGAGCTTTTGCCGTAATTTAACGAAATTGACAAAACTATATAAAAAGATTCATTCTTTCGACAGAATTTCGCGTTGCTAACTTGCTGCTATGTGTCTTACATGATCTAATCTCTTCCTCTGTTTTTCTGCCCTGATTTCTTGAAATGAGCAAATACTAATAAGGAAAGTTTGCTTCTTTTGACATAATTTGGATTTGCGATTCGTTTGTTATTGTCTGATCTTAAGCAAATGATCTTTGGAAAGCAGGGAAAGGTGGGAATTCAACTGTGTTAGTGATAGCCATTGTTGTGCCTATTATAGTGGCTGTTCTGCTTTTCATAGCTGGTTATTGTTTCATTGCAAAAAGGGCAAAGAAGACTTATGACACAACATCTGCATTTGATGGTAAAGATTTAAAGTGATGAACGATCTTTATTTGGGTTTGAATTTTGATTAATGTCAAAGCTCAGCTTCTCTTTCCTGCTTCTAAGACTTTCATTGTGCAACAGGAGATGATATCACAACTGCAGACTCACTGCAGCTTGATTATAGAAAAATTCAAACTGCAACAGATGATTTTGCAGAGAGTAATAAGATTGGTCAAGGTGGATTTGGTGAGGTTTACAAGGTAATTATAGTTCCCTTGAGCTGTGTTTTTTTTCTTTTTCTTGAAACTTTGTGTGAACACATATGTATAATGGGATGATGTTGATGAAAACAACAGGGTACTTTATCGGATGGGACTGAAGTTGCGGTGAAGAGACTATCAAAGTCATCAGGACAAGGTGAAGCAGAGTTCAAGAACGAGGTTGTTCTTGTTGCAAAGCTACAGCATAGAAATCTGGTTAGACTTCTCGGGTTTTGTCTAGACGGAGAAGAAAGGGTATTAGTCTACGAGTATGTACCCAACAAAAGTCTGGATTACTTCCTCTTTGGTTAGTTGCATTTAATGCTTTGTTTCAATGATTCTTTAGCCAATCTTGAAACTAGGGATTACAAGTCTTTAGAGCTAACTGTGATTTATGGATGTGTACAGACCCTGCAAAGCAGAGTCAGTTGGATTGGACTCGGCGATACAAGATTATCGGTGGAGTTGCTCGAGGGATTTTGTATCTTCATCAAGATTCACGACTCACAATCATACACCGTGACCTCAAAGCGAGTAACATTCTCTTGGATGCGGATATGAATCCTAAAATTGCAGATTTTGGAATGGCTAGGATCTTTGGATTGGACCAAACCCAAGAGAACACAAGCAGAATAGTTGGTACCTAGTAAGTCTTCCACAGAACTTGAAGTTTGCTGAACATTTCTTTTGCTAACATAGTTTTTGTTGTGGGTTACAGTGGTTACATGTCTCCCGAGTATGCAATGCATGGTCAGTACTCAATGAAATCTGATGTCTATAGCTTCGGAGTGTTAGTTCTTGAGATTATAAGTGGCAAGAAGAATAGCAGCTTCTACCAAACAGACGGTGCACATGACTTGGTCTCATATGTAAGTTTTGTGCCAATCAAGTTCCATGTTTACCTGAACATAGTTGCAAGTGTTGGATTGATTGATTGATTGATTGAATAATATTCTAGGCTTGGGGGCTTTGGAGTAACGGAAGACCATTAGAACTCGTGGATCCAGCTATTGTAGATAATTGCCAAAGGAGTGAAGTTGTTCGATGTGTCCATATCGGTCTTTTATGTGTTCAAGAAGATCCTGCTGAGCGTCCAACGTTGTCAACCATTGTTCTGATGCTCACTAGTAACACTATGAGTTTACCCGTGCCACGGCAACCAGGTCTCTTCTTTCAGAGTAGAATTGAAAAAGACCCGCTTGATACAGATACAACGAGTAAATCTCTTCTAGGGTCGGTTGACGATGCATCCATTACAGATGTGTATCCTCGATGAAGATGAGGTTTTACCTTCATGCCTGATTCCTGAATCTATTGGTTGAAAAATAAGTTAAAAACTTCTTTTGTAGCAGAACGTTTGTATTGTAATTGTAACCACAAGCAAGTATAAGATATATACCATTTACACGTTTCCTCTTGAAGACGTAACGGTGATTTTGTCCTCCAAATTAAGCTTTCACAACAATCACGCAGAGAATTTGATTGCTTGAAGAGAGTAAACCAGTAAAAAAGAAACGATTCTTACAGAACTGGCGATAAGCATTTTACAGTGTACAACATACAATTACAGATAAACTTACTATGTTTCTTATGTCCGTGGATAAATAATAGTATCAAATGTCATCTGACCACTGTTATGTGTTTCAACTTTTAAGATATGATGAGGAACCACATCACTTTTTAGGAACTAAAAGAGGAAAAGACTTGCTTGTAGACTGGTCAGACTCTGGTCCCTCGGATACCAGTTCCAGTTGCCTGCTTCGTGGGAAAAATCCCGGTAGGCGAGGCACAGGTAGAGTGATTGTGTTGCTAGTGAGCATTAAGATGATTGTTGATAGCATTGGACGGTCTTCTGGATTTTCTTGAACACATAAGAGCGCGATATGGATGCATCTAGTTACTTCATTACTCTGATAATTCCTTCCAAAAGTTGGATCCACCAGCTCTAATGGTGACTTGTTCATCCAAAGCCTTGAAGCCTAATACAGTGAACAATTAAGAACCTTGGTCATATATGTTTTAAAATTTTAAATTGTTGAAAGTTGGGGACTTTATGCTCACATAAGTGACTAAGTTTCCAGCAGTACTAGTTTCATCCATCTGGTAGACGCCGCTGTTTTTCTTGCCGCTTATAATCTCAAGAACTAAGACTCCAAAGCTATAAATGTCAGATTTCATGGAGTATTGACCATGCATCGCATACTCGGGAGACATGTAAGCGCTGTAAAACATTCAGCTTGTTAATATGCGATAGCAAAAGGTTCAGTGAACTTTTTCAGCTACTATGAGCAGAACTTACTAGGTTCCAGCAATTCTGTTCGTGTTTCCTTGAGTTTGATCCATTCCAAAAATAGTTGCCAATCCAAAATCAGCAATTTTTGGGTTCATATCCGCATCTAAGAGAATGTTGCTGGCTTTGAGGTCACGATGTATGATTTTGAGCCGTGAATCTTGATGAAGATATAGAATCCCTCTAGCAATCCCTCCAATAATCTTGTATCGCCGGGTCCAGTCTAGCTGACTTTGCTTCTCCGGGTCTGCATATCTCCATGTCCAATCAATCAGCTTAAAGTTGAAGAAGGATCCTTTACATAAGAAATAAATATTGACGGGAACCATACCGAATAGAAAGTAGTCAAGGCTTTTGTTAGGGACAAACTCATAAATCAGAATCTGTTCCTCTCCTTCCAAACAGAATCCAAGAAGTCTAACCAGATTCCTATGTTGAAGTTTTGACACAAGAACAGCCTCATTCCTGAACTCTCTTGTGCCTTGTCCTGACTTTTTCGACAGTCGCTTTACAGCTACTTCAGTTCCATTAGAAAACTTACCCTACACACAATTGAATGAAACAAACATCGTCAGTTATTATCATAACCAGTATCTTAGAAAAAATGGAAAACAAAAACCTCCTTACCTTGTAAACCTCACCGAATCCACCTTCACCGAGCTTATTAATCCTCGAAAACTTGTTTGTTGCAGATTCGATTGTCTTAAAATCGTATTGCAATGAATGCGTAGTTGAAATATCACTATCAGCTGCAAAGCACGGGTGTATTAGTTATACTTCATATATTCTCTCTTGGAGACAACATATGCTTATAACGAAAAGAAACAACAAGAACTAAAAACACAAGAAACTAACATTCCATCTCAGTTCTTTGGTATGATTTTCTCCTCCGGCAAAGAACAAATCCTAGAACAAGCAGTATCAAGACAGTAACAGCAATGGCAATGGAAATTGCTGCGACAATTCCAGCTGAGATTCCTTCGCTATCTTCTCATAAAACAAGAAAATAATGTCATATATTTTAATTCTGCTTACAATCATAGTTTTTTTTTTCCAGTTGGAAGACTAACCATTGTCGGTCGTGTTGGCTTGATCACCTGCAGGTTGCGGGCCTTGTGGCACAGTCACAGGAGGTTCCGGAGGTGGAGAAGCCACCGTAATATTATCAAAAGCGTTAGAATATGTATACAAATCCCACCGCAAAAAGCAGCTTGGCCTCATAACAACACCTCCTCGCTTCTGACCACAACATAACTGGTAGTCAATTGCGCTTTGTCGCAGACAATTTTCACAATCACGAGAAGAAAGATCCGGCGTGCATTGCATCAATGCATATATATTCAGGATAGGTGTCAACACTGCTGAATCAGCTGAGTAATGGTTATCACTGGACGAAGGTGTGCTTTTTGCTGTGGAGGCTGCAGAAATCATACGACCCATTAATCCTTCCCATATTTTCGTAAACTCTGTTAGATTTGAGTCTAGATCTCCAGTGTTGGTGAGCGATTTTGGCGGGTTCAGATCAGCAGATCCTGAGAAAGAAGTGTTGGAGTAGCGCACATAACAAAGCGTTGGCTCACCTGGCCATGAATACGCTTCTGTTTGGTTAGGACAATTCTTTAAAAAATCATCAGACGCTTTCTTGATACAATCAGAACAGTCATCTGAAGTTGATCCCGGGATGCACATCCCAACTGCGTAGACACGGTTCGGTTCTTGTCCTATGGAACCGTTGTAGTATAAGCCGTCTTGATCCGTGACATTAGAAGGAAGAGAAGAAAGGATGAGACGGCGATTTACGTCGTAAGTACTGTTGGGTCTGAAAGTCCCCTTGTCCGTCGTGCATGTTTGTGCTGAAACTGAAGCAACACCGAAGCTTATGAGGAAAAAACAGAGGATTGAAAATAAAGTCCTCCTCTGCTTCATTGTTTCTTCAAGATTATGGCAAAAGCAAAATCTTTGTGTTTAGTGTTTGACGCATATGTACGTTTCTTACCAGTTTAAACAAGCAAAATCGAAGCTTCTCTCCAAACTTTTCTAACATTGAATTCGTCAAATTGATGACAGTGGTCCATAAAACTAACGTGTGTCGAAAGTCAAAGTCAAAAGTTAAAAGTCAATAATATTTTCTTAATGCACATAAAGCAATATTGGAATGTTGACCCAGAAAATGACATAAAAGATAAGAGTATACGTAGAACCAAACCCAGTGACGCAGATGTAGATGGGAGAGGATTAGGAACAAGAAAAGTATTGGGCTGAAGTGTCCGTGTCATTGGTTTCACAAATAAACCGGTTTTGGTTTATATATACAGAGTTGAGCAGCAAACCTCTGGATTGGTTCAGAAGATTTCATAACAGTCATATTACATATGTATAAATGATACAGGGTTTAACAATTTGTAGTGTGTGAAATTTGGTTTATGGTTTATGTATCCAACTGTCTAATTTCAGCAAAAGTGTTGTAAAACAGAACGTAAGATGCATATTCAAGTCACATAAAATAGGAAGATACAGTAGAAACAGAACTCACATGAATATTCAGGAAGATCACTAAAAGTCTCACACAAAATAAGAAAATACTTTAGAAGCATCACTCAAACTTACACATAGAGAAGGCTTCCATCTTCAACGAGGCTCTAAATCGGTAATTGACACGTCATTAACAGAATAAGGCATCGATCTTCCTGTAGATTGACTTGGTTCTAATCCCTCGAAATCATCAAGTCTACTCTGGAAGAAAAATCCAGGTTGTCGAGGCACTGGTAGAGTAATTGTGTTACTAGTGAGCATCAAGATGATTGAAGCCAATGTAGGACGATCTGCAGGATCTTCTTGAACACATAACAGCGCGATATGGATGCATCTTGTAACTTCGTTGCTATCATAGTTCTCTCCAACCGACGGATCCACGAGCTCTAATGGTGAACCCTCTCTCCAAAGCCTCCAGACCTAACATAATAACCAAAATCCATTACCGCCCACAATCCTCAAAGTGAGAAATTTTGAAACTTTGTTTTGGTATTCACATATGTGACCAAGTTTCTAGCATTGCCGTCCCGGTCCAAGCCATTGTTCCTCTTGCCGGCTATAATCTCAAGAACTAAGACTCCAAAGCTGTAGACATCAGACTTCACAGAGAAATGACCTTTCATTGCATACTCTGGAGACATATAACCACTGGCAGAACAAGAAAAAAAAACAAAAACGTAACTTCACCCACAACAATAGTATGGTCCATCCCTAAAATCATTGCAATTCAAACTTCAGTTATAAATGCAGACAAGGGAAAAAACAATTACTAGGTTCCAACTATCCTGCTCGTTTCAGCTTGAGTTTGGTCCATCCCAAAAATCCTTGCAATTCCAAAGTCAGCAATTTTTGGGTTCATATCAGCATCTAAGAGAATGTTACTCGCTTTGAGGTCACGGTGTATGATTGTGAGTCGTGAATCTTGATGAAGATAGAGCATTCCTCGAGCAATCCCGCCAATGATCTTGTATCGTATTGTCCAGTCCAACTGGCCTTGTTTCGAAAGATCTGTATGATTCATTTGAAACACAAGTTAATTATGAGGGATCACTATCATTCTCCCAACATATGTATTAAATTGGACTCACCAAACAGGAAGTAATCGAGGCTTTTGTTAGGCACAAACTCGTAGACAAGTATCTTCTCTTCTCCTTCCAAACAAAAACCAAGCAGCCTAACCAGATTTCTGTGCTGAAGCTTGGCCACCAGAACAGCCTCGTTCTTGAACTCTCGTGCGCCTTGACTCGATGTTTTTGACAGCCTTTTCACAGCAACTTCTGTCCCGTCTGGAAGCACACCCTACAAAGAATATAACATCACTTGGATGTGTTATCCAAACTCTCTAGGAGATTAAAGAAAGCAGAAAGTCTAAGAAAATATACCTTGAAAACTTCTCCAAATCCACCCTGACCAATCTTGTTGCTCTCTGAAAACTTATCTGTTGCAGTTTCGATTGTCTTTAAATCAAATTGCAGTGAATGTGTAGTCGTAATATCAATGCCAGCTGCATACAGAAACGTATAGGTCTTGGCACACTAAAATCCACCAAAAAACTGCAACCCAGACCATATATATCTGGAAAAAAGGATAAAGTAAATGATGAGAAACGTGTGAAACAACTCACTCTGACGATCAAGTGATTGGTATGACTTCGTCCTCCTGCAAACAGAAAATCCTAGAGCAGCCAATACCAAGAAGGTAATTACAGCCGGAACAACAATCGCCATGACGACTCCTTTTGAGATTTGTTTATTATCTGCCAAACATAGAAGACAATTTACACAACTGAGAAGAATAATAAAAAAAAGCATATTGTTTTGAAACCGTCTCATTTTCAAATTTGGGGCTAACTTTAGTATACTAGACAAACTTTATGTTGTGACAGTTTCTTGCAATCAAAGTTTGGTATTGAAGTATTTACCTTTATGGGTTTTATTAAGTTCCATAGAAGTTGGCAGTTGAGGCAGAGGTGCTGGAGGAGATGATGGTGGCGCTGTCGATGTAATATGATCAAAAGCCCCGTTAAAAGAATACAGATCCCACCGGAAAATACAGCTTGGCCTAAATACATATCCACCTTGCTTCCCATGGCAGCAGGTTTGATAGTCACCAACACTTTTCCGTAGACAGGTTTTACAGTTTGTCGAAGATAAATCCGGTGTACATTGCATTAATGCATATATATTCTGGAAAGTTGTCAAGGCTGCTATATCGGCTGCATAGTACTTATGATTAGACAATATTGATGCATCCTTGCCTGTGGAAGCCTCGACTATCATTTTAAGCGTTAACTCTTCCCAAATTCTATTAAACTCTGTTACATTAGATTTGATATCCCCATCATTGTACCCCAATGAAGGAGGGTCCATATCAAGTGATCCAGATAATGAACGGTTGGAGTAACGTACCATACAAAGAGTTTTACCTCCACCAGACCATGTAAAGGCTTCTGTTTGGTTAGGACAGCTCTGTAATAACCCGTCAGACGCCTTCTCGATACAATCTGAGCACAGCTCTGGTTCAGCGCCAGGGATACACATCCCAACTCCATACACTCGATCAAGTTCTTGGCCAATCGATGCATTGTAGAAACCGTTACGAGCCCTGACATTTGAAGCAAGAGTAGAGAGGGCGAGAGCACGGTTAATGTCATATGTACTATTGGGTCTAAAAAACCCGTTGTTCACGCATGGTTGTGCAGAAGCAACACTAAAGCTAATAAGAACAAACCACAAGAGATTCTTCTGTTTCATTTTCAAAGATTTGGAGGATATGTCTGCATACATGTGAGTCCATTGTCACTTTATAAAGACTTCACTCATAAAGTTCCAATTTTTGACAGAGAGGATTGCACATTAATAGCATTATTGACATTAATCTGCAAATTGCAATGGGACAGAAAGGAATGATATTGACCCATCATTGGTCCTGTCTATTACATCAACTACTTAACGACTGCCACTTGCATTATCTGCGAAAATTCTTTGAATAAATAATTCATGTAAAGAAAACACCTAACGTATTTAGACGATATCAGACAAGAACAAGACATGAAGAACATGATTCCGAAAAAGGAAAGTTGGAGAATTTTGATTCGATGAAACAGAGTAATCAGCAACAAATCGTCAATTGCAAGCATATAACTAACAGATGAAACCCTAATTCCTAACAATTGGAATCGAAAAGCCATCAACTTTAGATCGCCACTAAATCTGAAAGCGAAACCCTAAACGAAAAAATTCCCAAAATGCGTCCCAGCCCCGGCTGAAGAAGACGTCGACGACCGGTTAACTAAATAAACCGGTTTGGATTGGTATATTGATTCAGGTAAAAAAAAAAAAAAATCAGTTAAGAGGATTTTAATATTTTATTTTCTAATTCAAGTTTTAGAAAATCTTTTTGAAACAATTTTTTTTGTTCTAAAACTTGAGTTAATTAAGAACAGAGTATAACAGAGTAGAACAGGCTACAAAGTCTTGATTATGTCTCTGGTTTTTGAGGCATTGGTAGAGTAATTGTGTTACTAGTGAGCATCAAAGTGATTGAAGGCAATGTTTGAGCAACTATCTAAACGGATTTTATAACAAAGAGCATCAAAGTGAGTGAGCCCCGGCTAAAGAAGACAGCGAGGACCGGTTAAGTAAGTAAATTGACCAAAGAGCTGGTATAAGAATGTAAAAAATAGAAAATGCTAAAAGTGTACATAACTACTTTGATGAGTATCTCACAATTTACACATACATAACTTTTGAATAATTCATTACAGTTTAAACTGAAATACCAGAAAACATAGTTTACTTACAAACTGTTTCAATGTCTCAATGGAACATCATCATCAACGAGGATCAAGTTTCATCATTGATAGTTTGGGAATTGGACCTCCTCGTAGAATGGTTAGGTGTATCTGAAATGAAGAATCCAGGAGGTTCAGGAACAGGTAAGATGACGGAATTGCTAGTGAGCATAGACATGATTATCGAAAAGTCCGGACGATCGATAGGATCTTCTTGAACACACAAGAGCGCAATGTGAATGCATCTTATCACTTCATCGGTTGGACAATTCTCTGAAATGATTGGATCCACGAGTTCTAATGGTGCCCCGTCTCTCCATAACCTCCAAGCCTGTAACATAAATTAATCATCAACCAACAACTAGATAGGATCATACTCTAAGATTTGATTTCTCTTTGGTACTCACGTATGTGACCAAATTTGGAGCCGGAGGGCAGAAGTTCCTGTTCTTCTTGCCGCATATAATCTCAAGAACTAAGACTCCATAGCTATACACATCAGATTTCATTGAGAATTGCCCGTCGATCCTATACTCCGGGGGCATATAACCTCTGCAAGATTAATTGTAACATTGGTGAAGAAAAGATTCTTGATCAACTTCAGTTCATAAGCTATCAAGGGTAATAAAAGCATTTTACTCAGTTCCAACAATCCTTCTTGTGTTAGCTCTAGTTTGATCCATCCCAAAGATCCTTGCCATCCCAAAATCAGAAATCTTCGGGTTCATATCACCATCCAAGAGTATGTTTTCTGCTTTGAGGTCACGATGTATGATTTTGATCCGTGAACCGTGATGAAGATATTGAATCCCTTTAGCAATTCCTCCAATGATCATATACCGCTTTGTCCAGTCTAACTCTCTTTGCTTTATAGGGTCTGCACATTTCATATAGACCCATTAGACTATGAGATTAAGAACTAAGGTTTTAGAAAATGTAAGCTTACCAGAAAGGAAACAATCAAGACTTTTGTTGGGCACAAACTCGTACACGAGTATCTTTTCTTCTCCTTTGACAGAAAAACCGAGAAGTCTAACAAGATTTCTATGCTGAAGTTTCGCGACAACAACAACCTCGTTCTTGAACTCTTTCTCACCTTGTTCTGATGATTTTGACAACCTCTTCACTGCAATTTCTTTTCCATCAGGCAACATACCCTACAAATAACATCAATGCGACAACATGGCTCTGTAAGTCCAATTTTTAGCTTACTTTGACTCTGTAGTTCCTTTTTTTTTTTCAAGAGAAGTCATGAACTTAGTACGTGGCTAAAGAAATGATACCTTGAAAACACTTCCAAATCCACCTTGGCCGATTTTGTCTGAAAATTTCTTTGTTGCAGATTTGATCGTCTTAAATTTATATTGCAGGGAGCGTACAGTTGTAATACCAGCTACAGTGTAATAAATTGTCTTAGTTAGTTCTATATACTATATATTTGCTAAAATCTAGAGGCCAGATAAAATCAAATGAACAACACTCACTTTGATTAAGTTCAACTTCTTGATATGGTTTTCCTTTCCGAGCAAACCGGCAAGCGAGAAGTGCCAAGATGATGATGACAATGACTAAAACAACCACAACAATTGCTACAATAGTTTTCATTGAGATATTTCCTCTCCCTGCAGAAGTTAAAGCTTAACCTTATAACCTTTGAATCTTTGAACAAGTCATAACTTTGCATGGACTTACTATTGTCTGTAGTCTTGGGCCGGTCGTTGGCAGAAGGTGGTTGTGACGCAACCACAGGACGTTGCAGTGGAGGAGGAGAAGGAGGAGTAGCCAGGGTAATGTTATCAAAAGCCTTAGAGAATGTAAAAAGTTGCCACCGAAAAAAGCAGATTGGCCGCATAACATAGCCTCCTGTATTATTTCCACAGCATGACTGGTACTCAAGTACGCCTTGTTGGAGACAGCTGTTACATTCGTCAGAAGAAATATCTGGCGTGCATTGCATTAATGCGTATATATTCTGGAATTTTGTCAAGTTCGCAAAATCAACTCTGTAATGGTTGTCACTGGATGATGGTGTTCTTCTTGCTGCGGAGGCTGCAGTAATCATACGAGATGTTAAGTCTTCCCATATTGTCTTGAACTCTGTTAGATCTGAGGCGATAGTTGCAGTGTTCAAGACCAAATACTGCGGTGTAGTTTCCCAAAAAGCTGCAGATCCTGAGAAAGAAATGTTGGAGTAGCGGACAAGGCAAAGCGTTGGATCAAGTGCCCAATAATACGCGTCTGTCTGGTTGACACAATCCTGTATCAACCAGCCTGCCGCGCCCTTGATACAATTAGAACAGTCACTTGGAGTTGATCTTGGGATGCACATCCCTAATGCGTAGACTCGATCCTGCTCTTCTCCAATAGAACCGTAGTAGAAACCATCTTGAGACGCGGTATTGTTAGGAAGAGTAGAGAGGATAAGAAGACGATTTGAATCGTATGTACCGTTGGGTATGAAATATTTACGGTTCTGTATGCATGTTTGTGCTGAAACAGAAGCAACACCAAAGGTTAGAAGGACAAAACAGAGGATTGATAAGAAACTCCTCTGCTTCATTTTGCCTTAAAGATTTTAGCTTTGTTTTAGTGTGTAAACCTCTGTTCATGTCTTACCAATTTAAGCAGCAATTGTTGTTTCTCGGAAACTTTCAAAATGTCACAAAACAAAAGATGAAAATCTTAAGTCATAATTCATTTTTTTTCTGTTCATACAGTATTATTATGTTTATATCCTTCAAATAATAATGTAGATATGCACTAGGCCAGTAGGCTGGGGGCGAGGTACCATTAACACTCATCCGCGGACAAATTACTTAGCTTTTTCATAATTAATTTCTTACCTATAAAACCAAAAAGCAATCAAAACACGTCGCAAATGCCATAAGGCTACAAACGAAATTGCGTAGCAAAACCCTAGAAAAATCCCTTAAAACCACCAGTTCCTGATGAGTCCTTGGTTTCTTTTTTCTTTTTCTTTCAGAGTCCTTAGTTTCGTGAGCTCTAAGTTTTCTTAGGTCCTATTATAAACCTAGCACACCATCTCCATTCGCCCATAAGACCTGAATAATGAACTTTTCAGGTAATGATTTAGATACAATTAAGCGTTCATCACATAGTCTTATTCCCTTAAAACATTATCCCCAATTCTTATTTTCTTTTTTTAAATCGCTAATTCTTTGTCTTTTGTGTTTACGCGTTTTTTGTTTCAAAATCTTACTTACTAAAAAAGAAATAGAAGTTTCTCTGCAAATTTCAAAATGTTGAATTCGCAAAACTGATAACTGTGGTCCTTAAACCATGTTGAACATATACGGCGTGAAACGGGCCCGCGACAAAAGTCAATGGTTTTGGGATAATGGCAAACGTTGAATTTCATCATCATTCGTAACCATATGTTTTAACCGTTGAACCCAAAAACTCCCAAGTCTCCTATGATTTTTTGGATCCAGTTACTTGTGTAGCACGTTCCCAGGGTGATAACCTATCCCATGTTAAACGAAACCCAAAAAGTAACCGAAAAATGTACACCATTTTATAGAACTCACAAAGCATATCGTAGTCACACAAGATATGAAGGGGTTATAGGGTTTATAGAAGCATCACCATGCCATAGACTCTGACCATTTTGTAGTGTTCCACAATGTTGTATAGAAACAGAAATGGCTCCAAAAAAAAAAAAAAAAAAAAAAAAAAAAAAAAAAAAAAACAGAGTTTCTCTTCTTTCCCTATTTTTTCTTTTCTTTAGATGATTCAGAGAATGTGTGCGCGTCATGTAGTAATTGTTGCTCTTGTCAATTTCATCAAAACGTGAATTTTTATGCACATTAATTATGAGTGACTATTTAGAGTTTTGGCTTGCGAAAGGATCATCTACATATTATCATTAACCTCTAATTTCAACGAGGATTGACGCTCGTGATCGATGCATCATCAATGGAACAAGCAAACGACATGGCAGTAGACGAACGAGGCTGATATCTCTCAGCTAATGGGTTTGGCTCGGATCTGACCCTGAAGACAAATCCAGGTGTTTGAGGAACGGGCAGAGTGATTGAATTATTAGTGAGCATCTGGAAAACATTGGACATGGTTGGACGATCTGCAGGATTTTCTTGAACGCACAATAACCCGATGTGGATGCATCTAATGACTTCATCTTTATCATAATTCTCCCCTATGACCGGGTCTATGAGTTCCAACGATAATCCGTTGTTCCAAAGCCTCCAAACCTGTAAGTCATTTATCAAGAAACCAAAGTTTAGGGCCATGGTCACAGTTTAAAAGAGTAAAAAGAAGTTGGAGCTTGCATTGGCTTTTTAGTACTAACATATGTGACCAGGTTGCCTACTGAACTATCTATCTGGTGGAAGCTACTGCTCTTTTTGCCAACAATTATCTCCAGAATCAATACTCCGAAACTATAAACATCAGATTTCATCGAGAACTGCCCATTCGCCACATACTCGGGAGGCATGTAACCACTGCAAAACACAGCACATATCACTTTTAGTTTTATCAGGAAAAAAAAAGGACAGACAGAATGTTAGTGAAATGGACGATTATTTACAATGTTCCAACTACTCTTCCTGTATTGTCTTCAGTCTGGTCCACTCTGAAATTCCTTGCCATTCCAAAATCTGCGATTTTCGGGTTCATATCTGCATCTAAGAGAATGTTACTCGCTTTGAGGTCACGATGTATGATTGTGAGCCGTGAATCTTGATGAAGATATAAAATCCCTCGAGTAATTCCCTCGATAATGTTATAGCGTTTTCTCCAATCAAGTTGACCCCTCTTTACAGGGTCTGCACATCCAATGTATAGAGCCATTATTAGAATATGCCTATGAAATCAATAAACAAGATTTAGAAAATATAATTCTATCAGTTTTTTCTTATACCAAAGAGGAAGTAGTCAAGACTTTTATTGTGCACAAACTCGTAGACAAGTATCATTTCTTCTCCTTCGACAGAGAACCCGAGAAGTCTAACGAGATTTCTATGTTGGAGCTTTGCTACAAGAAGCACCTCGTTCTTAAACTCTTGTTCACCTTGACCTGAAGTTTTAGACAGCCTCTTCACAGCAACTTCTATTCCATTCGGAAACGTTCCCTGTCAATTCATATGATCTTCACTCACAATCAGAATTTCTCATCTCATTTTTGAACATGAGTTTATAACACAAACTAGTAGTTGAGAAAGTTTAAGAAAATTATGCCTTGTAAACTTCACCAAATCCACCATGACCTAGCTTGTTACTCTTCTGAAAATTACTTGTTGCAGCTTGAATAGCTTTAAATTCGAATTGAAGTGAACCTGATGTTGCAATATCATCTGCAGCTGAAATCATACATGGTGTTATGTTGTATTAACAGTTTTGGCTCAAAGAGACAGTCTCTTACCATCATCTGGTGGTGCAGTACCGCAATTCGTCATTGAGCTCCCTGTAAGAGAAATATGACCATCTGAGAAGAACAGAGGAATAGATGACAACTAATCTGAAAACGTTTATACCCTGAACTCATAAATTTGTCTCAGAGCCAAATCATGAAGAACTTACTTTCAGTTGCAAATTCTTGAGACGCCTTTCGTCTCCTACAAAGAGCATACCCTAGAGCAAGCAGCACACTGATCACCAAGGCGAGAACAACAGTGATTCCGACGATAATTCCTGCATAAGCCCGAATAGCAGGCGAACATTGACACAAAGAAACACAAATCATCTAATATTTGAATATGTTTCAAGCCTTCTTCTAAATAATGTCATACCAGTAGACAACTTACCTCTCTTGTTCGTGTTTGTCTTCCTGCCTACCGAAGGTGTACGAGATGGTGGGAGTGGAGCTGGATGTGACAAAGTATTGTTAAAAGCTTGAGAAAAGGGATATATTTCCCACCTGAAATAGCAGCTAGGACGATTAACATTGCCACCTTTCTTCCCATAGCAACATGATTTATAGTCTCTGACACTTTGAGTTAAACAAGTGTTGCAATCCCGCAAAGATATGAACGGAGTGCATTGCATTAATAAGTAAATATTCTGGAAAGATGTCAAAGACACTGCTTCAGCTGCGTAGTACTTGCGTTGAGATGACGATGAAGTAGCTTCAACTATCATATGACTAGTCAAATCCTCCCACGATCTATCAAACTCGGTCAAGTTTACTTGTATATCTCCATTAACGATCAGATCATAACTTGGTTCAATCTCTAGTGATCCAGAAAACAAATGGTTGGAGAAACGTATCATACAAAGAATCACGTCGTCAGACCAGATAAGGCCTTCTGTCTGGTTACGACATCTCTCAATCAGGCTATTAGAAGAATGGTTGAGACAGTTTGAGCAATCTTTTGGTTCAGCACCTGGGATGCACAACCCTTCAGCGTACACCCGCTCTGATCCTTGTCCAACCGAAGCACTGTAAAAGCCGCCTTGATCTGAGGCATTGGAAGCGAGAGAAGAGAGGAGAAGGCGACGGTTTGTATCAAACGTATCATCGAGTATAGAGAAACCAGTTTTCCCGCATCTTTGTGCAGACAAAACAGGAAAGCTTACAAGGAAAAGCCAGAAGACTGGCAAGAGATTCTTCAGTTTCATTTTCTTAATATCATGCAGATTTTGTTTGAGTTATAGAATAAATATATGCATATATTTACGTCCATTAACACATATGTGACGATTAAATTTTCATTGCAAGTGGTCCATAAACCAATCTCTATTATAATGAATGAATCATGTGGTAATCAGAAGAACACGTTGTAGAATCACAATTCGAGCCCAAAAAAAAAAAGAGAAGGATTTTGCGATGAGAAAAGCCAAAGAAAATTCAGACGAGGTTACATAAAGAAAGCGAAAGGAAAATGATACGTGAATGAAATTTCGTCAATTTATTTGGAAAAATCAGAAGCATTAACTATCAAAGACGAAGTTGAGACAAAATACAAAGACTTATTAGCTACTTCACAGTTATTATCTCTTTGGTATTTATTTGATCTTCGCATTGCCTCCAAATTTATTTATGACAATTACATAAATGAGGAAAATGATTGCTACAAATTGAGTAATTTACTTACATGAAACCAATTTTTTATTTAAAGCAATCTACCTTGTAACAGAGTTGCAAAAGCAGCAATCAATGGATCCCTAAACAGAGTGAGCGAACACAGAGGATTCGCAATAGCTGACTCGGAAACGGGAGAAAATAAACCATCAATTACCGGTTTACATGCTATCGGTTTAGTAAATTAACCGGGTTGGGTTTTCCGTTCACAAATCTTTCGCTGAAACGGTTAGGTGGCCTAATATATAGGACCGGTTTATTCAGTAAAACCGGTTGGGATATTAAACCGGTTGGAATATTATTTTATACTTCAATTATCAGAAGAAAGAGTCCCTTGTGTATTTTGCTTACATTCAAATCGGAAGATTTCACAGCAGAGACTGACATCACATATCATACATAAGTAACATAACCATTGCAATAACGTAATATAAATGAAACATGGTTTATGTCAAACAGGTCTAATGTCTCAATGGAACGTCAACTTTCAACGAGGTTCAAGATCTGTAATGGTCACATCATTGATAGTTTGGGAACTAGACCTGTTCGTAGACTGGCTAGACTCGAGGCCATCTCGTTCTTTGTTGCTTTTATTTGGAAAGAAGAATCCAGGTTGTTGAGGATCAGGTAAAACGTACGAATTGTTAGTGAGCATCATGTTGATTGTTGACAAGTTGGGACGATCAGTGGGACTGTGTTGAACACATAGTAGTGCAATGTGGATGCAGCTTATCACTTCCTCGGTTTCACAATTCTCTGAAATGGTTGGATCCACGAGTTCCAATGGTGACCCCTTTCTCCACAACCTCCAAGCCTGTAACATAATTTAGTTATCATTCAAGAACATATAGTCAAAACCACAATTTATCATTTAATCATTAGTTAAGAACAGAGTTCTTCTTTGGTACTCACGTATGTCACCAAATTCTCAGCTGTAGTGTCTGACTGGTGGACGAATCTGTTATTTTGACCACATATAATCTCAAGAACTAAGACTCCAAAACTATATACATCAGATTTTGTTGAGAATTGGCCATGCATCACATATTCTGGGGGCATGTAACCGCTGCAATAGTTGAGCCAAATCAACCGTAGTGTCAGACTCACTTTTAGTTGCAAATTTCTTGGTACATGCGCGAATCTCCTCATACAAAGAGCCAACCCTAGAGCAAGCATCACTCTGATCATGAAGGCGAGACCAACGATGATTCCGATAGTTCCTGCACAATCCCCAGTATTGTACAGCTTGGAACTTGATTCCATCTCGAGTGATCCAAAGAATGAACAGTTAGAGTTACGTATCATACAAGAAATCTTCTCGAAGAACCAGAAGACGCCTTCTTTCTGGTTGGGACATTTCTCTATCAAACCAATAAGAAGCAAGGTTGATACAGACATACAGTTGGACCAAACATCTTACTTAGCACCTTAGATGCATACACCCAATCGGAAACAGAGGCATTGGAGAAACCGTCTTGAGCTAAGACATTAGAAGCGAGAGAAGAGAGGAGAAGGCCACGGTTTATAGGGTCTAAAGAAACCAGTTTTCCGCATTCTTGTGCAGACACAACAAGGCAAAAACAGAAGACTGGCAAAAGATTCTTCGGTTTCATTTTCAATATCATGCAGATTTTGTTTGAGTTAGGAAAGCAAGCAAGTGTGTGTACATTGAACACCTCTGTCTCTTGGGTTGACTAATGTGCAGTTTCTGTTTTTATATGAATGTATCATATGGCTCCAAGAAGAACACGTCGTAGAATCTCCTAGGTGTAAAGATACATAAATGAAGCAAACGAACAAAACAAAAATTGGCATTGAGAAAAAAGCCAATAACATTAAGACGAAGTGACATAAAGCAGAGCAACACTATCAAAGACTGAAGTAAAGACAAAATAAGAAGACTCATTAGCTGCTTCACAATTCTTATCTCTTTGATTGTAAGAAATTGAGTTACTTTATTTCGATGAAACCACTTTTTCAACGCAGCAATCAATGGAGTGTACCAATAACAAAACAAAATTGAAAATTCTGTCAAAGAATGAATCTTTTCCATATTGGTATTGCTAAGATCAACTAAACAGAGGAAGAAGAAAGTGTTCACTGTTCACCAGGTAGTGAAGGAGATGTCACTGCCCTGGAAACCGCAGAGGCGGCGGTGGTGGTGATGGTGTTTCAATGGCGGTTTCATTGTAGAACGCGTAAAGCTCGTACCTTGAATTACAACTTGGCCAAAACTGTCTAGCTCCAATTCTAGAAAGTGGCATTCTATTGATGGAGCTAGTCAGACATCTCATGCAGTCTTGTCTTGTAATATCAGGAGTGCATTGAACAAGCCCATACAAAGTCTGGAGTGCGGTCAATTCGGTCGTTACCGTAGAGAATTTTCTAGAACTGTTGGCTGCTTCCACGGCAGCTTGGTTCATATTAGATAACACCAAAACTATAAACTGGTTTATTTGATTTTGAATAGGAGAAATAATATTGGGGTTACTCAAGATAAATTCTCCTTCGTTTGTAATGGTCGTCGATAGAATATTCTTGTGAGAGTATCTGAGCATACACTCCTCGTAATAGAACACAGCTTCTCTCTGATTTGGACACCGAGTTAATGTTTCGTTGACGGAGAAGGCGACGCAGTTACGGCAAACTTCTGGCGAGAGGTCTCCGCGGCAAAGGAAAAGTCCGGTGACCCTGTCGGGGGCTTGTCCCGCCGTGGCGTTTTGGAATCCGGTGGAGTAAGAGGCGTTCGGGGAAGAGAGAGAGGACAAAAGGGTTTTGAGATTGGTGAAGTAAGTGCTGTTACTTGAGTAAGTTGTCGTATTTGGACAATTATGATTTAGGAAATAAGGATCTTGAGTAGAAGCTCTGAAGCTAGTGAGGAATGAGAAAAGGAAAAAGAAGATGAAAGAGATCAGAGAAGACATGGTTTTTTCTTCGAGTTCCTTGATTTGAGTTTCACATCAAGGAGCTTCCATATATAAACTGAAAGTTTTTCTTCTCTCTCTAGGGTAAGTCAGTGGTTTGTGACGAGTGACTACGATAAGTCAGTCGCTCAATCAAAGTCAATGTAAACGGCTATGTTGAAATTGTGGCTATTAGAGTTTTGTGTTATGAAAGGATATACATATTATCATTAGGGTATTAACCTCTGATTATATTTCACCGATAACTAACACTCGTGATCGATGCATCATCAATGGAACAAGCAAACGACATGGTAGTAGACGGACCAGGCTCCAATCGCTCGGCTAATGGGTTTGGCTCGGATCTCACTCTAAAGACAAATCCAGGTGACTGAGGCACGGGCAGAGTAAGGAAAGTATTAGTGAGCATCTCAAATACTATGGACATGGTTGGACGATCTGCAGGATTTTCTTGAACGCACAATAAGCTTATATGGATGCATCTGATCACTTCATCTTTATCATAACTCTCCCCCATGGACGGGTCTATGAGTTCCGACGATGATCCGTTGTTCCAAAGCCTCCAAACCTGTAGGTCATTTGTCAAGAAACCAATGTTCATGTGGTCACAGTTTAAAGAGGTAAAAAGTAAGTTCAAGATTGCATTGGCTTTGTAATACTAACATATGTGACCAAGTTGCCTACTAAACCATCAATCTCGTGGAAGCTACTACTCTTTTTGCCAACAATAATCTCCAGAGTCATTACTCCGAAACTATAAACATCAGATTTCATCGAGAACTGCCCATTCGCCACATACTCGGGAGGCATGTAACCGCTGCAAAACACAGCACATATCACTAAGTTTTATTATAAACAAAAACGAAAAGGAATAGACAGAGTGTAACTGAATGTTAACAATTATTTACAATGTTCCAACTACTCTGCCTGTATTGTCCTCAGTTTGGTCCACTCTGAAATTCCTTGCCATACCAAAATCCGCGATTTTTGGGTTCATATCAGCATCTAAGAGAATGTTACTCGCTTTGAGGTCACGATGTATGATTGTTAGTCGTGAATCTTGATGAAGATATAAAATCCCTCGAGTTATTCCCCTGATTATGTTGTATCGTTGTCTCCAATCCAGCTGACCCCTCTTTTTATGGTCTGCACATCCAAACGTATAGAGCCTTTAGACTATGCGTAAGAGATTAAAAACAAAGGTTTCAAAGAATATAATCCTATATATCATATTTTTCTTACCAAAGAGAAAATAGTCAAGACTTTTATTTGGCATATACTCGTAGACGAGTATCTTTTCTTCTCCTTCGACAGAGAACCCGAGAAGTCTAACTAGATTTCTATGTTGGAGCTTTGCTACAAGAAGCACCTCGTTCTTGAACTCTTCTTCGCCTTGACCTGAAGTTTTAGATAACCTCTTCACAGCAACTTCTGTTCCATTTGGGAACATTCCCTGTCAATTCATATGATCTTCACTCACTATCAGAAATTCTTATCTTTTTTTTTGGCAACTAAGTTTAGAGCACAAACTAGTAGTTGAGAAAGTTGAAGAAATTATGCCTTGTAAACTTCACCAAAGCCACCATGACCAAGCTTGTTACTCTTCTGGAAATTATTTGTTGCAAATTCAATTGCTTTAAAATCGAATTGAAGTGAACCTGAGGTTGTAATATCATCTGCAGCTGAAATCATACATAGTGTTATGCTGAAACGTATCCAAGGGACATTAACAGTTTTAATGCAAAGAGCCGTATAGTCTCTTACCATCATCTGGTGGTGCAGTACCATAAGTCGTCATTGACCTCCCTGCAAATAAAATATAACCATCTGAGAAGAACAGAGAAATAGACAACAATATGTAAAATTTAAAAACGTCTATGTCCTGAACTCATAATTGATATAAAAATGTGTCTAGGAGCGAGCCAATGAAAAACTCACTTTCAGTTGCAAATTCTTGGTACGCTTTTCTTCTCCTAGAAAGAGCATACCCTAGAGCAAGCAGTGTAGTGATCACAAAGGCGAAAGCAACGGTGATTCCGAGGATATTTATTATAGAAATCTTTCCGCCATCTGAACAAGGCAAAGTCACCTACCATTATTGCGCTTAAGGGAAAAAATGAGACTAAAAGCTAGTACCGTAAGGTTCAAGCAAGATTAATGAGTGTAAGTGAAACTCACCAGTGGTGTGAACAGATTTGACTACAAGAACAGAGCAGACAAACATCCATCATTGTTAGCTAGAAATATTACGAAAACCATAGCTGGACAAAATAGTTCTGTGATTCTACCTTTTTCATGAAGAAACGTGGGAGAAGCCTTATACTCAATAAATCCATAGAACTGATAGTGATCCCATCGCATATAACAGCTTGGCGTGAAACTATGGCCACGAGTTTTCCCACTGCAGGACAACTTATAGTTATCCACATTCCCTCTTAAACATCTGGAACAGTTCCATGGAGATATATCCTTACTGCATAGAACGAAAGCATAGACGGTTTGGATCCCAATCTTTCCTGTGCCGGCACCGTAGTATTTTGGGTTGGGCGGCGAGATAGCATCGGATATCACACCAAGCATCAAAACTTCCCATTCTTGATAAAAATATGTCAAGTTGACTTGTAAATCTGTAGCATTGTAATTCTTAAAAAAGGGTGTCAACTCGAGTGATCCAAAAAACGACCGGTTGGAGTAACGTATCATACAAGGATACTCCTCGTTAAAGGAGCTCCAGTCAAGTGCTTCTGTCTGGTTGTGACATTTATTTATCAACCTATTAAAAGAAGAGTCGATACAAGCTGAGCAAAGCTCTGGTTCAGCTCCTTGAATGCACGTCCCGGAAGCATACACCCGATCAGGTTCTTGTCCAACTGAAGCATTGTAGAAGCCGCCTCGAGCTGAGACATTAGAAGATAGAGAAGAGAGGAGAATGTGACGGTTTGTATCATACTTATCGTTGGGTTTGAATAAACCAGTTTTCCCGCATTTTTGTGCAGACGAAATAGAAAAGCTTACAAGGAAAAAAGAGAAGACCGGCAAGAGAATTTTCAGTTTCATTTTTAATATCATAGAGATGTTGTCTAGGATTAGGATAGCAAACAAGTGTGTATGTATATATGCATATATTTGTGTGATTGTGTCCATTAAACACGCGTTGGTCTAAGTCGTAAGTCAATGATTATTGGGTTGACTCATGAGCAATTTATTGTTGAATCAAGCATAGTAAACAAATTGGTACATGAAAAACGCCAAATACAAAGTTCAGATTGTTGTAATTATATGAATGAATCATGTGGCACCTTGAACCAAAAGAACACGTTATAGCATCTTCTAAAGGCAGAGATAATGCACACTTGGACGATGAGATAAAGCCAAAAACATTCAGACTAAGTGACATAAAGATAGCAAAAAGGAAATGGTCCATGGAAAATTCGTCAATTGGTAGGGTAAAGCAGAGCAATCTGCCCGGTAACAGCGCAGGGAAAGCAGCAATTAGCAACCAAAATATTAAACTCTAATCCCCAAAACTGACTTGAGCAAAAACAGAGAATTTCTCAACAATAGCTTAAATTTCCCGGTTTAGTAAATTAACCGGTTTGAAATACATTCAAAACAATTTTTTCTAATTTCAGTAACAGATTAGTATAGGAGAACTCACACACAACACAAGTACTCCAAAGGTTTTGGACCTGACAGTACATTGGCATTGACTCGAGGCCATCTCGTTCAGATGGTTGAGGAACGTGTAATCTGAGGATATTGCTTGTGAGCATCAGGTTGAGTGTTGACAAGTTGGGACTGTTAGATGAGATTGAGTATATAAAAGTAAACCAAGTCTCCTTTTAGTTAAATACAAACAGTAGGAACATGGTGCCATGGTGGTCAAAGATGGATAACAGAGCAATATGACCGGTACCAGAGTGGCGTAAGCAGCAATCAGTGAAGTCTACATGCACAATCAAAATTCAAAACCGCCCAATACATCAAAAATCAGCAGAAGAGCGAAAGAAACCCGACAATCAAGATCCAAGTAGTAACCACACAATCTTGTGCAGTAACAGAAATGACACTTCAGATTACAAAGAAGAAGAAACAGGGAACAAAAATACACAACTGTGTGTACGTCCTTTAGTTAAAGTTTTGTGTTATGAAAGGATATATATTTTATCATTAACCTATAATTTCAACGAGGATCAACATTTGTGATTGATGCATCATCAATGGAACAAGTAAAAGACATGGTAGTAGACGGACCAGGCTGCAATCTCTCGGCTAATGGGTTTGGCTCTGATTTGACCCTAAAGACAAATCCAGGTGGTTGAGGCACAGGTAGAATAATTGAAGTATTAGTGAGCATCTGAAATACTGTGGACATGGTTGGACGATCTGCAGGATTTTCTTGAACGCACAATAACCCGATATGGATGCATCTAATGACTTCATCTTTATCATAATTCTCTCCCATGGCCGGGTCTACGAGTGCCAATATTGATTCATTGTTCCAAAGCCTCCAGACCTGTTAAGTCATTTTGCAAGTAACCAATGTTTAGAAACATGATCATAGATAGTTAAAAGAGTAGGAAAGTTAATGATTGCATTAGCTTTGTAGTACTAACATATGTGACCAAGTTGCCTACTGAACCATCTAGCTGGTGGAAGCTACTATTCTCCAGAGTCAAAACTCCGAAACTATAAACATCAGATTTCATCGAGAACTGCCCATTCGCCACATACTCGGGAGGCATGTAACCGCTGCAAAACACAGGACATATCACTTTCAGTTTTATCAGAAAAAAAAAAAAAAAAAAAAAAAAAAAAAGATAGAGAATGTAATTGTAATGGACAATTGTTTACAATGTTCCAACAACTCTTCCTGTATTGTCCTCAGTCTGGTCCACTCTGAAATTCCTTGCCATTCCAAAATCCGCGATTTTCGGGTTCATATCAGCATCTAAGAGAATGTTACTCGCTTTAAGGTCACGATGTATGATTGTGAGTCGTGAATCTTGATGAAGATATAAAAGCCCACGAGTGATTCCCCCAATAATGTTGTATCGTTTCTTCCAATCCAGCTGACCCCTCTTTTTATGGTCTGCACATCCAATGTATATAGAGCCATTAGACTATGCCTATGAGATCAAAAACAGAGGGTTCAGAGAATATAAGCCTATATACTATATAGTTTTTACCGAAAAGGAAAAAATCGAGACTTTTGTTGGCCACAAACTCGTAGACGAGTATCTTTTCTTCTCCTTCGACAGAGAACCCGAGAAGTCTAACGAGATTTCTATGTTGGAGCTTTGCTACAAGAAGCACCTCGTTCTTGAACTCTTCTTCACCTTGACCTGAAGTTTTAGACAACCTCTTCACAGCAACTTCGGTTCCATTTGGGAATGTTCCCTGTCAATTCATTTGATCTTCACTCACTATCAGAAATTCTTATCGTTTTTTGACAACTAAGTTTATAACACAAACTAGTAGTTGAGAAAGTTTAAGAAAATTATGCCTTGTAAACTTCACCAAATCCACCATGACCAAGCTTGTTACTCTTCTGAAAATTATTTGTTGCAAATTCAATTGCTTTAAAATCGAATTGAAGTGAACCTGAAGTTGTAATATCATCTGCAGCTGAAAGCATACATGGTGTTATGCTCATGTCCAAGGGACATTAAAAGGTTTTAGAAGAGCCGGGTAGTCTCTTACCATCATCTGGTGGAGCAGTCCTATAAGTCGTCATTGACCTACCTGCAAATGAAATATCAACCATCTGAGAAGAACAGAATTGAAAACCTTTACCCTGAACTCATAATTTAACATAAATATGTCTTTGTGCCAAGTGATGAAGAACTCACTTTCAGTTGCAAATTCTTGGTCCGGTTTTCTCCTCCTACAAAGAGAAAATCCTAGAGCAAGCAGCACACTGATCACCAAGGCGAGAACAACAATGATTCCCATGATAATTCCTGGAGAAATCTTTCCGCCATCTGAACAAAGCCCAAATCATCTATGCTTATTGCAGTCAAGGGAAAATATGGGACTAAAAAACTAGCAACGTAGAGTTCAAGCTAGATCAATAAGTGTAGCTCACAAGGCGGTGTGAACAGATTTAGGCCATGTTCTTTTAGGTGTCGCAGCGTTTGATTCCAGCGACACCAAATGTAAAGGAAAAAGGTGATAAATGGGTTATAAAGGTGGGTCCCTCTCCAATTAAAAGTTTCAGCGACAGCAAATTAGGAAGGGATGAAGATCGCTGGATTTTCCGGCGACACCTGCGACTAAACTGTTCTTTGAATTTTTCAGTCGCTGCCTCCACACCAGCGATTGTGGAGAAGAAAACTAGAAGAAATAGAGAGAAATTCCAGTCGCCCAAGTTAATCGCAGCGATGCGTAAACGAACAAGCCCTTAATGACAGGAACAGAGCTAGACATGATAGTTCTGAGATTCTACCTTTTTCACGAGGAGGAGTTAACGAAGTCTTATTCTCGAAAACTCCAAAGAATGGATAGAGATCCCATTCCATGAAACAGCTCAGCCTCAGAGTAAGGCCACCTTGTTTCCCACTGCAGCACGACCTATAATCATCCACGTTCTGTCTTAAACATTTGGCGCAGTTCCATGGAGAAATATCTTTACTGCATAGCACGAAAGCGTAGATATTTCGCGAAGTCCCAATTTTTTGTATGCCAGCACCATAGTACATTGGGTTGGACAATGAGGTAGCTTCAGCTATTAGACGAAGCATCAAGGCCTCCCATGTATTATCAAACTCTGTCAAGTTGACTTGGAAAGCTGCAGTATTGTACACCTTGTAACTTGGTCCCATGTCGAGGGACCCAAAAAAGAAACGGTTGGAGTAACGTATCATACAAAGAGTCTCCTTTTCGAACCAAAGGAGGCCTTCTGTCTGGTTGGGACATTTCTCCATCAACTCAGCAGACGCAAGGTCGATACAGTTTGAGCAAACCTTTGGTTCAGTACCCGGGATGCACATCCCCACAGCGTACACCCTATCGGAACCTTGTCCAACCGAAGAATTGTAGAAGCCACCCCGAGATGAGACATTAGAAGCGAGAGAAGAGAGAAGAAGGCCACGGTTTGTATCAAACTTACCATGGAGTATAAAAAACCCGGTTTCCCCGCATTTGTGTGCAGACACAACAGGAAAGCCTACAATGAAAAACAAGAAGATTGGCAAGAGATTCTTCAGTTTCATTTTCAAGATCATACAGATGTTGTTTGAGTTAGAATAGCAAGGAAGTGTGTATATCTATATTCTATAAGCATATATTAATGTCCATCAATTAAATTTCCATTGCAAGTTGTTCTTGACCCATTGGTCCCTGTGTCTTTTTCAATGTTTATAGGGTTGACTAGTGTGCAATTTCTGCTTTAGGTCAAGAGTAGTCAACAAATTAGTACTTTTACAAAGATTGATGCAATTATATGAATGAATCATGTGGCACCTATAAGAACACGTTGTAGAATCTCCTATGCTGAGATGATGCAACATTTCTAGCAAACAAAAAAATAAACATTTAGACAAAGTAACATAAAGAACGAAAACAAAATGGTAACGATCATCAATTAATTGGATGAAACAGAGCAAGAAAGATACAAGGGCTCATTATCTGCTTCACAATTCTTATCTCTTTGACATGCCTCCAAGTTTTATATATGAAAGATATGGAAATGAGGAACATGATGGTAAGAAGTGGAGTCATTTACTTTGATGACACCAAATTTTAAAGCAGAGCAATCTACCTAGTAACTCCACTATCCAGAGTGGTGAAAGATGCTCAATGGAGTCTACATAGAAAAATTAAAACCTAAATTCAGTAATTCCCAAACTGAGTTGAGTGAAAACAGAGAATCCACAAAAGCTGATTCGGGATGAGAGAAGGAACCATCAGTCACAGTGTAGTATATTAACTGGTTTGAATTACACTCATACATTCATCAAATTCGTCTAATTTCAGTCACAACTTAGTGTAAGAGAACTTACATGAATGACACAGGTACTCCGATTGGTTAGACTCGAGGCCATCTCGTTCTTGGTGGTTGAGGAACATTTCTAGTGACCAACAGGTTGATTGTTGACAAGTTGGGACGATCTGTTGGATGTGGATGCATCTGATAATTCTCTACTAGTTGGTCCAGTAGTTCTAAGGTTGACCCACTTCTCCATGCCCTCAAAGCCTAGTAACAAAATTTAATGATCAGTCAAGAACTTGCCATCATGGCAACAAAATAAGATCAAAAGTTAAGTTCTTTAGGACTCACATATTTGACATTATTCTCAACCATAGTGTGTGAATTGTGGAAGCTGCCGTTTATCCTGCGGCATATAAGCCGTGAATCTTGATGAAGATATAGAACTCCTCGAGCAATCCCTGCAATGATCTTGTATCGCGTAGTCCAATCCAACTGACCTTGCTTTTAAGGGTCTGCACATCAATACATACTCATTAACTATGACTTAAACCAAAGATTTCAAAAGTGGTAAGTATTGACAGCAACATACCAAACAATAGATAATCAAGGCTCTTGTTGGGAACAAATTCTTAGACGAGAATCTTTTCGTCTCCCAAAACCCAAGAAGCCTATGTTGAAGCTTTGCTACTAACACAGCCTCTGTCTTGAACTCTTGTGCACCTTGTCCTAATGTTTTGGACAGTCTCTTAACCGCTACTTCAGTTCCATTTGGAAGTATTATACCCTGAAAGAAAATGAGCCAAACCCATATTGATTCAAAGTTCCAAACCTTCAAGTGAAGTAACAGAATCAAAAGTTGCAAGAAGTTAGAATACCTTGTACACTTCACCAAAAAGGGTATAAAAGTGTAGCAATCTTAAGCTGAAATTCACTTTTTCTTCTTATTTGTAACATCGTTTCTAGCTGATAAAACAGAGCAATTTCAAGAATTAATCCACATAAGTGAACAAGGGTTTTCAAAACCCTTACAATCATTATCAAACCCTAAATTTCCCTGATTATGAAAGAAAAGTTACTTTTTTAAATTTGGAAGATGAATCATAACCACATGGAACAAACTCACATTGAAAATCAATTTCTCGGTACGATTTTCTCCTCCGGTAAAAAGCAAACGCAAGTGAATCGCCATCTACACGCAGTCACCAGTCACCAAGTGGAAAATTCTAAATTTGTGTTTTAGCCCTTTAAATTTTATAATATTGTTTATATTCCTTCTGATTTGATCCCTTTAAAATTACACATTTATCTTTAAACCCTTTAACTTATTTCTAGATCAGCCAAGCCCATATGGAAACATCAAAAAATCAAATAGAGCATGCTACGTTTTTCAACGAGGCGTAACATAGGTGATTGTTGCTTCATCTACAGAACTAGTAAAAGACTTGCTGCTCGATTGACCTGGCACCAATCCCTGGCTTGACGGGTTCGATCCTGGTCCGTTCCTGAAGAAAAATCCAGGTGGCTGAGGCACAGGCAGAGTAATTGAGCTGGTTGTGAGCACTTGGTAAATCGTCGACATTGTTGGTCGATCTGCAGGATTTTCTTGCACACATAACAGCCCAATATGAATGTACCTAATGACTTCATCGCTTTTACAATCTTCTTTAATAAAAGGATCTATGAGCTCATGCAATGATTTGTTCTCCCAAAGTTTCCAGACCTGTAGAATATATACATTCAGAACTATGATTACTTGTTTTATAAGAATCGATCAAAAAAAGTTTGGGAGTTTGTTAGTTTAGAATAATACTCACATATGTGACTAAATTGTTAACTAAACCATCCATCTGGTAGAAGCTACTATTCTTTTTGCCACTTATGATCTCAAGAATCAATACTCCAAAGCTATAGACATCTGATTTCATCGAGAATTGGCCATGTGTCACATACTCGGGAGACATGTAACCGCTACAAAAAAAAAGCACAAGTTACTTGGAAGTTAAAGGGTTCATTGATTGAACACTATCAAATCCATACAAGTATATATACTTACAAAGTTCCAACTACTCTTGCTGTATTGGCTACAGTTTGGTCCACTCCAAAGATCCTTGCCATTCCGAAATCAGCGATTTTCGGATTCATATCCGCATCTAAGAGAATGTTACTCGCTTTGAGGTCACGATGTATGATTTTGAGCCGTGAATCTTGATGAAGATATAGAATTCCTCGAGTAATCCCACCGATAATGTTGCGTCGCACTGTCCAGTCCAACTGATTTCTCTTGTTAGGGTCTGCATGTTCATACATAATCAGTTAGTCATACTTAGCTATGTACAAAAAAAAACAGAAAAAAGTATGGTTCTAGTTAGAACTAACAGACCGAAAAGGAAATAATCGAGGCTTTTGTTTGTAACAAATTCATAGACGAGTAACTTCTCTTCTCCTTGTAGCGAAAACCCGAGAAGTCTAACGAGATTTATGTGTTGAAGCTTTGCAACAACAACAACCTCGTTCTTGAACTCTACTTCACCTTGTCCTGATGTTTTGGACAATCTTTTTACCGCAATTTCAGTCCCATTCAAAAGCATACCCTTGAAAATATTTACAAATTAAGCACATCCGACTTTTCACAAAAGAAAGTGAGGTGGACAAAGAGCATATATATACCTTGTAAACTTCACCAAATCCACCTACACCAAGCTTGTTATGCTCAGAAAAGTTGCTCGTTGCTGCTTCAATTGTCTTTAAATCAAATTGAACAGATTCCGCTTCATTTAAAACCACTATTAAGCTCGTTAAAAAGTTCCACTTCAAATTTTAAGGTCTAAAAACCAAAACCAAACAAAGGAAAAAACTCACTTGGAAGTTCAATTTCTTGCTTTTGTTTTCTTCTCTTGCAAATAAACAAGCCTACAACAATCAGTATTATTGCAACAACAATAACAACAACTATCGCCGCGATAGTTCCACCTGGAGTTTTACTATCTGCACAAAACACAATGCACCAACAACATAAGTCTACAAAAGTAAAAAGTGTGACAAATTTGCTCTGAAATGCTAGTAAAAGAACTTGCCATTGTTCTTGGTTATATTGGTTAGGTTGGGTACAGGGGGTGGTGAAAACGGGAGTGAAGGAGGCGGTGGATGTTTGGCATTAATACTATCAAAAGCACCAAAGAAAGTATACAATTCCCACCGGAAAAAGCAACTTGGCCGCAATATAATGGTGCCTCTCTTCCCATAGTACCATTTCTTATAGTAATCAAGACTTCTCTCAAGGCAAAGTTTACAATCCTTTGAAGAAACATCTGGAGTGCATTGCATCACCACCGATATGTTCCCGTAAACCCGTTCAGGAGCTACATCCTTTGCATAATATTTACCAGACAGTGATAAAGAAGAAGAAGTAGACGACGAGTTGTTTCTTACCGATGAAGAAGCTCCTTCGATCATACGAAACATTAACCCGTCCCACACACTATCAAATTCCTTCTGGTCTTCTTTTCTTATTTCATTGATATTGAAGAATTCATTAGACGGCTCCAAGACAAGTAGCCCGGAGAAGGACTTGCTAGAGTAGCGAACAAGGCAAAGGGTTTCTTCACCTGACCATGAGAAAGCGTCGGTCTGGTTCAAACAGGTCTGTAGTAATCCCTCTGATGTGGTCTTAATACAGTCGGAGCAAACATCAGGTTTAGCACCTGGAGCGCACATCCCCATGGCGTAGACTCGGTCTGAACCAAGCCCAATCGAACCGTTGAAGTAGCCGTCATGAGCCGTGACGTTAGAAGCTAAGGTGGAGAGGATGAGACGGCGGTTGTTGTCATAAGTACTATTGGGTTTGAAACTACCAGCAGTTTGGTCACACGTTTGTTGAGCAGAAACAGAAATGACACTGAAGCATATAATGAAGAAGAACAAGAAACAGAGGATTGATTCACAACTCTTCTTTGCCATTTTTTGTTTTCTTTAGAAAAGTGTGTGACTGGTGTTTTTGGTTACTAGTGGTAGTTCTTATCATTAATATAACCCATAACTTCTGAATTTTCTTGAATGACCATGTGGAGTAATAAGACATTGACTATTTTGGATTTTAGGTGGAAGACATAGTTGAATTCTCCAAGTCAATATTTATTATTACTGTTTTACCCTTATAAAAGCATATACAAGTCAAAATTGGCCTAAACGTTCTTTTTTGATAAAGGGTTTAATTGGCCTAACTTTCAACGAGGACTAGTGATCGATGGTATAATAGTCAGCACTCGAAATATTTTAGACATGCTTGACTAATATAGACACTCAAAAATTTTCTGAGTGAATTTCTGTGGTGAATAATTCAACCTGAAAAATGACCCTTTAAAAACTTTTTTAAATACAGATATTAAATAAGTGATAGAGGGGCCTTTGTGGAGACAAGAAAAAAACATTGCTGAATATTCAACGAGGATTAACATCGGTGATTGTTGCTTCATCTACAGAACAAGCAAAAGACTTGCTGTTCGATTGACCCGGCTCCAATCTCTGGCCTAATGGGTTCGATCCTGGTCCGTTCCTAAAGAAAAATCCAGGTGGCAAAGGCACAGGCAGAGTGATTGAACTATTTGTGAGCATTTGGTGAATAGTAGACATTGTTGGACGATCTGCAGGATTTTCTTGAACACACAACAGCCCAATATGGATGTATCTAATGACTTCATCGCTTGTGCAATTTTCTCTGATACCGGGATCTATGAGCTCATGCAATGATTTGGTTTCCCAGAGTTTCCAGACCTGTCGAATATATACATTCAGAACTATGATTAATGTTTTAACTTTTAAGAGAATCAAAAACAATTATGGGAGTTTATTAGTTTAGAATTACTCACATATGTGACTAAATTGTTAACTAAGCCATCCATCTGGTAGAAGCTGCTATTCTTTTTGCCACTAATGATCTCAAGAATCAATACTCCGAAGCTATAGACATCTGATTTCATCGAGAATTGGCCATGTGTCACATACTCAGGAGACATGTAACCGCTGCAAAAACACAGTTTATATTGGAAGTCAAAAACGGTTCAATTAATGATCAAAAATCATCAAAGTCCATTTTAAGATGATACTTACAAGGTGCCAACCACTCTTCCTGTATTGGCTACAGTTTGGTCCACTCCAAAGATCCTTGCCATTCCAAAATCAGCAATTTTCGGATTCATTTCAGCATCTAAGAGAATGTTACTCGCTTTGAGGTCACGATGTATGATCTTAAGCCGAGAATCTTGATGAAGATATAAAATCCCTCGAGTAATCCCACCGATGATATTGCGTCGCATTGTCCAGTCCAGCTGATTTCTCTTCGTAGGATCTGCATATTTATACATGATCAAAATTTTTTGGTGCAAAATACATGATCAATTAATCATAAATAGTTATGTACAAAAAGAAGAAGAAGCAGACTAAAGTTGTTTTGAGTTAAAAAATTGCATACCAAAGAGGAAATAATCGAGGCTTTTGTTTGAAACAAACTCATATACGAGTAACTTCTCTTCTCCTTGTAGCGAAAAACCGAGAAGTCTAACGAGATTTATGTGTTGAAGCTTTGCAACAACAACAACCTCGTTCTTGAACTCTACTTCACCTTGACCTGATGTTTTCGACAATCTCTTTACCGCAATTTCAGTGCCATTCATGAGCATACCCTTGAAAATACTTACAAATTAAGCACATATCCTATTCTCCACAAAAGAAGCAAATGAGGTGGGCAACATAGAGCGTATATACCTTGTAAACTTCACCGAATCCACCTTTACCAAGCTTGTTACGTTCGGAAAAGTTGCTTGTCGCCGATTCAATTGTCTTTAAATCGAATTGAACAGATTCCGCTTCATTTGAAACCATATTAAGCTCGTCAAAAAATACAACTTCAAATTGAAGGTATCAAGGTTCTAACAGACAAACAAACAAAGAAAACTCACTTGGAAGGTCCATGTCTTGCTTTTGCTTTCTTCTATTGGAAATAACCAAGCCTAAAACAACCAATATTATTGTAACAACAATAACAACAACTATTGCCGCGATTGTCCCTCCTGATATTCTACTATCTGCACAAAACACTAATCATCAAAAACATAAATACACAAAAACCAAAAAAAAAAAAAAACAGAAATAAACAAGAAATTTTTCTGAAAATGTTTCCAACAAGGACTTTCCTTTCTTGGTTATGTTGGCTATAGGAGATGGGGGTGTGATTGAAGGCGGCGGTGACTTCGGTAAATTAATCTGATCAATAGCACCAGAGAAGGGATACACTTCCCATCGGAAAAAGCAGTTTGGCCGTGATAAAACGCCGCCTTGGTGCCCACGGCAACAATTATCATAGTCGACAACGTTTTTCCGTAAGCAAGTGTTACAATCCTCTGAAGAAACGTCTGGTGTGCATTGCATCAACGCTGATATGTTCTTGAAATCCGGCACTAGAGCTATATCTTCTGAATAGTATTTAGACGAATTGTTCGCGCCTGATGAAAAAGAAGTTATTCCGGCGATCATACTAGAAGTTAAATTATTCCAAACGATATCAAACTCAGTCTGATTCGTATTGAGTTCTCCCGTATTGAAAATCGCTCCTAGTGGATCCATGACGAGCAATCCAGAGAAGTTGCGGTTAGAGTAGCGAACAAGGCAAAGGGTTTCTTCACCTGACCAGAAGAAAGCATCTGCCTGGTTTGGACAGCTTTGAAGTAAACTCTCTGATGTGGTCCTGATACAGAGAGAGCAAACATCACGCTCAGAGCCTGGAGCGCACATCCCCATGGTAAAGACTTGGTCAGGAGAAATCCCAGTCGAACCGATGAAGTAGCCCTCGTGAGCCGTGACATTAGAAGCTAGAGTAGAGAGGATGACTCCGCGGTTCTTGTCATAAGGACTATTGGGTATGAAAGTCCCAGTAGTATTGTCACAAGTTTGTGCAGAAACAGAAATGGCACTGAAGCATATGACAAAAAAGAAGAAGAAACAGAGGACTAATTCACAACTCTTCGTTGCCATTTTTCTTTTTCTTCAGATTATGTGTGGGTGGTGTAGTTGCTATTTGTGGTTCTTATAAATTTAATTATAAGATTGAATTTTCTATTTGAATGACCATGTACATTAATAAGAAATTGACAACTTTGAATTTTGGAGCTAGACTTGGACTATGTAAGTCAATCTTTGATATTACGGGTTTTGGGCTTATTAAAGACTATGATATTAGTCTCAATATTCAAAGAGAACTAATTACACTCGTTATCGATGCATCATCTACGTACAGAACGAGCAAAAGACCCTGCTAGTAGACGGACTACGCTAATAATGGGTTTGGCTCAGATCTGACCCTTGAAGAAATATCCAAATCCTGGTGTGGTTGAAGCACATGGAGAGTAATTAAGTATTAATGAACATTCGAAATATTGTGGACATGCTTATTGGACGATAGCAGGATTTTTCTTGAAAGCATACTAACCCAAATACCCAATGTGAATGCATTTAATGATTTAATTACTGATCCATTATTTCTTCAAAGTAAAAACATACAAAAGTGTGATCATACGATATTTGATTTATTTCTCCACAAATAAAAGTGATTTTTTTTTTGTAAGAAGCTTAACTGCCTAAATACGAGTTAATTAAGATTACGTTTTTAGGTTTACGTCTCTGCATGAATTCTCTTATCAGCGTGTCATTTCAATTTTTTTTTTACTTTTGAGAAGGACCAGTTAAAGTAGCGTATGAAGCAAGTTTCATCGCAAGTTTTGCATATTTTCTTAAAAGAAGAGGATCAACATGGATATTAAAATCAAGAGCAAGTGTTAGGGTAGAAGAGCAAGAGCTTTGTGTTGTTGAGATAGGTTGGGACACACCGCTTCTGTAACGAAATTAAAAAAAGAACGATTAATACAAAAAGCGATAAAAAAAAAAAAAGAATGAGTCAAATAATCCTCTTTTTTTTATTCGGATTATCTTACCGCGTCTCTATTCAAAGCCTCCAAAGTCCAACAGATTAGTCATCAATATGGAATTATATCAGAAGTAAAGGTCTTGTACTATGAAACTAAAATCGTTTTCTCTTTAGAATTTCCTGCACAGCTAAAGTTCCGTTTCATGATTTGTCTTCTTTAGCTAACATTAATTAACCTAATCTAAAAGACAAGTCTACACCCAAAAAAAAAATGAAAGAAATTGTATTCTCTTACATATAATTACTGTTAAGTTTCAGATTGATTGGAGTCATAAACAAAAAGACAACAAAAACAGAAAGAAAGGGAGAAGAATTAGATAAATGTCTGTTTATTATGCCTCTTTTGGTTTCCTCTTCCTTATAGCCTTCCTCGCAAGCTTGCCTTCTTCTACTCAGCTACAAGAACCAACTTACATCTACCATGTTTGTCCTAACACGACAACTTACCTTGAAAATAGCACATACTCTTCCCATCTTAAAACCCTTTTGTCCTCTCTTTCTTCCAACAATCCCTCTTTCTCCAGCGGATTCTATAGCACCGCTGCAGGTCGGAGTCCTGATGTGGTATTCGGGCTTTTCCTATGCAGGGGAGATGTCTTGCCGGAAATCTGTCGTGACTGCATCGTCTTCGCTGTCAATGACACTCTGTCTCGATGTCCAGAGGAGAAAAAGAGCTTGATATGGTATGACGAGTGCATGCTTCGATACTCTGACGAGAATTTTTTCTTGGAATCTTCACTTCAGAATGGAACAAATGGAATTATCTTGATTAACACTCAGAATGTTACATCTAATCAACAAGACATCTTCTGATATTTGGTGTTGTCCACTATGCACCAAGCCGCCAATGAAGCTGCAAACAGTACCAGAAAATTCGACGCGAGAAAGGCCGCTTTTACCGGATTTGAGGATTTGTATGTATTGGTTCAGTGCATTCCTGACCTGACGAGAGAAGACTGCTTAAGTTGTCTGCAACGAACCATCAATAGCTTACCCACTGATAAAGTTGGGGGAAGACTTGTTGTGCCGAGCTGTAGTTCAAAATACGAGGTTTACCCGTTTTACAACGAATCCGCCGTTGGAACACATCTACCTCAGCTGGATCCAGCTTCTCCACCACCACCTGGTCTGACAATTCTCTTTTCCTTGATTACATGTTTCAGCACAACTTATCTTTTGAGAAACATTCAAAGATTTGCTAAAACAAGTGTTCATAAGTGGTGATCTGATACAAACTATTTATGTCAATACAGGAGAAGGCGGAAACTCCTCTGTCATAGTTATCGCTGTTGTTGTTCCAATGACGATCATTTTTCTTCTTTTAGTAGCTGTTTTTAGTTTCCGAGCTAAGAGAAAGAGGTTGGTTCATGAGACAGAACCACTAGCTGGAGGTAAAAAGGCTCATTTTCTTAGGTTCAATGATTATTCTACCTTGTCCTTATATTAATTCAGCTGTTGAAATGCTTTTTACAGATAGGGATGATATTACAACAGCAGGCTCACTTCAGTTTGATTTTAAGGCGATTGAGGCAGCAACAAATAAGTTTTCGCAAAGTAACAAGCTTGGTCAAGGTGGATTCGGCGAAGTTTACAAGGTATTAACATAGCATATGACTGTAGCTGTTTTATCTACATGTATAAACTGAATAATACGTTAAGATAAGGTAGTTTAGAGTTTGAACCTTGGAGAAATGTAAGACTTATATTGGGAATCGAGAGAGTGGTGAGGTGTTTCACAAAGTCTTAACATGATTTTTTTCGAATCAAAACCACAAAAACATGATTTGTGTCACCACTCACCACTATACAAATCATGTAAATACTCTGTTTTTCCCCTGTGTCCAGATCAAATCTGACATATACTTTGAGAATTGAGATGTATGGGATTAAGTGCAACAACCTTGTAACTGCACTGTTGTAGGGTACATTTCCTAGTGGAGTACAAGTTGCGGTAAAGAGGCTATCTAAGACATCAGGACAAGGTGAAAGAGAGTTTGAAAACGAAGTTGTTGTTGTTGCAACGCTCCAACATAGAAATTTGGTAAAACTGCTTGGTTATTGTTTGGAAGGAGAAGAAAAGATACTTGTCTACGAGTTTGTGCCCAACAAAAGCCTTGATTACTTCCTTTTTGGTCAGTTGAACTTAATTCTTAGCCTCAGATATTTTTTTTCAAATTGCATGCCATTTTTTTTATTAACATTGTAAATATGAATTATGAAGACTCTACGATGCAGAGCCAGCTTGACTGGACAAGACGATACAAGATCATTGGAGGCATTGCTAGAGGAATTCTATATCTTCATCAAGATTCAAGACTCACAATCATACATCGAGACCTCAAAGCGGGTAATATCCTCTTGGACGGTGAAATGAACCCCAAAATTGCAGATTTTGGAATGGCAAGAATTTTTGATATGGACCAAATAGAAGCCAATATATACGAGAAGAGTAGTTGGAACCTAGTAAGTTTATCTATGCCATTTATTGCCTCTTTTAACTGTAATTTGCTCCTATTAACTCAAACATATAAGTGTTTTTTTTTCAGTGGTTACATGTCTCCTGAGTATGCGATGTACGGTCAATTCTCAATGAAATCAGATGTTTATAGCTTTGGGGTATTAGTTCTTGAAATTATAAGCGGCAAAAAGAACAGTAGTCTTTATCAAATTGATGGTACTGCTGGAAATTTGGTTACATATGTGAGTATACAGTGTACACCCTTAAACTTCCAGTTTTTTCTGGTTTTTGTAATAGTGACCAAAGTTCTTATTGTTAAAAATGTTCACTAGACTTGGAGACTATGGAGCAATGGGACGCCACTAGAGCTTGTGGATCCGTCCTTTGGAGATAATTATCAACACATGATATTACGAGGTGCATCCATATCGCTTTACTATGTGTTCAAGAAGATGCTGAAGATCGTCCAACCATGTCAGCGATCGTTCAAATGCTCACTACTAGCTCCATCGCTCTCGCCGTGCCAAGACCACCTGGATTTTTCTTCCGAAGCAAGCATGAACAAGCAGAAAGAGCAGGTCCATCTATGGATATATCTGCGCTCTGTTCAGTCGACAAAGCTTCCATTACTCGTGTAGCTCCTCGTTGAAGACAAAACTATTCATAAATCTAAAACATTTGTGATACATATGATTCTAGACTAGTAAGATCGACAGTGAACAAAAATTCGTCTAAGTTAAACTGGTTTCATTATTTATTTTCTTCATGTTCCGGGATAGTAAGAAAGTGATAGTCTGATTTTTAAAGTTTGGTTTCCTTTAACAATGAATATGAGCTACAAGAGTCACTGGACGACGATATGGAATCTTGACGGTCGTTGTCAAGCGACTCATCCAAGACACGAAAAGCTGTTCGACTCCCGCGTTCTCCTCACGCGCGACGTTTCAATTTCCGTTTGACCGGTATCCTCAAGATCCCAGTCTGCATCATGTACCCACGACGAACTAGGATTGGGGGAAGCTTTAACTACAACGTAAATACAATTAAAGACAATGTTTGCCCTACTCTCCTTACGTTAATTTTTCATGCTATCATAAATCTGATTAGTCAACCAAAAAAATAAAAAAATATCTATTTGGATTAGAAAATTTAGAGAGAGAGAGAAAACAAAAAATTGGAAATGTGTAAAATAATTGAGTTTTGACGAGGAAGAAAAAAATTCCTGACAAATAATTTATCGTTTGAATAGTAACTTAAACTTCTCTCTCTTTGAAAAATAGTTATTATTTTGTGCAAGACAAGTTTGACATTTCAAAAGAAAATTTAAAAATTAAATAAAACCGGCGTTTACTAAGACTTTGTCACAGAAAAAAAGAAAAAAATTCTACTTATTTCATAAATCGGGAGCTTCATGATTTGAAACCCAAATCGAGAAACTCGAACCATGTCTTCTCGCGCCTCTTTCATATTCCTTTTCCTTTTCTCATTCAGAGCTTCTGCTCAAAATCCATTTTACCTATATCATAATTGTTCAATCACGACAACTTACTCAAGTAACAGCACTTACTTCACCAATCTCAAAACCCTTTTGTCCTCTCTCTCTTCCCGTAACGCCTCTTACTCCACCGGTTTCCAAAACGCCACGGCGGGACAAGCCCCCGACAGGGTCACGGGACTTTTCCTCTGCCGCGGAAACGTCTCGCCGGAAGTTTGCCGTAACTGCGTAGCCTTTGCCGTAAACGAAGCGTTAACTCGGTGTCCAAAAGATAAAGAAGCCTTGTTATATTACGAGCAGTGTCTGATCAGATACTCTAACCGGAATATACTATCCACTCTAAACATCGATGGAGGAATGTACATGCAGAACGCAAGAGATTTTACGTCTGTCAAAAAAGATCGGTTCAGAGATTTGGTCTTGACCCCTATGAACTTAGTCGCCATTGAAGCCGCGAGGAGTTTCAAAAAATTCGCTGTGAGAAAAATTGATTTAACTGCATCCCAGAGTTTGTACGGAATGGTACAGTGCACTCCTGACCTGACGGAACAAGACTGCTTAAACTGTCTGCAACAAAGCATCAATCGAGTAACCAATGACAAAATTGGGGGAAGAATGCTTCTGCCGAGCTGTAGTTCAAGATACGATAATTACCCGTTTTACAACGAATCCATAGTTGGAACACCACGACCTGGTCTGAACAGTCGCTTTCCTTTGACTACATATTTCAACACAACTTTCAAACAAGAATTTTGCTAAAACAACTTTCCTTTGACCTTATGATACAGGAAAAGGCGGAAACTCCTCTGTCATAATTATTGCTGTTGTTGTTCCAATCACTGTCCTTTTTCTTCTGTTGGTAGCTATTTTTAGTGTCCGGGCTAAAAATAAGAGGAAGCTTTGTTATGAGATGGAACCACCAGCTGGAGGTAAGGACACAGTGATCATTTTTTTCCTACGTAGTATGCTGTGCTCTTATCTTAATTCAGCTGTTGAAGTTTATCCTCCAGATGGGAATGATATTACGACTGCAGGCTCACTTCAGTTTGATTTTAAGGCAATCGAGGCAGCCACGGATAGCTTTTTGGAGATTAACAAGCTAGGTCAAGGTGGGTTCGGCGAAGTTTACAAGGTATTACCATTGAACAGAGCTTCTCTGTAGCTCTTTATCACTGTAGGATAAATTAGTTTAGTGCAACAACCTTGTACTTGCACATATATAGTTGTTAGTTATCATCCTATATTTGTAACAAATACAAACTTCTACATATATAATTGCATTTTAGTACTTCATTTTCATGATTAGTCTTACAAACAATTCCCATACTTAAATTACTCTTGTAGGGTACACTTCCTAGTGGGGTACAAGTTGCGGTGAAGAGGCTATCGAAGACATCAGGACAAGGTCAAAAAGAGTTTGAAAACGAAGTTGTTGTTGTGGCAAAGCTTCAGCATAGAAATTTGGTAAGGCTGCTTGGTTTTTGTTTGGAAGGAGAAGAGAAGATACTTGTCTACGAGTTTGTGCCCAACAAAAGCCTCGATTACTTTCTTTTTGGTCAGTTAAATTCTATACTTAGCCTAAGAATCTTCAAATTGCATGCCATTCTTTGTTTTCAACATTTTAAATACGCATGTGCAGACTCTACAATGCAAAAGCAGCTAGACTGGTCAAGACGGTACAAGATTATTGGAGGAATTGCTAGAGGAATTCTTTATCTTCATCAAGATTCACGACTCACAATCATACACCGGGACCTCAAAGCGGGGAACGTCCTCTTGGACGCTGATATGAACCCAAAAGTTGCAGATTTTGGAATGGCGAGAATTTTTGGGATGGACCAAACGGAAGCCAATACAAGAAGAGTAGTTGGAACTTAGTAAGTATTGCTCTTGCCATTTATTTCAGCTATAGACCGTAATATGTTTCAATCAACTCAACATTTTTAGTATTGTGGCAGTGGTTACATGTCTCCCGAGTATGCAATGTACGGCCAATTCTCCATGAAATCAGATGTGTATAGTTTTGGGGTCTTAGTTCTTGAGATAATAAGCGGCATGAAGAACAGTAGTCTCTATGAAATGGATGGTAACGTTGGCAACTTGGTTACATATGTGAGTATAAAGCCTCAAAACTTCTAATGTTTTTGTACTTTATTCAAAAAGTGACAAAGTCTAAATTATTAATATGTTTAATAGGCTTGGAGACTATGGAGCAGTGGGTCGCCATTAGAGCTTGTGGGTCCGTCATTTGGAGATAATTATCAAACAAGCGAAATTACCAGGTGCATCCATATCGCTTTACTATGTGTTCAAGAAGATGCTCATGACCGTCCAAACATGTCAGCGATCGTCCAAATGCTCACTACTAGCTCGATAGCGCTCGCGGTGCCTAGACCACCTGGATTTTGCTTTTGGAGTAGGCATGAACAAGTAGGTGAAGTTGGTCCATCAATGGATACATCTGCGCTCTGTTCAGTCGACGAAGCTTCCATTACTAGTGTAGCTCCTCGTTGAAGACAAAAGTATTTATAAATCTCAACTTTTGTAATATAGGATTCTAGACTATTAGGATTGAAAGTGGACAAAATTTTGTCTAAATTAAATTATTTGCATTGTTCAATTTCTTTATGTGCCGGGCAAGTAAGAAAATGATACTCTGTTTTAAAGATTAGTTTCTTTCAACAAGGATTCATCTCAGTGGTCAAAGCATCATCAATAGAACAAGGAGTAGGTCTACTTTTCATTGTAATCGTTGAAAAGTTGACGGTACTGGCCAAGAAGAAGTTGACGTTGACTTGAAACTTTTATTAAAAATAAAAAACACACACACAAAGAAAGGAGATACTGTATTGGAGAAAATGTCTGGTTATGCTTGTTTTGGTTATCTCTTCCTTCTCGCCTTCCTTGCTAGCTTAAGATCTTCTGCAAAACAACAAGACCCTTATTACTTATACCATTATTGTCCTAACACAACAACTTACTCCAAAAACAGCATATACTCCTCCAATCTCAAAAGCCTTTTGTCCACTTTTTCTTCCAGCGTTCCCTTTTTCTATACCAGCGGTTTCGATGGCACGGCCGAAGGTCAGATCCCTGACATGGTATTCGGGATTTTCCTATGCCGGGGAGATCTCTTGTCGGATGTCTGTCGTCACTGTGTAGTCTTCGCTGTCAACGAAATCTTAATTCGGTGTCCGAATGAGAAAGAAGCCGTGCTCTATTACGAGGAGTGCATGCTCAGATACTCTCACCAAAATATTCTATCGACCGTTATATATTCAGGAAGATACATCTTGATGAACGCCACTAATATTTCATCTAATCAAGTAGACCGGTTCGGAGATTCGGTGTCGTCCACGATGAACCAAGCTGCCGTCAAGGCAGAAAACAATTCTAGAAAGTTCTATACAATAAAGGCCAATTGGACCACACTCCAGAGTTTGTACGTACTGGTTCAGTGTACTCCTGATCTTAGGAGACAAGACTGCTTGACCTGTCTGCTATCCTCCATCAATGGAATGATGCCTTTTAACAAAACTGGAGGAAGACTTCTTTACCCTACTTGTAATACAAGGTACGAGCTTTACCAGTTCTACAACGAACCCGACATTAGAATACAGGAGGATTCAGCTCCTTCACCGCGACCTGGTCTGCACATTCGCTTTCTTTTGATTAGTGTTTCCATGCAACTTTTCTTTTGAGACATTTAAGGTTACTATATGTGGTGATCTGATACAAACTATTTCTCTGAATACAGGAAAAGGCGGAAACTCCTCTGTCATAATCATCGCTGTTGTTGTTACAGTCACTGCCATGTCTCTTCTTTTCATAGGTGTTTTTCTTGTCCGGGCTAGGAACACAAGGACGGTTTATGAGACAGAACCACTTGCTGAAGGTAAAAGACTTTCTTTTTTTAGGTAGAAAGAATATTCTGCTGTGTCCTTTGACCTTATCTTAATTCAGCAATTGTTTCAACAGACAGGGATGATATTACAACCGCAGGTTCACTTCAATTGGATTTTAAGGCGATTGAGGCAGCAACAGATAAGTTTTCACTGAGGAACAAGCTTGGTCAAGGTGGATTCGGCGAAGTTTACAAGGTATTACCAATGCATAGGGCTTCCACTGTAGCTGTTTATCTACAAATATAAATTGAATAATACATGAAGATAAAGTGAGGTATTTGACAAAGTCTTTAATTGACGTTTTTCACTTCAGTACAAATCATGAAAATCACCTCCCCACAATACTCTGTTTTCCCCTGTTTTTATCTCAAATCTCACACACATACTTTGAGCATTGAGTTATTTGCTAAGAATCTTTCTACAACTGCAATAGATTGAGTTATTGCGGCAGTACCAACAGTCCAACACACACAATTCTTCCACATTCCATGTTGTTCAAAATTCTTCCTTAATTGTATTCCTTCGTTTGTAACAAATACTAACTTCTACATAACTGCGTTTAAGTATGATTAATCTTATAATTCCCATAATGATTATTGTAAAATAAATTACTCTTGTAGGGTACATTTCCTAGTGGAGTACAAGTTGCAGTGAAGAGGCTATCGAAGACATCAGGACAAGGTGAAAGAGAGTTCGAAAATGAAGTTGTTGTTGTGGCAAAGCTTCAACATAGAAATTTGGTAAAGCTGCTTGGTTATTGTTTGGAAGGAGAAGAAAAAATACTTGTCTACGAGTTTGTGCCCAATAAGAGCCTTGATTACTTCCTTTTTGGTCAGTTAATTTAATACTTAGCTCAAGATTTTTTCAAATTGCATGCCATTTTTTGTTTTTAGCCTTTTAAATACGCATGTGCAGACTCTACGATGCAAAGTCAGCTAGACTGGAAAAGACGGCACAAGATCATTGGAGGAATTGCTAGAGGAATTCTTTATCTTCATCAAGATTCACGACTCACAATCATACATCGTGACCTTAAAGCGGGCAACATCCTCTTGGACGCTGATATGAACCCAAAAGTTGCAGATTTTGGAATGGCGAGAATTTTTGGGATGGACCAAACCGAAGCCAATACAAGAAGAGTAGTCGGAACCTAGTAAGTTTTCTTCTTAACATTTATTGCCTCTCTAAATAGTAATATGTTTCTATTGGCTCAGCATTTTTAGTATTGTGGCAGTGGTTACATGTCTCCAGAATATGCAATGTACGGCCAATTCTCCATGAAATCAGATGTGTATAGTTTTGGGGTCTTAGTTCTTGAGATTATAAGCGGCAAGAAGAACAGTAGTCTCTATCATATGGAAGATAGTGTTGGCAACTTGGTTACATATGTGAGTATAAAGCTTTAAATCTCCATTTTCTGTTGCTTTATTTAAAAAGTGACCCAAGTCTAAAGTATTAATGTTCAATAGACCTGGAGACTATGGAGCAATGGGTCGCCATTAGAGCTTGTGGATCCATCCTTTGGAGATAATTATCAAACAAACGAAATTACCAGGTGCATCCATATCGCTTTACTATGTGTTCAAGAAGAGGTTGATGATCGTCCAACTATGTCAGCAATCGTCCAAATGCTCACTACTAGCTCGATAGCTCTCGCCGTGCCTAGACCACCTGGATTTTTCTTTCGGAGTAGGCATGAACAAGTAGCAGAAGTTGGTCCATCTACGGATATGTTTGCGCTCTGTTCTGTTGATGATGCCTCCATTACTAGTGTAGCTCCTCGATGAAGAGAAAACTATTCATAAATCTAAAAGTTGTGCTCTATGATTTTTACAGCAAGAGCTTTGAGTGGTTGAGATAGGTTGGACACACATAACAACACCTGCTTTATATTTGGTATGTCATATCTTACCGCAGCTGTACCTAAAAGAAGAGGAACTAATCTTTTAAGAATCATCAAAATATAAGAATTTATGGCCACTATACGAAATTATTGAAATCATTATTAGTACGATCAATACAAAAAGTGACACAAAAAGTTTGTTAAAGATTATAGCTTCATTTAAAAAGAGGACAAGTACCCGTGAAAAACCATAAAATTGTTAGACAAAAAATTAATATTTGAGAAATAAAAGTTGATGGAATATATAGGTGCTCATGGCCAGTCCCAAACGGTAAAGGCAGCAACCCTGCTACGAAAGGCAATGAAATATCAGACCTCAGCCATGACTTCCCCGTGAAGAAGCCTTTATTAATCTGTGACGTATACTTTAGGGTTTTACAATCCCCAAATCCTTTAAGATAGACTGCATCTTTCTCAAGTATTCGATTTTTTGGAGAGAAACCCGTCAACTTATTGCACTTTTCATTTTTTTCAAAAGGCATTAACATATACATAAGGAAGAAATTTTTTTAAACCAGAACTGTTTGACGAAAAGTAATAATTTTAGAAAATTTTCCTCTTTGGTATATCTGTAGGTTCTCATGTCCAAGCACAAAACAGTATAGGCAGCGACGCTGCTCCATAAGGCAATGCATGGTATATGAGACACCTCCGCCATGAATTCTCCATCAATAAGAGTGTAAGACTCAGCTTTGTTAATCTGTGATGTATAGTTTAGGGTTTTACAATTATTCTTCGCTTTTCGCATCGTTTTCGCATGGCACACCAAAAAAAAGAAGCCGGAGTAATCTGAAGATTCTGGACTGAAAGCCAAACAATTAAAGGCACGGATAAAATATATTATGGAAGAAGCTAAAAGAAATCAAGAAAGAATGAGAGGTAAACAAAGGAGACGATGTGATGACTAAACCTTGAGGCTGGGTATGTTGAATTTTACAGAACTGGACGCTTAATATTGATGGGCATGAAAGGAATTAAAGAACTTATAGATACACTAAAGAAAATATATTTTGGATTGAAATGAAGATAAATATGAAACTGAAATCGTTTTCTCTCTAGAATTTTCTGCACAGCTATCATAATTTTGATAATTCCACGAAAAATAAAATAAAAAATAAGAAATATCTTGGATTAGAAAATTTAGAGAGAGGGAAAAAAATTGCAAATGTGTAAATGACATAAAGAGTTGTGACGAGGGAAAACTGTTTTTTTTTTTTTTCTAAATACAAATAATTCACCATAATATATAAATCGTAACTTAAATTTCTCGCTAATTTTTTTTTTGGTATGCGAGAGGAGACAAATGTCTTCCTCATTTTATTAAACTATAACTAAAAAGAATCATAACCGAACATGAAGTGGGAACTCAGCCCATTCGCATCCTCAAACATAATCGAATAGACTACATCAAGACAAAAAATCAAAGAATGAAAACCTAATTACAAAGAAAACGCATAGTTTGCTAAACTGTCAGCTAAACGATTAGTTTTTCTATACACGTGAGTAATCTGAACTAACCAGTCTATTTAAAAGGAGCCTTGGGTACCTGGAAATACAGCTGATGTTTGAAAAATAGTTATTACAAAACTTTAACATGACAAAAGAAAATCAAATAAAACCGGCGTTTACTCTTGACTTTGATTGACTTATCGTCGTCAGAACCATCCCCGATATCACGTTAATATACAGATACATTAGTCACACAGAAAGAAGAAAAATATAATTATTTCATAAATTGGGAGTTTCATGATCTGAATTCTGAAACCCCAAATCGAGGTAAAGGAACCATGTCTTATTGCGCCTCTTTCTTCTTACTTTTCCTTTTCTCATTCCTCACTAGCTTCAGGGCTTCTGCTCAAGATCCTTTTTACCTAAGCCATAATTGTCCAAATACGACAACTTACTCAAGTAACAGTACTTACTCCACCAATCTCAAAACCCTTTTGTCCTCTCTCTCTTCCCGCAACGCCTCTTATTCCACCGGATTCCAAAACGCCACGGCGGGACAAGACACCCACAGGGTCACTGGAATTTTCCTTTGCCGCGGAGACCTCTCGCCGGAAGTTTGCAGTAACTGCATCGCCTTCTCTGTTCACGAATCGTTAATTCGGTGTCCAAATGAGAGAGAGGCCGTGTTCTATTACGAGGAGTGTATGCTCAGATACTCTAACCGGAATATATTATCCACTCTAAACACCGATGGAGGAATTGTCATACAGAACACCATGAATTTTACAGCTGTCAAAAAAGATCGGTTCAGAGATTTGGTCTTGACCCCCATGAACTTAGCCGCCATTGAAGCCGCGAGGAGTTTCAAAAAATTCGCTGTGAGAAAAGTTGGTTTAAATGCACTCCAGAGTTTGTACGGAATGGTTCAGTGCACTCCTGACCTGACGGAACAAGACTGCTTAGACTGTCTGCAACAAAGCATCAATCAAGTAACCAATGACAAAATTGGGGGAAGAATTCTTGTGCCGAGCTGTAATTCAAGATACGATCTTTACGCGTTTTACAACGATTCCAACGTTGGAACACCTCAACCGCAGTTGGATTCAGCCCCTCCTCTACCACCACCGCCGATTTCAACTTCTTTACCACGACCTGGTCTGAACAGTCGCTTTCCTTTGACTACATATTTTCAACACAAGTTTCAAACAAGATTTTTGCTAAAACAAGTTTCCTTTGACCTTATGATACAGGAAAAGGCAGAAACTCCTCTGTCATAGTTATTGCTGTTGTTGTTCCAATCACTGCCGTTCTTCTGCTCTTTGTAGCTGTGTTTTGTGTCCGGGCTAAAAATAAGAGGACGCTTTATGAGATGGAACCACTAGCTCGAGGTAAGGACACCAGTGATCATTTTTTTCCCACGTATAGTCTGCTGTGCTCTTATCTTAATTCAGCTGTTGAAGTTTTTTCTCTAGATGGGAATGATATTACGACTGCTGGCTCCCTTCAGTTTGATTTTAAGGCAATTGAGGCAGCAACGAATAACTTTTTGCCGATAAACAAGCTAGGTCAAGGTGGATTCGGTGAAGTTTACAAGGTATTATTACCATTGAACAGGGCAATGTACTCTGTTTTTCCCCTGTTTCCAAATCAAATCTCACACGCAGTACTTTGCAAGTTGAGATGTATGGGATTTAAGTGCAACAACCCCGTCATTGCAAAGAATCTTTCTATACTCGTACCAGCAAAATCAAAATTCTTCTTCATCTCCAATTTTACAGAGTTGCGGAACAAAACAAACTCTAGTCGTCAATTATCACCTTTATTTGTAACAAATACTAACTTCTACATAATTGCATTTGAGTATTCATTTTTTAAGATTAATCTTACAGAAAAATCCCATACTAATTGTTAATTAAAAATAAATTACTCTTGTAGGGTACATTTCCTAGTGGAGTACAAGTTGCGGTGAAGAGGCTATCGAAGACATCAGGACAAGGTGAAAGAGAGTTCGAAAACGAAGTTGTTGTTGTTGCAAAGCTCCAGCATAGAAATTTGGTAAAGCTGCTTGGTTATTGTTTGGAAGGAGAAGAAAAAATACTTGTCTACGAGTTTGTGCCCAATAAGAGCCTTGATTACTTCCTTTTTGGTCAGTTAATTTAATACTTAGCTCAAGATTTTTTCAAATTGCATGCCATTCTTTGTTTTTAGCCTTTTAAATATGCATGTGCAGACTCTACAATGCAAAGGCAGCTAGACTGGACAAGGCGGCACAAGATCATTGGAGGAATTGCTAGAGGAATTCTCTATCTTCATCAGGATTCACGACTCACAATCATACACCGTGACCTTAAAGCGGGCAACATCCTCTTGGACGCTGATATGAACCCAAAAGTTGCAGATTTTGGAATGGCGAGAATTTTTGGGATGGACCAAACCGAAGCCAATACAAGAAGAGTAGTCGGAACCTAGTAAGTTTTCTTCTTAACATTTATTGCCTCTCTAAATAGTAATATGTTTCTATTGGCTCAGCATTTTTAGTATTGTGGCAGTGGTTACATGTCTCCAGAATATGCAATGTACGGCCAATTCTCCATGAAATCAGATGTGTATAGTTTTGGGGTCTTAGTTCTTGAGATTATAAGCGGCAAGAAGAACAGTAGTCTCTATCATATGGAAGATAGTGTTGGCAACTTGGTTACATATGTGAGTATAAAGTCTTAAAATTTCCAATTTTTTCTTTGCTTTATTTAAAGTGACCAAAGTATAAATTATTAAAATGTTCAATAGACTTGGAGATTATGGAGCAATGGGTCGCCATTAGAGCTTGTGGATCCGTCTTTTGGAGATAATTATCAAACACACGATATTACTAGGTGCATCCATATCGCTTTACTATGTGTTCAAGAAGATGCTGATGATCGTCCAAACATGTCAGTGATCGTCCAAATGATCACTACTAGCTCGATCGTTCTCCCCGTGCCTAAACAACCTGGATTTTTCTTTCGGGGTAGGAATGAACAAGTAGGAGAACTGGGTCCATCTATGGATAGGCTTGCTCTCTGTTCAATCGATGATGCTTCCATTACTAGTGTAGCTCCTCGTTGAAGACAAAACTATTAACTAAAAGTTGTGCTATATGATTCTAGTCGTTTAATAAGCTTGGACTATAAACAAAGATTCGTCTAAATCAAACTATTTCCAATGTTCATTTTCTTTCTATGCCCAGCAAGTAAGCAAGTAATATTGTTTTGAAGTTTGGTTTCCCCTTTTTCTTTTTTAAAGATTCATCTCAGTTATCTAGCCATCAAAATAGCATAAGCAATAAATAGGTATGTCAAGAGGTAAAGAGAAGTCACGGATCACTCAGTTAACACACACTAGTTTAATGTAAAGAAGAAAAACAAGCCGAGGCTTACTTGATGAAATACTGAAGACTTTCTTTCATTATACTCCAGCTGCAACATGTCCTTTGTAGTGATTTCGGGATCCTCTAAAGTTGCTTGTATGTTCTCCGTTATACGAAACAGAGGATTATGACAGAGCTTTTCTTTGCTAGATACTAATTCTTTAGATGATTCAGATAATGTGTGCATGTTTAGTAAATTTGGTTCTTATCAACTAAATAACAAGTTATTTTTTCTACATGAATGACCATACACATATATTAACGAGAAAATTCACTAATTTGAATTATCAGGGGAGACTTGAAACCTTAGGTCATCTTTCCAGACTAATTGATATTAGGCTATTGATTTTGTCAATAATTTGGTATATGAAAGAATATACATATCAAACATTAGCCTCGTTATTAACGAGGACATGTGATCGAACAAGCAAAAGACATGCTAGTAGACGGACCAGGCTGCAATCTCTCAGCTAATGGATTTGGCATCGTTCTGACCCTAAAGACAAATCCTGGTGGTTGAGGCACAGGCAGAGTAATTGAAGTATTAGTGAGCATCTGAAATACTGTGGACATCGTTGGACGGTCGACAGGATTTTCTTGAACACATAACAACCCAATGTGAATACATCTAATGACTTCATTTCTATCATAATTCTCTCCCATGGTTGCGTCTACCAGTTCCAACAGTGATTCATTGTTCCAAAGCCTCCATACCTATTCAAGTCATTTATCAAGAAACTAAATGTTGAGAGCTATGATCCTTTGCTAAGAGAAGTAGAAAAGTTTGAGATGGCATTGGAAATTTACTAACATATGTGACTAAGTTGCTTATTGAGCCGTCTGTCTCGTTGAAGCTACTATTCTTTTTTCCACCAATAATCTCCAGAATCAATACTCCAAAGCTATACACATCAGATTTCGTCGAGAACTGCCCATTCGTCACATATTCGGGTGGCATGTAACCACTGCAAAATACAGTTCATGTCACTTTCAGCATTGTCAACAACAATAAGGACAGACAGAAAATAACTAAATTGGAAAATTACTTACATTGTTCCAACTACTCTTCCTGTGGTAGCTTCAGTTTGGTCCACTCTAAAATTCCTAGCCACACCAAAATCCGCAATTTTCGGGTTCATATCGGCATCTAAGAGAATGTTACCTGCTTTGAGGTCACGGTGAATGATTGTGAGCCGAGAATCTTGATGAAGATACAAAATCCCTCGAGTAATTCCCTCGATAATGTTGTATCGTCTTGTCCAATCCAGTTCACCCTTCTTTATCGGGTCTGCACAAATCCCATATATCAAACAATTAGACTCTGAGATCAAGAACTAATGTTTCAGAGAATAGAACCCTATCATTTGTTTTTTTTTTTTTACCAAAAAGGAAGTGGTCGAGACTTTTGTTGGGCAAAAACTCGTAGACTAATATCTTTTCGTCTCCTTTGACAGAATACCCGAGAAGCCTAACAAGATTTCTATGTTGAAGCTTTGCTACAAGAAACACCTCATTCTTGAACTCTTTTTCACCTTGACCTGAAGTTTTAGACAACCTCTTCACAGCAACTTCTGTTCCATTCGGAAACGTTCCCTGCCAATTCATATGATCTTCACATAATTGTCAGAACATGTTTTTTTTTTTCTAACACAAAAAAGTACTAGAGACAAACATTATACCTTGTAAACTTCACCAAATCCACCATGACCAAGCTTGTTAACATTATCAAAATTACTTGTGGCAGCTTCAATTGCTTTAAACTCAAACTGAAGTGAACCTGAAGTTGTAATATCATCTGCAGCTGCAGAACGAACTCATGATTGTATAGTATTCATACCGGAAAGTATCCAAGGGACAATCAACATTTTTATCTCAAATCCTTATTCAAAACGACTATATGGCGGCGCAGTACCATAGGTGATCGAAGAGAAACAGATAAAGAAACAAAAATTGATTGAAGATCTACGTCAATATAAATACATTTTGGAAGTGTTTTAACCCTCAACTTTATGTTTCCAAAACATGAGGAAACTCACTTTTAGTTGTCTTTGCTTTGTATGCTTTTCTCCTCTTCCAAAGACCAAATCCTAGAGCAAGCAATAAGATGGGAACAACTACAATTGCCGCAATAGCTCCTGTTGAAATGCTTTTGCCATCTGCACGAACCCAAGGAAAAAAAATATTGGCTCCAAACAAAAAACAGAGCAGAAAAAAAACTTCAAACATGGACACATGGTCTTACCTTTTTGACGAGGAGAAATATTATCGAAAAGTCCCAAGAACGGATAAATCTCCCATCGAATGAAACAGCTAGGCCTAGAAATAATACCTCCTTCTTTCCCACGGCAACAGGACCTATACTCAATCACGTTTTGTTGTAGACACTGGGTGCAGTTTTGAAGAGATATGTCTTTACTGCATTGCACAAAACTGTAAATACGTGAGATGGACGACTCGAGCTTTCGTATCCCGGCTGCGTAGTACAAAGAGGAAGCTTGGTCTATCACACCAATCATCAACGCCTCCCATGTAATTTCCAAATCCGTCAAGTTAGCTTGAAAATCTCTGGTATAGTTATCACTCCTCAGAATATCCATACCTAGCGATCCATAAAACGAGCGGTTTGAGTAGCGTACAAGGCAAACTGTTCTATCTATTCTCCAGTCTATAGCTTCTGTCTGATTAGTACAATTCTGCAACAATCTACCATTCGAAGAGATGATACAATCCGAACAAGATTTTGCATTAGTACCGGGGACACACATCCCTAGACCGTATGCTCTGTTTGGATCTTCCCCGATCGATGTCGTGTAAAAGCCGTCGTTAGCTGCGACATTAGAAGGAAGAGAAGAAAGCAGGACTCGGCGGTTTAAGTCGTAAGTACTATTGGCTGTGAAAAAACCAGATCTTTCAAGGCATATATGTGCAGAGACATGACAAAAGCTTATGAGCACAAACCAGAAGGTTATTGAAAACTTGACCATTTTGTATATTCTTTCCCTTTGTGTTTGATTGTCTAAAATATTTAAACTTGAATCTTGAAGGATATAATATTGTAAACATGGGTTTGAATTCTAATTTCAACCTCTCGTGCTGTACAAAATTTGACTAATCGTCATTGAATTTTCTAACGTAGACTTTGGATAATGAGTCAATGTCTAGTTACGTAACTTTGGATGATAACTTACATTGACATATGTTTACCACTTTGTACCATATGAATTGGTATTTTTTTGTTATCTTGATGAGTTTTATAGCTCATCAGGCAAAACAGCAAATGCATGCATGATTCTTGAAGGGTATTATATTGTAGATTTTAAACTTTTGGGCGTAATGTGAAAGGATAAAAGAGTAGTGGGGTGAATTTACAATTTTCAAAACTTGGAGAACTGATACATCATACATCTTACTGTCATTAAACTGAGGCAACATCGAGAACTCACCGGAAAAAATGGATGCCGGAGCTGAAATTGATGTGGTTCAGCCGGTGGAGAACGATTCCGCGGCGGAAACTGGTCCAACCCAAGACCACGGTGGAAGATCGGAGCCGTCGTCGTTGAACCAAGGGGAGATTTTGAGAACACTTGCTACGGTGGAGAAGGATTCGCAGGCAATCGCGGAGAGCTTTTCGTCTCTCTTTGTTTCCCTCCGATCAACTCTCTCTGAGGTTAGAATACGTTTCTGTGAATCGATTTTTGTTCGTCAAAACATCGTTGCCGAGAAATGACATTTGGGAGAATTAAAGTCTAGGCCTTTAAAATCCATCAATTTTCTGAATTTCTCTTTTCATGTCATAAATTAAGAAACTTTAGGGACTAGTTTGCTTCAAGTTAGGAGATTTCATCAAGAAATGGAAAAACCAATTTCAGTGTTTATGTTTTGAGCTCTGGAATGATCATAATCTTTTGCTGCATCAGATTATGTGAAACTTTAGATGTTAATGGACCATTGATACCATTGTTAAGTTTGTTCAATGGCCTTTGACAATTCGATTAAAATCTTATTTTGTGTTGGCTTATGAGACTTTGTTTATGGTGTTGTAGGCTACTGGTAGCTCGGTTGATCACATGACTTGCTTTGGAGATGCAGCGGGACGGCTTCAGGAAAATGGTAATAACACTACCTGTTTGGAGCAGTAGATTCAATTTGCCATTTATAAATCAAGAAGCAAGTTGAGAGCCACCTTTCTTTGTTCTATGGATGTTTAGCCCTAGATGCAGCTACCAAAGGGAACCGGTACATCAACTCTTGCCTCAGGTACTTTCTTTAGATAGTACTCTACCTAATCACATAGTACACCGAGTCAATGTCCAAATATGTTGCTTATTACTTCAGGACAGAGATATCTCACGCTTTGTTTCATCTGAAGTGTTAATAAGATTCCTGAGCTTGACCTCTAACTTTCAAGATGCATTTCTTCTACGTTTTTTTTTGCTTCCGGTATGATTTCTTTTTTGGCTCAACGTGCAGACTAAACGAAGAAATTAAAGGCGTTGAGAATTTGGCTGCTCGGTTGTATCCTTAATATGGCTATTTGCCTCTATCAGCCATGTTTGTGTCTGAATGTTAAACACAAAGACACAGACACACCATGTCAGCTCAAAGCTTTCTTAATCGTGGTTTAGTCAGAAATTTGTTCTAGAATCCTTAATAAATCAATCTGCAGAAAGCACCTGAGGAAAAATGTAGATGTTCTTGACACGGCTGTGAACAAGCTTCTCCGGCCTCCATGAGAAGTCATCAGTTTTTCACTTGTATCACTTTTTTCTTTTTCTTTCACAGACTTTGGATCTCTTATTTCTCGTACATGATTTTGATTATAATTGATGTTAAATTTCAACATTACATATTTTCAAGGGTTTATGATTTAAGAAAAACCAAAACAATTTTTTAATTTTTTTTAGTGTTTATGTTTACTGAAATTATGGGTCCATATGTTTAAGTCTCTTTTGGATAGAATTTCCAAAATCGGTGGTAAGCTGTCTCCAGCTCCTACTTTACCAGAAGTACAGCTCTCTCAATATGTTCCCTCTTTGGAGAAGATTGCTACCCTGAAGTTGCTTCAACAGGTTAGTGCACTCATGTTTCTGACCTGGTGTATGTATATGTACTTACAAGTTTTTTTTTTTTTTGGACAAAATGTACTTACAAGTTTATGTTGCAATTTTTTCAGGTTTCTAAGATTTATCAGACAATAACAATTACGAATCTAGCTCAGTTGGTCCTTTCTTCGACTTCTCAACGGATGAGACGATATCAGCTGATGCTGTAAGAAACAATTTCGTTGACATGAAAGTTGATCACATAAAGGGTGTTGTAATTTTTGGAAATCTGGTGAGTCTCTCTGGTGCTTTTGGTTTAGCACTACTTATATCAGTCATTTCTTTGTGCAACCGAGCAGTTTTACTATAACTTTTTGATACTTTTGGTTGATGTTATTTTGTTTCATCCTACTATTTGTGTATCAGAGTAATGAGTCTGATGGGCTGAAAGAACCTCTGGCTATTTTTGCTGAGACTATGAACAAAGTAAGATCGATGTTATTTCCTGCCCCAAGTAAAGCATCAAAGGTTGGTGACGTAGTACCAAATCTAGAGGAGACTGTAGAAAAGGAGCACAAAAGACTGCTTACTCGGAACTCAATCATTGAAAAGAGGAAGGAGGAACAAGGGCGTCAGCAACTAGAGATGGTATTTTTTCCTACATGTATTGAAGCATCATTCATGTTTTTTTTTTCTGTTTTTCGTTATCGTTGGCTCACTTGAGGACAGTTCTCTGTTCTGTGTTTTGGTTTTGAAGGAACTTGAAGAGAAGCAGAGAAAGCTTAAGCTTCTGAAGCTAACCAATGAGACAGAACAGAAGAGACTTGCGATAGAGCTTAAGGAGAGGAGAAGACACAGAATTCTTAGGGGGATAGAGGAGAAAGTAACAAAGCAAACCGTGATGGAGAAGGCCATGAGTGAGAAGCGCAAGGAAGATCAAGAAATGGAGATGAAGCTCCAAAAACTTGCCAAAACTATGGATTATCTGGAACGGGCAAAGAGAGAAGAAGCTTCCCCTATGATCGAAGCTGCATATCAGCAACGACTAGTAGAGGAAAGGAATTTTTATGAACATGGGCAACAGGTGAACTTTATTCTTATACTGGTTCTGAGTTTAGGCGAAAAAGGTCCTTATAGTCTCTTGTGTTTTGTTTAGAATGAGGTCGAGCTCAGCAAGGAACGTCTTAAGAGTGACCTGAAGGAGAAAAAAAGGTTGGCCAGAATGTTGGATAATAAGGTCAGTTGGCTTGTGAAGTTGTGTCTACTGTATCTTCATATGTAGAAATCACTTCATGCAATTTTTATTGTCAAGTAACTCAAAGCGAAATTTTGTTTCCAGGAAATATTCCAAGATAGGGTGAGTAGTCTTCAACAAGCTGAGTTTGAGAGGATAAGAAAAGAGAAAGAGGAGCATATTGGCCAAATAATTCAAGCCAGGAAACAAGAAAGCGATAGTAAGAGGAAACGGATATATCATTTGAAATCTGAAGAGGAAAGGATAAAAAAGCTTCAGGAAGAAGAGGAAGCTCATAGGCGTGAAGGTACGCCCTCGACTTCCATAGAAAAAAGATTTGGTCATTTTAGCTCATTAGGCCTCAGTGAAGAATAATTTAGTCATGATTTTCCCAAGATTTAAAAGTGTGTAAGACTCGTTTTCAGTTGTGTAAAACCTTTTGCATTGAATAAGCTTTTATTTTCTAGTCCAATTTTCGCTTTTTCCTACAGTTTCATCTTGTCGTACTTTCATATTCTAAAACTTTTACTGCACAGGAACATTATAGGGATTCATGTATATTCATTTCCTACAGCTAGAAGCTTTTATATTATACTAAAGATTAAAACTTAAAAGCTAAGATATTGGTCTATTTTGGTAACACATCTTCAATGGAGTTTTGGCTCCACTTGCGCTATATAGTAATACTGATTATCTTGAAGTGGAAGCAAACTTTTACTTAACTGTGGTTTCTTTCTTCTAGAAACTATTCACTTGCAAACTTATGCTTAGCAAGTCAAAAAGAACAAAAAAAAAAGGGTAAAACCCTTAAACTTTGTATAAATCAAATTGGATTAGACAAACTATAAAATCTTAGGGAAAAAGTTGTGTTTAGTGCTGCTCAAGTCCTTTTTCAGGACACAATCATTTGTGGGTCAGTCTTATGCTTCTTTGTTCACAATTGAAACTGAATGCATATGATGTTTAGCTTTGACAAGTACTCCCACTTTGAATAAACATGTCGAAAAACCTCTGAAACATTACTTTAGATGGTAATAGATAAGACTCAAAACATTTTTAATACAAAAATCTAAATCCAAAAGTAGCTTTGGATTCCACTAGTTAACACTCGCAACAATAAACCGAAACACGCGGTTTGGTCTCTAAGGATCATCTGGTTGAGCCAGCGTAAGTCCAGCAAAGTCTGTGACAGTGTAACCAATCTTCTCAAACTTTCCTACTTCATTACTCTGTCTGAACTTTAGATACTCCGAACATTTAAAAGACTTGTAGCTCCTGCAGTTTCCCTCTCCAATGATTTCTTCTGGCGCAAGTATCACTTTCTCATCCTCAAAGCAGAGAAAAAACGCCAGAGAGATTCTGTTCACCAACTTTCTCAATACAACTCGATGTTCAGACGATCTCAGCCTTCCGTTACTCCATGCTTGCATAAGATCTCCAATGTTAACGACAAGGAGATCCTCACACGGATTTATATCGATCCATTTCCCTTCCTTAGATCTCATCTGAAGTCCACCAACTGAATCTTGATAGACTATTGTTATGCAGCTCATATCCGTGTGCATCCCGAGACCTTCAACGAGCTCTTTTTGCTTCTCTACGTCGTGTGGAGGTGTATAGTTCACTAGCCTTAAGTATCCATGACAGTTGCTAAACTCAGTTTGGTAGAATCTCTTCCCTGTTTCCTCTCCTAAGGTTATCATCAAGAGAATCTTTATGAGTCTTTTGGACAAGTCAGCCATTTTAGCTCCGTATTCTTGAAGTGTTTCTCTGAAAAAAACACAGAGGAGAGGTAAGTGTCAAGCCAACAAAAAGATGTGAAACACAGAAGATGAAAAAGAAAAACATTGATATGTGTTGTAATGACAACCTTAACTCTGGTTTATGATGATCTTGGAACAAAACATCTGCAGAAGCTTTGGCAGAACCGGAGAAATCAGGTCCCGAGACAACAAGGCTTTCGAAATAAGGAGAGGCGATGTAACGAGGAGTATAAGAAAAGGGACCAAGCTTGAGCTTTGATTCAAGAGGAACTCTGAAAACATCTCTGGACAAGGAACAGATTTTGCTGAACATCTCTTTAGAGATTCCATGATTGGTGACATAGAAGAATCCCCACTCTTTACAAGCTTCAGAGAGAGAAGACAGAACAGAGGACTCAATCGGTTGTGTTAAGTCTAAAACAGGAAGCTGCAGAGATGATTGAAGTTCAGACATTATATTATATATTTACTTGTCTTAAGGGGTTTAGGGGTAAAGACTAGGGGCAAGCTATGCTATGCATAGGGGTATATAAAAGGAGGCTTTAGATATATTTCAGACAAAAGCAATAATAGTAGAACCCACATTTTTGGTTATCATCATCATGTCGGTATTATAAAGGATGGTAAACTATAATGATTTGATTGTGACATTTTACAATTAGGCTATAGTTTCATTATTTGCAGCCTCAGAAGTCATAAACATTAAACTTCTGCAAAAAAGTTGTGAAGACTCATGAAAACTTTATTATTCATAAAAACATATATAAGAGTTATCTTGTAACTCTGCAGACCATAGATTATGTCCCTATGCATCCGGTAGGACCTCCATATTAAATAGCTCTTAACCAAGGATCCTTACCCTCATCGTCATGAACATATGTGACTTTGTAACATTTTGGATTGCTCTCACATGTCTTCAAACTGTCGATTTTCGGACTAAAAACGGTGAAAATTGAGTTTGCACTCAATCTATGCTCAATAAACATATATTGTGCTGAAAGTTGTGAATTTCCAATACTTGATTATTCATTAGAGCTCAAGTAACGCTTACATATATTTCAAATCTGTTGGATTTTTTCCTATAGCCTGTCTAAAAGTCTTTAGATATTGCTACTCTTTATTTCATAGATCAATTACCCTATGCATCCTCCAGGACCTCCATAAAAAACAGATTTTAACCAAGGCTTAGCAACCTCATGAACATATCTGGCTCTGTAACAGTTTCTTCTGCTCTCATGTACCTTCACTGTACCGGATTCTGGGTTAAAAACTGTTCCATAACTATCCATGATTTGGAGGCCGCTAACATAAGCAGATTTATGGAAGCCCTCACTAGGCCAATGACCACTTCCCATAGGTGGAGTCTTCTCTGTCACAGGGCTATACACTTGACCTCCCCAAAATGCATGATTTGCGCTGTTAGATTCCCTCCAGGACTTGAACAATGATGCTGGCCAGTATCCAACGTTCTCATCTTTAAATGCAAACCACCAATCTCCCTTGACACGATCCTGTTCCAAATTTTGAAAGATGAATCCAAATGACTTTAAGAGAAGTGATCAAAGATGAGTAGACTTTACCTGAAACAAGCTTAAACGCAATTCATATTGTGGACCATTATAGATGGAACTTGGTTGAAGAATGGCACTAACTGGTATAGTCTTGCTAACTTGCACAAATCCAGGACATGACGTGGCGTAGCAGCCGGTCATGTTTCCATGTGTCTATTAGCACAATTATAAGCAAACATATACATATAGAACTTATAAGACCCTGAGAAGTTGATAAAGAAACTATTAGTGCAAGCTCTTATTGGTATAATTTAAAACTTACAGTCCAGTAGGCGTATAAACGAACATGATCACCAGAGTACATCGATGGATTCACCTGTTGTATATATATACATATTTTCAAACTTTTGTCAACTTTAAATTCATGCAACTTACAGTTGACGAGGCGTATTAGCGAACATGGTCACTTTCGCTAAGGAACCAGAATTGACTTACCACCCATCCAACTGAAATGCTGGCCAAATTTTCTTCAATAGTCCCTCCACTAACTGCTATGTATGCAATACTAACTTGATCTTGCAAGATTTTTGGTTTCCATACGTTAATGTTTCCTTTTACTCCACCAAAACGATCCGGTCCATAGTCAGCTGTTGCAAACTAATATCCATAAAGAACAAAGGAAACTCAGAAAATGAAAGGAGAAAGAAAATGGGGGTTGGTACTCTCAACTTATAAGGGTTCTTACGTAGAATTTTCCATTTAAATTAGTGTTATTGCTCTCTTTGAGGAAAGGTCTCGGGCCGTCGAATCCCATGGATTTCAAACGTTGTGCATGCATAAGATCTTGCATTGTAGTCCTTTTTACAATTACTGTTCCATCTGGACAGCTTATACCTTCTTGCAGAAGATCAAAACTCCCCGAACCATTGTTTCCAGTGATCCATTCAGGTACAGTTGTTGGCTTTAGCTGCATATACATCAATGTGTTCACAAATTCCATCATTCTCTAAGTAGATATTCATCTTTGATAAGGAGACAAAGAGAGAATTCTGTATAAAACAAAACCTGAACAGAGTGGTTTTTGAGTAGATGATGATCAAATGCTAGTTGTTTGTGAATATCGATACAATCGAATATATCACCATGTTTAGTCTGTCCATAATAAAAATAATAATTAGATATGAAACAATAAACATGTAAGAAGAATGAAGGCTAAGCCAACCTTGAAACTCTTGAGTGCAGGTTTGTTGATAGCTTTGAGTTGTCTCTCCATTTCTTTCATCTCTGCCTTTGATGGTATTGCTCGGCGTTCCTTAGTTGCTTCAGCCGATAAAATAAGAGTGATTGTTAACAGAATCAGTAACACAAAGTGGTTGAAGGAAGCCATATTGATTCTCTAAAAAAGGCTCTTATGTTTACTCCTTCTGCAAACAAGAAATGAATCAAAAGGATTTATTTATAATGTAGAAAATCACATTAAAACTAAATATATTGACTCAATTATTCAATGCACTTTTGTAGCATTTAGTATATTTCATTAAAATAGAATGTAATATCATTCTATGACCATAGAAGAGTAACTAATTAAGTATCTATCCGTTTGACCAAACAAATTAGAGAGAATTGGCTGAGAGAAATTTGACTAGAGCCAAGTTTGATTTTTAGAAATCTATTTCAAAGTCAAAACAATATATATATTTAGTCCACGTTTTTGCCGAAACTAACCCCACACACTTGGGTGGATACATATGTTGGATGCATTAACATCATGCTTTTTGGGTGTCTATTCGCTTCAACTCTTCGTCATCCTGCCATTTTATTAACCAATCTAAATTTTCATTGTTTCTTAACGACCCGGCGGAGTCTCTTCCACCTTATTGAACTTGTCTTTCATAGCGATTCATGGTGAGAAAATTTTCAATTGTTGTTTTTCTTTCAATTTTTTAATATGTCCGTCACATGCCCATAGGTTTACTTACAGTATAGGCCATTTTCTACTTCCGATATCAACTTTTCAAACTTACTCTCAGATCTACCCTCCCTCATGCATGAAGATACTTAATGCGGAGAGATCTTAAGAACATGTTAACTAGAATGTACATTATCCTGGTCCTCCGTAGAAGATAGCTTCAGACAAACTTTGCAGTTCCTTAATCGTGTTATTAACTTGAAATATATCTAACCAGTTATTCATTTACGTAAAGTTTTTACTTAATACCAACTATTTGTCCTAATGATATAGCAGTTCCTTAGTCTTATAATTACATTATTTTGCAGTTAAGAAAGAGATTTTTTTTCCCCTGTACTTTAAGGTGAGTTTGCACTCAATCTATGCTCAATAAACATTCAATATTTTGTGCTGAATTGTGAACTTATGATTATTCATTAGAGCGCAAGTAATGCTTAGATATATTTCAAATCTGTTGAATTTCTTTTATAGCCTATCTAAAAGTCTTAAGATCTTGCAACTCTTTATTTCATAGATGATTATTACGCTTTGATTTCTCCAGGACCTCCAAAGTAAACAGCTCTTAACCAAGGCTCATTATCCTTATGAACATATATGGCTTTGTAACAGTTTGGTCTGCTCTCATGTACCTTCACTGAACCAACTTCGGGATCGAAAACTGTCCCCGACCTATCGATGATTTTGATGCCGTTCACATAGGCTGCTTTTTTTAATCCCTCAATAGGCCAATGACCACTTCCCATAACTGGAGCCTTCTCTGTCACTGGGCTGTACACTTGACCTCCCCAAGATGCATAATTTGCGTTGTTAGATTCCCTCCAGGACTTGAACAATGATGCTGGCCAGTATCCGATGTTCTCATCCTTAAATGCAAACCACCAATCTCCCTTGACACGATCCTGTTCCAAATTTGAAAGATGAATCCAAATGACTTTTAAGAGAAGTGATCAAATATGAGTAGAATTTACCTGATACAAGCTCAAACGCAATTCATACTGTGGACCATCATAGATCGAAATTGGTTGAAGAATAGCACTAATTGGTGTAGTCTTGCTAACTTGCACAAATCCAGGACATGACATGTCGTAGCAGCCGGTCTGGCTTCCGTGTATCTGTTAGGACAATAAACCAACATATACATATAGAACTTATAAGACCCTGAGAAGTTGATAAACTATTATTACAAGCACTTACTGGTATAACTCAAAACTTACAGTCCATGAGGCGTATAAGCGAACGTAATCACCGTAGTAGAGCGATGGATTCACCTGTTGTATATACATATTTTCAAACTTTTGTCAAATATATATTCACGCAACTGATCACTTTTGCTAAGGAACCATAAACTGACTTACCATCCATCCAATTGAAATGCTGGCGAATTTTTCTTTAGGCCCTCCACCAACGCTTATGAATGCAAGACTAACTTGATCTTGCAAGATTTTTGGTTTCCATATGTTAATGTTTCCTTTTACTCCAGAAAAACTAGCCGGTCCAATGTCAGCTTTTGCAAACTAATATCCATAAAGAACAAAGAAACTCAGAAAATGAAAGTAGAAAAAAAAAATGGGGGTTGGTACTCTCAACTTATAAGGGTTCTTACGTAGAATTTTCCGTTTAAATCAGTGTTATTTCTCTCTGTGAGAAAAGGTCTCGGGCCGTCGAATCCCATGGATTTCAAACGTTGTGCATGCATAAGATCTTGCATTGTTGTCCTTTTTACAATTACTGTTCCATCTGGACAGCTTATACCTTCTTGTTGAAGACCAAATCTCCCTGAAGTGTTGTTTCCAGTGATCCATTCAGGTACAGTTGTTGGCTTTAGCTGTATATATATACGTCAATGTGTTCACAAATTCCATCATTCTCTAAGGAGATATTCATCTTTGATCGAAAAGAAAGGAGACAAAGAGAGAATTCTGTATAAAACAAAACCTGAACAGAGTGGTTTTTTAGTAGAGGATGATCAAATGCTAGTTGTTTGTGAATATCGATACAATCAAATATATCACCATGTTCACTCTGTTCATAAGAAAAAAAAAATTAGATATGAAACAATAAGCATGTTAGAAGAAGGAAGGCGAAGCCAACCTTGAAACTCTTGATAGCAGGCTTGTTGATAGCTTTGAGTTGTCTCTCCATTTCTTTCTTCTCTTCCTTTGATGGTATTGCTTCAGCCCATAAAATAAGAGTGATTGTTAACAGAATCAGTAGAACAAAGTGGTTGAAGGAAGCCATTGATTCTCCAAAAGAGGCTCTTATCTTTATTCTTTCTACTACAAACAAGAAATGAATCAAAAGGATTTATTTATAATGTAGAATATCAAATTAAATCTAAATTTATTGACTCAATTAATTAATACATTTTTGTAGCATTTATTATATTTCATTAAAACAAAGGGTAATATTATGTAAATATTATGACCATAGAAAAGTAAATAATTAAATACTCTCTCTTATAAGTGATGTTTTAGGAGAATGCACATAGATTAAGAAATCATTTCATTTTTGTTTATTTCTTAACTAAAACATCATTTATCATCTAATCAACCAATAAAAAAATAATCTACAGAATATAAATTGTCAAAACCAATAAAGAAGTAATTAATTTTGCATTGAAATTGAAAACATCATCTATTTAAGAACAAAATTAGAAGCTTAAAACATCACTTATAAAAGAACGGAGAGAGTATCTATCTGTTTGACCAAAAAAATTAAGTTTCCATCTATGCTTTTTTTATTAGGCGGATAAGAGAGAGAATGATAACATATAAGTTAAGGCGACAAATAAATTATCATGATAAATATATACGTTAATGTATAAGTAGGGGTTTATAAATCATCATGATAAATTATCATTTGAATTATTGAATTAATGGATTAAATGAGTTTATCCATTTCATAATTTTTCTATAGTCTAAATAATTATCATAATTAATAACTATCATACTACAATCATCATCATACTACCATTATATCATCATCATCATCATGCCATAATCATGATCATCATCATCATCTCATCATTGATCATCATACCATCATCATTCATGATCATCATACCATCATCATCACTAACTACGTAAAGCTTATCTATTGCACCATTTCATAATTTTTCTTCCTAGGTTCATCAACATCAATAATTCTAAAATTTTCTTCACGGATTCATAATTGACTTTTTTCAGAGTCATTAGCATCAGTAATTATCTTCCAAATAAAACAATCTCTCAAGATCCAATAACTTGTCGCACTTCTCCTTAAGTAACCAGAACCGGAGACTTGATTGGAGAGCGACTTGATCGGAGAGCCAGAGACTTGATCGGAGAAGAGCTTCGATCCCCAACAATGGTGGAGCCGGAGACTTGATCGGAGAAGAAGGAGACCCTTAAGAGACTTGATCGGAGAGTTCGATGGTAGTGAGAGATCGACGATGTTGCATGAAAACTAAATTTATTGACTCAATTATTTAATGCACTTTTGTAGCATTTATTATATTTCATTAAAATAGAATGTAATATCATTCTATGACCATGAAGAGTAAATAATTATATTAAGTATCTATTAGTTTGACCAAACAAATTAGAGAGAATTGGCTGAGAGACATTTGACCAGAGCTAAAATTTGATTGATTTTTAGAAATCTATTTCAAAGTCAAAACAATATATCTATATATATTTAGTCCACGTTTTTGCTGAAACTAACCCCATGCGCTTGACTGGATACATATGTCAATTGCATTAATGTTACATCATGCTTTTTGGGTGTCTATTCGCCTCAACTATTAGTCATCCTGCCATTTTATTCTTTCACCTTTTAAATTTTTATCCTAACCATTCTAAATTTTCATCGTTTCTTAATGACCCAGCAGATCGGAGTCTCTTCCACCCGAATGAACTTGTCTTTCGCAGCGATTCACAGTGAGGAAATGTTCAATTGTTGTGTTATATTAAAGCTCTTTAGAGATTTTGAAAACATACAGTCCAATAAGTGTATAAGATATCAGTACACCTGAGGATATTTTGGTATAATGTTTTTAACTTTTCACCATTGATATAAAGATTATTGTAAATTAATGAGTACAATTTAGAGAAAACACTAGATCATGACTTGCTAACCATCCAGCTCTAATGCCTTGATGTATAGTAAGACATGATCATTACAAAATTAAAAGTTTTGTAATGCCAATCTTGGACTGTAGTCCTTTTAACAATTACTGTTCCATGTGGACAACTTATTCCTTTAAGCTGAAGCTGCAAAGGATCAACTTTTTGTGCATTGTTATCGTATGTGATCCATTTAGGTACAGTTGTTGGCTTTAGCTGCATATACGCCAATGCGTTCTCTTATTTATAAATAACTCATCTTTGATACAAGAGACCGGAGTGGAAGAGAGAACTCTATAAAACTCAAAACCTGAACAGAGTGGTTTCTCAGGAAATGATGATCAAAGGCTAGTTGCTTGTGAATGTTGATACAATCGAATGTTTCACCTTGTTCAATTTGTTCAACAAGGAAATCATAAACTCATGTCATGTTTCTTCAGCGTAACGCAAGCATGTATGAAGAAGGAAGGCTAAGCCAACCTTGAACCTAAAATAAGACACTTTTGTATTTATTATCTTTCAAATATTATTATTTGTCCTAATGATATAGCAGTTCTTTATCTTATAATTACATTATTTTGCAGTTAAGAAAGAGATGTTTTTTTTTCCCTGTACTTTAAGGTGAGTTTGCACTCAATCTATGCTCAATAACATTCGATATTTTGTGCTGAGTTGTGAACTTATGATTATTCATTAGAGCGCAAGTACTGCTTAGATATATTCCAAATCTGTTGAATTTCTTTTATAGCCTATCAAAAAGTCTTAAGATATTGCTACTCTTTATTTCATAGATCAATTACCCTATGCATCCTCCAGGACCTCCATAAAAAACAGACTTTTTCCAAGGCTTAGCAGCCTCACGAACATATCTGGCTTTGTAACAGTTTGGTCTGCTCTCATGTACCTTCACTGAACCAACTTCTGGATCGAGAACTGTCCCCGAACCATCGATGATTTTGATGCCGCTCACATAGGCTGCTTTTTTAAATCCCTCAATAGGCCAATGACCACTTCCCATTACTGGAGCCATCTCTGTCACTGGGCTGTACACTTGACCTCCCCAAGATGCATAATTTGCGTTGTTAGCTAAGCTCAGGGACTTGAACAATGATGCTGGCCAGTATCCAATGTTCTCATCCTTAAATGCAAACCACCAATCTCCCTTGACCTGATCCTGTTCCCAATATTCAGAAGATGAATCAAAATGACTTTTAAGAAGCTAAGTGATCAAATATGAGTAGACTTTACCTGATACAAGGTCAAAGGCAATTCATACTGTGGACCATCATAGATCGAAATTGGTTGAAGAATGGCACTAAGTGGTATAGTCTTGCTAACTTGCACAAATCCAGGACATGACATGTCGTAGCAGCCGGTCTGGCTTCCGTGTATCTGTTAGCACAATAAACCAACATATACATATAGCACTTATAAAATTCGGAGAAGTTGATAAAATATTAGTGCAAGCTCTTACTGGTATAACTCAAAACTTACAGTCCATGAGGCGTATAAGCGAACATAATCACCGTAGTAGAGCGATGGATTCACCTGTTGTATATACATATTTTCAAACTTTTGTCAAATATATATATTCACGCAACTAATTACAGTGGATAAGGCGTATTAGCGAACATGATCACTTTTGCTAAGGAAACATAAACTGACTTACCATCCACCCAGCTGAAATGCTGGCGAATTTTTCTTTAGGCCCTCCACCAACGCTTATGAATGCAAGACTAACTTGATCTAGCAAGATTTTTGGTTTCCATATGTTAATGTTTCCTTTTACTCCAGAAAAACTATCCGGTCCAAAGTCAGCTTTTGCAAACTAATATCCATAAAGAACAAAGAAACTCAAAAAATGAAAGTAGAAAAAAAATGGTGGTTGGTACTCTCTACTTATAGAGGGTTCTTACGTAGAATATTCCATTTGAATTAGTGTTATTTCTCTCTTTGAGAAAAGGTCTCGGGCCGTTGAATCCCATGGATTTCAAACGTTGTGCATGCATAAGATCTTGCATTGTTGTCCTTTTTACAATTACTGTTCCATCTGGACAGCTTATACCTTCTTGCAGAAGATCAAAACTCCCCGAACCATTGTTTCCAGTGATCCATTCAGGTACAGTTGTTGGCTTAAGCTGTATATACATCAATGTGTTCACAAAATATTCCATCATTCTCTAAGGAGATATTCATCTTTGATCGAAAGGAAAGGAAATAAATAGAGAATTCTGTATAAAACAAAACCTGAACAGAGTGGTTTTTGAGTAGAGGATGATCAAATGCTAGTTGTTTGTAAATTTCGATACAATCGAATATATCACCATGTTCAGTCTGTTGATAGGAAAAAAAAAAAAAAAAAATAGATATGAAACAGTAAGCATGACCAACGTGGTGTTATTCCAGTACGGAAAATCTCTCAGGTGTTCCAGTACACATGTTTGGAGGGATCTCTTCTCCAAAAGAGATAATTTTAATCTGGTGTGGATCCTTTCTCTGGAAGACGTATAGAACCCTCGGACTTGAACTTAAAAAAAAAAAAAAAAAAAAAAAAAAAAAAAAAAAAAAAAAAAACAGTAAGCATGTAAGAAGAAGGAAGGTTAAGCCAACCTTGAAACTCTTGATTGCAGGCTTGTTGATAGCTTTGAGTTGTCTCTCCATTTCTTTGATATCTGCGTTTGATCTGCGTTCCTTAGTTGCTTCAGCGGATAAAATAAGAGTGATTGTTAACAGAATCAGTAACACAAAGTGGTTGAAGGAAGCCATATTAATTCTCTAAAAGAGGCTCTTATCTTTACTCTTTCTTCTCCAAACAAGAAATGAATCAAAAGGATAGATTTATAATGTAGAAAATCACATTAAAACTAAATTTATTGACTCAATTAATTTATGCACTTTTGTAGCATTTATTATTATAGTTCATCAAAATAAAGGATTATATCATTCTATGACTATAGAAGAGTAAATAATTAAGTATCTATCAGTTTGACCAAAAAAATTAAGTCTCCATCTATGCTTTTTTTTAATTAGGCAAATAAGAGAGAGAATATTATTTTTATATTTATATATCATTTTTTATGTGAATAAAAGAGAGAATGATAACATATAAGTTAAGGCGACAAATAAATTATCATGATAAATAAATACGTTAATGTATAAGTTAATGGTAATAAATAAATTATTAAAGTGAATAAACATATTAATATATACGTTGATACCAATCATATAATAAAAATTTTAACACAGTAGATATAAGTTTACCACATAAGTTGTAAATTTATTGTGATACAATATGATTTACATTCTTAATCATATATAACTGGGAAGATTGAGAAAAACATAAGTACAGTTCAAGATTCACAAATATACAAAAATGTAAAAACAGTAGCTGGAGAAAACAACACAAATTAGAATAATTTTGTATTTACAGTAAACCATTAGTGATTTACAATTTGAAATTCAGATGATTATATATATCTTTATTTTAACATTTCATAATGTTATTTACAAATAATTTAGCAATGTTTTTAGCGGTTTGAAATTGAAATCTATTACAGTCAAGTGTTCTTTACATTTCCATAGAATAATCTCAATAGAGGGTGATTGCATAATTTGCATTAACGCGATATTCACATAATCTTGGTCTTATGTAACGGTTACAGAAATGTAGAAGAAACAATTTCTGAGCATATTTTGCATATTAATACCTCAGCTAAAGCTTTTTTAAGCAAACTTTTTTTTGTTAGAAAAGATAACTATAAACTATGATTGATCGAATTCGTCCACCAAACATATTCTTGTATTTCTATTATTCTTACAAAAATAAGATCCAAGTTTTATTTTTCAACTTAAAAAGTGAAAAAGCAGAGGATACTTAATTAATGCCGAGAGATATTAAGAACATGATAACTAGAATGTGCATCCTCCTGGTCCTCCATAAAAGATAGCGTCATCCCAAACTTTACCAAACAGTGGTTGGTCCTTTTTGACTTTGTAACAATTCGGAGTGCTTGAGAATGTCTTTAGAGTATCAAGTGGTGGAGTCACACCTACAGATCCAAGATCATTATATACTACAAAATCATTCATATAGGCTACTTTCGTGTAACTTCTTTTCTCTGGGAAATGTCCACTTCCCATGCTTGGGCTCTTCTCTTTCACTGGACTGTATACTTCTCCTCCCCATGAGGCCAAACTTCCTCCATGTCCTAAACCAACATCTGTGAACAATGATTTTGGCCAGTATCCAACATAATTATTATTGAACGCCACCAACCACCAGTTTCCTGTAATATGATCCTGCTTAAAGAGACACGTTTACTTATGCATTCAAAGGACTAGAGAAACACTATGCACATTCTCATCAACAATTGGCTCATTTCATGGAACTTCTCATATAAGCAAATTTGTGGAAGTTGATGCTACCTTATACATGTTGATGCCTACTTCATATTGTTTGCCACCGTAAATGGAAACTGGTTGAAGAAGGTAGCCAAGTGGGATATCGGTGCTCACTTGTACAAAACCAGGACATAATAGATTGTAGCAACCTGTCTTCGTAAATCCATCTGCCTATTTTGAATCAAGGGGACACATATAAATGATGGTGAGGCGTAGCATGAAAATACAAAAGACGAGGAAGTCAATATACTTTTCTAAATCTCTTTAGAGGTTTTAAAAACATACAGTCCAATATGTGTATAAGCGACTATGATTCTTGTTTAGCCATTGGTACACCTGAGGGATATTTTCACCATTGATGTAAAAATGAAGGTAAAATGATTAGTGCAATTCAGAGAGAGCGAGGGAAAACACAAGATTATGACTTACTATCCATCCAGCTCTAATGCCTTGAAACTGTTCATTTGATCCTGCAGAGATAGTGATACTTGCAAGACTGAATTGATTAGGTGAAACTTCCGGTTCCCAGATGTTAAGGTTTCCCTTTGCTCCATAATGAAATTTTTTGTATTGAGCCACAGCAAACTATAATGCAAAGAGAATAAATAAGAAGAAAGAAGTGATTAATTATGCTCATTATATATGAGAAATTTCTCTACGTGAAGGATGTTTTAGCGCGGTTCATACATGATAACCAGATAGATCAATGTTTTCTCCCTTTGAAGAAACATATCTTGAAGATTTGAACCCCATGGATTTCAAACTCCGAGCTTGTATAAGATCTTCTAGTGTGGTCCTCTTAACAATCACGGTTCCAAGTGGACAACTTACACCATCTTGTCTAAACGGGAGGGAACCACCTTTCTCAGAATTGTTGTTCTTATTTATGGTCCATTTAGGCATAGTCGTAGGCCTCAACTACACATCACATCATAGTTTAATCCATTTATAACATAAGCTCATCTTTAAGAATTTTTAGGGAACTTCTTATATGGGATAAAACCTGAATAGAATGGTTTATGAGTAGAGGATGATCAAAGGCTAGTTGCTTGTGAATGTCGATGCAATCCAATGTATCACCATGTTTAGTCTACAGAATTGCAACAAAAAAAAAATGGATTGATTTGTTCTGAAAAAATGTGATTATGGCTGCACAAAAAAACTAACTTATATGATCATATCGTATTTTTCGAAAGGCTATAACTTACCCGGAAACTCTTGATTGCAGGTTTATTGATATTTTTGAGTAATCTCTCCAAATCGTTTTCCTCCTCTTCCAATTGTTTTGTTCTGTAACTCTCAGAACCTAAAATTAGAGCAATTGCTGAAAAGGTTAGCAAAATAGACTTTTCATAGGAATTCATGGTAACTAATAAAACTCCAAGAAACCAAGACTATATATTAACTGGCTTTCACAATAAATGAAAATAAAAAATTGAAGCACAACAACTATATATGGTGTCAGATTACTCTTAAAGACCATAAAAATCAATAAATAACCTATATAGAATGACTGACAAGTGGCTCTCTTGCTATTAGCTTAATGTTGATTCTAATAAATGTCTTTAGCAAACTTTAAGACTTTTTATTTTATTTTTGTCTTCTTATGCTGAGTAAAGTGTAAAGTAAAGGTTAGGAGATATTTTTTCCCATAAATAATTACGAGAAAAAAACAGTTTATAAGAAATTTACTGATATGATTATAAGTTTATAACCTAGTCAAAATTAATTTTTGGAGAGGTTAGGAGATATTTTTTCCCCACTTTCACGACTCATTGTCTCTAGTTTTCTCTATTATTTAACCCCAAAAGAAAGGTAGAAATATTTAAGCAAACAATTTTTCTTTTTGAAAATGGACACTATGAAGTAGAATTAACAGTATCTTCCAGTATAATTGATTGAATTCTTCCACCAAAATAACTGTATTATTTTTCAACTTAAAAAACAAAATAAAAAACAGAGATCTTAAGAACATGGTAACTAGAATGTACATCCTCCTGGCCCTCCAAAGAAAATAGCGTTATCCCAAAGTTCACCAATACCTGGTTTCTTTATGGCTTTGTAACAATTTGGGGTGCTTGAAAATGTTGTTAGAGAATGAAGTGGTGGACCCATCGAACCTTCCAATTTACTATCTTCTACTACTTCAATACCACTCACATAGGCTGCTTTCTTGAAACCCTCTTCTGGGAAATGTCCACTTCCCATGCTTGGACTCTTCTCTTTCACTGGACTGTATACTTCTCCTCCCCATGATACATAACTTGCTCCATGGCTTAAACCAACATCTGTGAACAATGAATTTGGCCAGTATCCAACATAATTATCGAATGCCACCAACCACCAATTTCCTGTAATATGATCCTGCTTAAACAGACAGGGTTATTTATACATTCAAATGACTAGAGAAGCCTCAACTGTTGGTGGATTAGGCTCATTTCTAGGAACTTCTCAAAGTAGCAAAATTTTGGTAGTTGATGCTACCTTATATATGTTGATGTTTATTTCATATTGTTCGCCATTGTAAGTAGAAACTGGTTGAAGAAGTAAGCCAAGTGGGATATCAGTGTTCACTTGTATAAAGCCAGGACATAATGTATTGTAGCAACCTGTCTTCTTAAATCCATCCGTCTATATGAATCAAATAATATAACATATATAAATGAGGAGATCCACAACACGAGAATGCGAAAAAAAATCACGATGGCCTGACTTTATATTAAAGCTCTTTAGAGATTTTGAGAACATACAGTCCAGTAGGTATATAAGCGAGTGTGATTCCGGTTCAGCCATTGATACACCTGAGGATATTTTTGAGTGTTGATTTTGGTAATATATTTAAGTTTTCACCATTGATATAAAAATTAGTGTAAGCTAATACAAGTTAGAGAAAGCAAGGGAAAACACAAAGATCATGACTTACTATCCATCCAGCTCTAATGCCTTGAAACTGCTCATTTAAGCCTCTAGAGATAAGCATACTTGCAAGACTGAATTGATTAGGTGAAACTTCTGGTTCCCAAAGATTAAGGTTTCCCTTTGCTCCATAATGAGAATTTTTGTACTGAGCAACGGCAAACTAGAATACAAAGAGAAATAAAAGAAAAAAGAAGTGATTAATGCTCATTGTAGATGGAAATTCAAATTTCTCTACTTGACGGATGTATTAGCGAGATTAATACATGAAAACCAGTCAGATCAATGTTCTTGCTCTTCAAAGAAACATATGTTGAATATTTAAACCCCATGGCTTTCAAACGCTGATCTTGTATAAGATCGTCCGGTGTGGTCCTCTTAACAATCACGGTCCCAAGTGGACAACTTATGCCATCTTGTCGAAGCGGTACAGAACGAGAATCATTATTATTATGTATGGTCCATTTAGGTATAGTTGTAGGCGTCAACTGCACATCATATTTCAAGCCATTCACAAATAAGCTCCTCTTTTAAAACAATTTAAAAGAAGTAGAAAACTTCTATAATATAGACATGCATAAACCTGAATAGAATGGTTTTTGAGCTGAGGATGATCAAATGCTAGCTGCTTTTGAATGTCAATGCAATCCAATATATCACCATGTTTAGTCTACAATATCGCAAAAGCAATAAACTAAAGAATGTGATTCTGGCCGCATAGAAAACCAAATTTTAAGGAATATGATATCCGATTTTTTAAAAGGCTAACTTACCTGAAAACTCTTGATTGGAGGTTTATTGATATAGTTGAGTAACCTCACCAACTCGTTTTCATTATCTTCTAGTAATATTGGTCTGTGACTCTCTACAACTAGAATGAGAGATAGAGCTGAAAAAGTAAGCAGAAGAAGCTTATCAGAAGAAATCATGGCAATTGATATAACTATAAAGATTGAAAGGCTCTCTTTATTATGGTTGTCAAAAGTTTAATGAAACATCAAATATATATGGTGTCACATTACTCTGAGTCATTATTAATATCAGAAAACAATCTATATACCATTAATGAGTGGCAAGTGGCCCTCTTTCTATCCCCCTTATGTGGATTCTAAATTTCTAATAAGAGTTTTTAGCCAACTTTAGTATACATAAATGACTTTTTCTTCTTCTTATATATCATCTTGTCTTATATAATTAAAGTGTCTCAAAGAAAGGATTAGACATATAAAACAAAGACAAATTATCAAGAACAAGAATTAAAGTCATCATGATTTACCTTTTTCTAATGTCATAAAACAAAAACTTGTCATAATAGTCTTCGTTTACTTTTTTCTATGCAAGACACGAAAGTGGTATTTTTCTAAAACAAATATAGCCCAAATCCAAGATATAAGTCCAACCTTGAGCATAATCGCAGTGTATTGATTAATATTTCTGGAGAACAAATCAAATTTAGAGGTCCATAACATTGTCAGCTCTCAGAACACACAAAAGTTTGTTCGGACTGAATCCAAAACTTATGGCTTAACTTCTTGTAAAAATTATTGGTTAAAAAACCCCCACAGTTCTAGATCGATTCATATATATATGAATGAAACTGAAGCAGTTGAAGCACTGACTACGAAGAATTGGGAGAAAAAAAACTGGAAGCAATATCGATGTTTTCATTGCATCATTTGGTATCAGAGCGACGCTTAGTTATTATACATCATGCGTTGCTCTTATACCAATTGATGTGATGGAAACCGAGTGATGGAACTGTAGAACCCTAATTAGTGTAAAGCTCTGTATGTATATATATATATATTTATATAGTGGTAGAGAAGATTGAGGAAACCCTAACCCTAGAAAGAGCAACGTTTTTACTGCTGCATTTTTTTTTTCCTTTTTTCTTAAAGTCTTATATGTTTTTTACCGTATGTCCGTATCTATGTAAAAGGCTAAAAGCTATTAAAATCAAATTTAACAATTAACTAGGAGAGAAAAACAGTTTGGATGAAATTTATTGATTTGCTTAGAACTTCTAGTCAATAGAAATTATACTTATACAGTATGTCCTACTTATATAGCAGTTCCTTAATCATATAATCACATGATTTTTGTAGGCAAGAAATGTACGTTTTTTCTCTGTACTTTCAGGTGAGTTTTTTGCACTGAGTCCAATGCTCAATAAACATATACTGAAAGTTTTGAAATTGTGAAACTTGATTTTGATTATTTCTCCTATTAGCTTCATCTATAATTTTTAAAATCTTGTAAACTCTTCAGTTCATAGAATATTATTTCCCTATGCATCCTCCAGGACCTCCATAGTAAACAGCTCTTATCCAAGGTTCATCATCATCATGAACATACTTGGCTTTATAACAATTTGGACTGCTCTCATGTGTTTTTATAGTGTAGATTTGTGGAATCAAAGCTTCTCCCTTACCATTGAGGATATGGATATTGTTTACAAAGGCTGCTTTTCCGAAACCTTCCTTAGGAAAATGCCCACTGCCCATAATTGGACTCTTTTCTGTCGTTGGACTGTACACTTGACCTCCCCAAGATGCAAGATCCGCTCCTTTAACTAAGCCTGAGGCTATGAACAATGACTGTGGCCAATACCCAACATTCACTCCTCCAAATACAAGCCACCAATCTCCCGTGACACGATCCTGTTCCCCGATATTGTAAGATGAATATCCAAGTGATCACTTGAAAATTAATTAGATCACTAGAGACTCTGGAGGTAATTACCTGATGCAAGCTTAAGTCCATTTCTTTTTGTGTACCATTATAAATTGAAACTGGTTGAAGAAGGACACCAAGTGGTATTCTCTTGCTGACTTGCACGAATCCCGGACATCTTATGTCGTAGCATCCTGTCTTATTATATCCATCTGCCTGTTTGAATCAATTTACCATACATATATCACTAAGACTATGTGAAGTTAGAAAAAATATTAGCGTAAACTTTCAAAGGGTTACTCAAAACTTACAGTCCAGTAAGTGTATAAGTGAATGTGATCTTTGTACAACAATGGATTCACCTGTAGTACATATGTGTTTGCAAACTTTCTTTTCTCAAAGATTTGAAAAAAAAAAAACTAATAACGAAAGAACGAGAAAATAGATTTACCATCCATCCAACGGAAATGCTGGAGAGCTCTTCTATTATTGGACCGCCAGCAATCGCCATGGTTGCAAGACTAACTTGATCATGTGACACTTGTGGATCCCAGAGGTTAAGGTTTCCTTGTACTCCAGCAATGTTGTCATATTCATAGTCTGCCGTTGCAAACTAAATATATATGCATAGAGAACAGAGAAATTAAGAAAATGGAAACAGAGAAATGGTGTTTTATGTTGAAAGTAAGGATTCTTACATGATGTCCAGTCAAATCACTGTTGTTTCCATCTCTAAGGACATGTCTAGGGATATTGAATCCAATGGATTTCAAATGTTGTGAGTTAATAAGATCTTGGATTGTAGTCCTTTTAACAATCACTGTTCCATGTGGACAACTTATTCCCTTTAGCTGAAGCTGCAAAGGACCAATTTTTTGTGAATTGTTGTGGCATGTGATCCATTTAGGTACACTTGTTGGCTTTAGCTGCATGTAAGTCAATGCGTTCTTTTACGTATAAATAATTCATCCTTGATACAAGAAACGAGAGAGGAAGAGTTCTCTATAAAACTCAAAACCTGAACAGAGTGGTTTCTCAGCAGATGATGATCAAAGGCTAGTTGCTTGTGAATGTCGATACAATCGAATATTTCACCTTGTTCAGTCTGTTCAACAAGGAAAATTGAAAATGGTGTCTATAAGTTATTGTACTACTCATAAACTCATGTCATGTTTCTTCAGCGTAACGCAAGCATGTTTGAAGAAAAACGGCTAAGCCAACCTTAAAACTCTTGATTGGCGGTTTGTTGATAGCTTTGAGTTGCCTCTCCATTTCTTTCTTCTCTTCTTCCGCTGGTATTGTTCGGCGTTCATGAGCTGCTTTCGCGACTAAAACAAGAGCAATTGTTAACAGAATCACTAACACAAGGTGGTTATTGGAAGAATCCATTGTGTAAACAATGATTATCCAACAGTCAGAGGCTCTTATTTTCCTTATGTAAATAAACAATGAATCAAAAGAATTAAGTTATAATGAATGAACAACTTACAATCAAAATGGTGAGAAGAACATATAGACAAGTGGCCTATACTTTTCCATGGAATCAAATTAATAAAGAGTGAATAAATAGATGAAATGTAAATTGTTATCTTGGGCTTAAATAATTAACGGTTACAGAAAATTTTGAGGAAAAGATCTGAGATTTAACTCTGCATATTAGTACTGAGATATAAACGTGTCTCCCTCTGTAGACAAAGCAAACAGAAAAGTGGTAAAGAAAAGTATAAAGTAAAAAACCATAATCTCTTTACACAATTGATTGTATATGTCTCTATTAATCCAAAACTAATAAACACACAAAAAAAACTTCTCAGATCTGAGTTTTGACAAATACCGTTGCAATTCAATGACCAAAAATTGACAAATAAATCTAAAACTAATAACACAAAAAAAAAAAAAAAAAACCTTCTCAGATCTCCAAGACACAAAAGTGCTATTTTGTGAAAAAGAAAGTTATAGCCTAAGTCTAAGATATATGTAAGATCGATCCAATAACGAAACTCTGCTCCAATAAACTAAGGGAGAAATCTCATGTTTTAGTTAAGTCGTGTCGTCTTCTTAAGACAATCGAGACTTGAGACATAGAATTGAAGCGTTAACAACAAGGTAAAAAAGAAACATGGAATCAGGCAATATCGATGTTTCCATTGCATCAACTGGTATCAGAGCCGCGCAAATTTTTCATAGGCGTGGCTCTGACACCAATCGACGTGATGGAAACCGAGCGATGGAACTATTGAGAAATCGTACAAGCCCTAATCTGTTTATAGCTCTTTATATATATAGTGGTAGAGGAGATTAAGCAAAACCCTAGCTAACCCTAACAAGGGCAGCCTTCACATAGTAAAAAAAAAAAAAAAAAAAACTGAACTTAAAATCAAATAACAATTAGGAATAAATTAATGAAATCCGAAAATAATGTTTAAGTTTAAAAAAAAAAAGAGAGATTATTCTGACAAAAAAAATTGATTATTATTTTCCTATAATTTTTTTAAGTAATAAACAATATTTTGATCCATTAAGTTAAGTTAACTAAAATGTGCATCCTCCAGGTCCTCCAAATAAGATAGCTCTTGACCAATACTCACCAACACCTAATATTTTCTTTACGTTATAACAGTTTGGACTGTCTGCGACTGTCTTTAAAGCTGAAGCTAACGGACTCGAAACTTCTTTTGTTACATCGGTGATTATTTTTAAACCATTCACATAAGCTGCTTTCTTGTAACCCTCTTGTGGGAAATGTCCACTTCCCATGCTTGGACTCTTCTCTTTCACTGAACTGTAAACTTCTCCTCCCCAAACCACCGCACTCGCTCCATCAGCTAAACCTTGACGTTTGAACAATGATTTTGGCCAGTATCCAATTGGCTCGTTATTTAGCTCAAACCACCAGTCTCCTGTAACATGATCCTGCTTAAATCAAAAGCCCTAGCTGTTAACATAACCCTCAACTTTTCGATATAATTATGAAGAAAGCCAGTGTTGTATGTATTTATATATACCTGATATATGCTGACTTCTAATTGATATTGTTGACCATCGTAAATGGAAACTGGTTGGACAAGCATTCCAATTGCATACTTGGTGCTCACGTGCACAAAACCAGGACATAGTGTATTGTAGCAATGAGTCTTATTATTTCCATCGGCCTATTTGAATCAATGATTTAAATTTTTTGATTATTTGCTAAACCATAGGTTTTTTGTTTTTTCAAACGCAAACTTTAATTTCCTTTACGTGAGAAAGAAAAACAATTCATTTTGTCTTTTCTAAAGGTAAAATATAAAACATTTTCATTTTTTTTGTTAACGAGCCCACATAATACTTTTCTCATTCTGCTAAAAGATTGAATCGAACTCTTGTGATCAAATATTTGCAAAGGTGGCATCGTCACTTGAGCTAGAGGATCCGAGCCATTTTGCAAAATACAAATATAAACAACACAAAAATGAAATGTTTTTTTTTTGTGTGTGTGTGTATGCCGTTTACGTTTGTAATAACTTTACGGGTTCTTTTTAGAAAGAAAAGAGAAAGCAAATGTAAATTACAAAGTCGAGACTTTAAGAAGTTATGAAAAACTTACAGTCCAGTAAGTGAATAAGCGACTTTGATTATTATGATATAGCCCTGGATACACCTAAAAGGATATTTTTGAAATGTTGGTTTCAAATTTTTATTTTAGAAAATAAGTAAAAATAGGGTCTAGCTTGACTCACAATCCATCCAGCAGTAATGCTTTGAAACCCTTCGTCGCCTGAGACAGTCATAGCCGCAAGACTAAATTGATCAGGTGAGACATTTGGATTCCATACGTTAATGTTTCCTTTTGCTCCATAGTGGTAATCTTTGTAACTAATGGTGGCAAACTAAAATCCAAAGAGAAAATGAATAGATAATGAAAAAACATTATAACCATTGTGCAAAAGTTAAGAGGGGATCTCAACTCAACTACGTGTAATAAGAAAATGCTTCTTACATGATGACCAGTTAAATCAATTTTCTTGTCCTTTGAAGAAATTTGTCCTGGATAGTTGAATCCTAAGGATTTCAAACGTTGAGCTTGTATAAGATCTTCAAGTATAATCCTTTTGACAATGAATGTCCCAACTGGACAACTTATGTCTTCTTCTCGAAATGGCAAAGAACTAGATTTGTAAGAAGTGTTGTTATCTTTGGTCCATTTAGGTATAGTTGTGGGCTTCAACTGCATATATATTTCAATCCATCAAAAATTAATAATAATTTTTTTTTTAGAGATTTATTCGTGTTTTTAAGGATAAAACCTTAAGAGAATGGTTCTTGAGCAAAGGATGATCAAAAGCTAGCTGTTTTTGAATGTCGATGCAATCCAATATATAACCATGTTCAGTCTGTTGAAATGAAAAGTAACTTGACATCATAAACTTCAATATTCAACAATGTTTTTAAAAAAACTACCGAAAACTTAAGAAAAGAAAGGCTAAATTTACATGGAAACTTTTGACTGCAGGTTTATTGAGATAGTTGAGTAACTTCTCCATCTCTTCTTTCTCCTCATCCGAAGGTACTGATTTGTGACTCTCCCCAACTAAAATGAGAGCCATTGTTGATAAAGTTAGCAAAGTAAGTTTATTGGAATACCTCATGATGAATCAAGGATCTTAATCTATATTTTTCAAAAGCAGAATGAAGTAGAGCAACTATATTTATTGTGTCACATTAAATCTGAGACCATTTATAACCTACAAAGAACCTAACTCAGTAACTGACAAATGTCTCTCCCTCTCTCTCTATTGCACATATGTGGATGCTAAAGTGAGATTTTTTTTAATAAACTTTAAGAAAAATTTTGTTTTTAGTTTTATAAAGGATTTTCCATTTAATTGTATAAGAAAAAGAAAAGCTTGTTTATGGGTCAAAGCCCAATATAAAAACCAAAACAGTAGTGACACAAATGAACCATGAATTGATCTATCTACTTAACATTTTTGAAGTACAAATTTGCTCTTCTAATCGGGTCGGATTTTTTTCTGATTTTGACCCGGAAATCTTCAATCGGATCTTTCCTTAAATTATAGCAAAATTTAAAAACGAAAATACCTAATAAAATCTAAATTATATATATTTTCTCAACTAATTACTATATCTAAACTATTCATTTATGGTATATTCTTTACAATTTTTATAGATTAGGAAATCAAACATGATAATTTAATGATAATATAACAAATTTAAGCTAATTTCCTAAAACTTCTCTACCTAATTTAAACATAAATATATGATTCTCATTTCACTTTTATTTGATCTTATATTTATATTATTTTGAATTATTATAAAATATATATATTTAATAAATTTTAGTTTTTTTTTTCTGCATATGTTGTGATTCAAATTTTTTAAAACAGACATATATTACTCAATCGATGAAGAAAAAAAGTATGTGTGTAATCTATATTAACATTTTTTAAGAACAAATTGCACATTTAATCGGGTCGTTTTTTTATTCTGACCCGAAATTGAGTCATTCAGATCTTTTCTTAATTTCTACAATGATCTAAAACGGGACAGTATACCACGGGTGAGATCCTAAAATTAACAAATCAAAATACAATTATTTCTTATTTTAAGATACAATTATAAATTGTTTTTACGGGTTGGTCCAAAAATACATACTAATTTTAAAAAATATATATTATGGAAACTATTTGAAAGTAAACTTTTAAATTGACTCGAATTATATATCTTCTAAATAAAAGTGTTATTAAAAAAAATAACAAAATGATATTTAATTCCACAGGACATGAGTATATAGTGGGACGGTTTTGGGTCGATATTAATACGGGACAATATACCACGGGTGAAATCGTAGAATTAACAAATCAAAATTTAATTATACAATCTTAAATAGTAAACAAAACAAATACAAATTAAAATTTTTATTTTTTATATACAACGCATGTGACCCGTAATGTACAACAAAACAAATTCATCAGTTTATATAAAAAAAATCAAATAATTAACCCGCGGTGTACCGCGGGTCATATCCTAGTAAACAGTAGATAAGGATCAACATTTTCGATGTGAAGTGTATTATTTCCTCTTTATAATATCTTTCACATAATTTGATAGAAACATTATGTTGGAATTGTCCACATCATTTGAGCTGTAATATATACTGTTTTAGCAAATTATATATAGCAGTTGCTTAATCTTATGTCCATCTTCTTCTATACATCGTTTTCGCGCCTAGTTGTCCAGTCCATTTCAACTACCGACCTCTAATAATTCTTATTTCAAAACATTTTTAACCTCAATTATTATGCTCAAATACTAAATAAATAACCGTTAAGAAACATTAAACTAATTTAAAGTCTTACATGAAAAATGTAGGTTCATATAAAACAAGTGATGATGATTGACAATAAAAAAAATTGAAAATCATCAAAACAGACTTGAGTGCGACTCTTATCATTTCTAAACCATTGCAATTAACATGATGTATAAATCACAAATTTTAGACAGATTAAATTATTTTAGTCTAAATTCACTATTTTATTTTCTATTATTTACTAATAAACTATATTTATTTATATACACATTTTCTGATAATTTATAAATTTGCATGAAAAACAAAGGGAAAAATGTCGTTTAATAGCCGAACTTTCAAAAAATGGCCGTTTAATACGTGAACTTCTTATATGGCCAATTTAAACATGAAGTAAACGTTGACCGGCCAATTTAAACATGAAGTATTCGTTGACAAGGCCAAAAACCACACGCCGTTATCTGTCGTTAACAGATCCGATAATAACCGTTAACGATTCTGTTATTACCTAAAACGACGTCGTTTTAGGCTTAATCGAACTCCCTAAATCCCCAAATCGACGTCGTTTTCTTCGTTTTTGACGCCGGCCACGAGCTTTGTCTCCGATATTCGGTTGAACTAGAATTCCATCTCTGCCACCTGGCTCTGAAACGCTTCCGCCGGTGGAGCTTGAACTCCGTCTCCGACAAAAATCTCAGATTCGCCTCGAGCTTCAACTCCAGCATCCACAACACTCTCTGCTTCGCCTCGAAAATCGGCCTTAAAGTTCTAATTTTGGGGATTTTTCAGAATTAGGGATTTGAAAATCAATTTGGGGATTTTCGGGTTTAGATTAAGCCCAAAACGACGTCGTTTAGGCAATAACAGAATCGTTAACGAGAGTTAAATGGCTGTTATCGGATCTGTTAACGACAGATAACGGCGTGTAGTTTTTGGCCTGGTCAACGAATACTTCATGTTTAAATTGGCCGGTCAACGTTTACTTCATGTTTAAATGGCCATATAAGAAGTTCACGTATTAAACGGCCATTTTTTGAAAGTTCGGCTATTAAACGACATTTTTCCCGAAAAACAAATATAAGATTTTGGAAATTAGCAACAAAAAAAAAAATTAATAACTAATTTTGCCTAAATGAACCAAACTATAAAGCCACCACACCAGTCACCAAATTTACAGAGAGAAAAAAAGCTCAAGTTGGTGATAGAGTGGGAGAGAAACATGGAGGGAAAAGAAGAAGACGTGAATGTCGGAGCCAACAAGTTCCCGGAGAGACAACCAATCGGTACGGCGGCGCAAACGGAGAGCAAGGACTATAAGGAACCACCACCGGCGCCGTTTTTCGAACCCGGCGAGCTCAAATCTTGGTCTTTCTACAGAGCAGGCATAGCTGAGTTCATAGCCACTTTCCTTTTCCTTTACGTCACCGTTTTGACAGTCATGGGCGTTAAGAGAGCTCCTACTATGTGTGCCTCTGTTGGAATCCAAGGCATCGCTTGGGCTTTTGGTGGCATGATCTTTGCTCTTGTTTACTGTACTGCTGGAATCTCAGGTTTAGGATCTGTTCTTGTTCTGAATTTTGTTGAAAGTTTTCGAATTTAGCTTGAAGGAATCTGGAATTAGGGAGGGCTAATTGGTTGTTAGGAATTTGGTAATTTCTTGTAGAAAGTTTGATTCTTTGAGTAATTTCCCACTTAAAGATTGAAACTTTGAGTTATTTCCCACTTAAAGATTGAAACTTTTAGTAATTTCCCACTTAAATTGAAACTTTGAGTAATTTTCTTATTAAAGTTTGAAACTTTGAGTAGTTTCCCATTTTGTTTCTTCTGTGGCAAGAACATAATTTGATTCTGATTTCTGTGGCGAAATGGTTTGGTGATGAGCAGGAGGACATATTAATCCGGCGGTGACTTTTGGTTTGTTCTTGGCGAGGAAGTTGTCTTTAACCAGAGCTCTGTTCTACATAGTAATGCAGTGCCTTGGAGCTATCTGTGGTGCTGGTGTGGTTAAAGGGTTTCAACCAGGGCTTTACCAGACGAATGGCGGTGGAGCTAATGTGGTGGCTCATGGTTACACAAAGGGTTCAGGACTTGGTGCAGAGATTATTGGAACTTTTGTTCTGGTTTACACTGTTTTCTCAGCTACTGATGCTAAGAGAAGTGCCAGAGACTCTCATGTCCCTGTATGTTGCTAATTCTTTAGTATCCTTAAATTCGGTTGAGTTCATATTCTTGGCAAAGAACTCATGTGTTTTTGTGGTTATCGAACATTGTGCAGATCTTGGCTCCGCTTCCAATTGGGTTTGCTGTCTTCTTGGTGCACTTGGCTACCATTCCAATCACTGGAACTGGCATTAACCCGGCCAGGAGTCTCGGAGCTGCCATCATCTACAACAAGGGTCATGCTTGGGATGACCACGTAAGTCCCTCTTTAATCACATCAACGGTTGTGCTAAGTGTGATACGAATGAATTGCATCAAACATCTAAATAGCAACTCAAAAATTTGCTAAATTCTACTCTTTAATCTGTTGTGTTATTCTGGTTTCTGTGTCTGCAGTGGATCTTCTGGGTCGGTCCATTCATCGGTGCTGCGCTTGCTGCTCTGTACCATCAGATAGTCATCAGAGCTATTCCTTTCAAGTCCAAGGCATAAAGCTTCCTACATATTCTCTGATCATCACCAAGCTAAGAATATATCAATCTTTCAATCTATGTGCATTCCTCTTGTTTCCTATGTCTCCTGTGTGATGATCTCTATATCTACCACTGGAGCTTTGATCTTGTAACATTGTATATGTGTAATTTATTATGTACCAATGGAATTGTATCTTGTTACATTGTATTGTATATGTGTAATTAATTATGTCAATGGAAGAATACATTGTGTACATGTGTAAGCTCAGAATCTTGTTTGCATATCACTGGGACGTAATTGAACTAGACATAGGTATGCTAATTGGCAGTGCTAAACATTCTCAATAAGTGTTTCCAATGTCAAACATTAGACAAAATTGTAAAATGAGTAGAATTTGATAGAACAACATCTGATATTTCTGGATTGATTTGAAACCGAAGTGAATTGATCCGAGGCCATCATCGCAAGTATTCTTCCTCTTCTTCTTCTTTAAGAGTCTTTCTTTTTCCACTTTGTATGACATGCTTATGTTTGAATTTCCAACTTCTTAATGACAGTTTCAGTTCTAGATTTTCTTGGGTGATGTTCAGTTCTTGGTTTTGGTTCTGTCTGTGAACTAGTTCAATATGGATGATAAGCATGAAATGCACGGTTCTATTCCACATGGTGGGGTTCCAGTCTCATAATCAAAGAACTCGATTTAGTAACAACATCTTGCACATGTTTGATGCAGGAACATGTATTGTGGTAGACTAAACTGTGCAACAAACAGAGTAAAGACAATGATGAGGCAAGAAAGTGTAAGAGTTCAGCTAGAGCTTGATCTTAATTAAGAGAATAAGCAATTTCCTTTGTTCATATATTACTCGGGTTGTTTACAATTATCAAACAAATATCAGAGTATTGTTTATTTTGGGAAAACCCTGAGACTAATGAAAATTAACATTGGTGATCTAGTGCATCATGAAAAAAAAGGTTGATTTTGACAAGAAAAAGGATGTTGATTAGCATCGAATATCTTGCAATACAAAAACAAATCAATACTAGATCGATCCTAAACATCTTCAAGATGATGATGATCTAATTGTAAAATAAATATTAAATGTTTTGTTGGAGTTTTATCTTAAACAATCAAAGTTTTTCAATTATTGTAGGTGTGTATATACTCAACATAAGATTAATCCATAAACAAAAAGTAATATAAAGGTGTTGCGGGAAAAGGTTACTTAATGGTTAAGAAGTTAGGCTTATGATCATCCCACTTTGTGAAGTATGGCATTGGACTTTCTTTTTACCGATATTAGAGCCAAATGAAAGAGTTTTCTTAATCGCCAAGTTCCAACCAAAAACAATTTACGAAAAAGACATGTATACCAACATTTTCAATTGATATAATATAATACAAAGCTATCCAAATCGAGGAAATCATATAAACGAACGATACATAGTTTTTTTTAATATAAATGGCGAAAAAAGGTAAAGCCACTCATCAAAAATTCAAAAGTGATGAGATTAAAGCAAGTGAAGACGCATACATTATCACATAAAAAGTAGCAAACACACTAAGAATTAGATAAAAAGATAACAGAATAATTACATAAACTTTTTTCTTTTGTTTTGTCTAGATTTTTTGTTTTTTGAATTTCAGTCATACGTGTGAATGTATATCAACAACATTGTTTTTAATGTATTAAACTCTCAACTACTATAAAGTAGCTGAAGGATATGTGATTAAGATATATATAGAGAGAGACAAGCCAGCAAGTATTTTTAGTACACACACACACAAAAGATTCAAAGAATCATATAGTAACAACAACAACAAAAAAAAGGAGAGAGAAGGAAAATGAACAGAATGAGCAATACAGTGATAGGATTCTTGAATATCCTAACACTAATTTCCTCCATAGTTCTATTAGGATCAGCTCTATGGATGGGTAAGAGCAAGACAACATGCGAGCATTTTCTTCAGAAGCCACTTTTGATCTTAGGCCTAGCTATCTTGGTCTTGTCAATAGCTGGTCTAGTCGGTGCATGTTGTGACGTGGCTTGGGTCTTGTGGGTGTACCTCTTCTTCATGGTCTTCATCATAGTCGCGCTCATGGGTTTGACCTTGTTTGGATTCATAGTGACTAGCCATGGTGGTGGTGTGGGTGTGGATGGTAGGGTTTATAAAGAGTTTAAACTTGAAGCATATCACCCTTGGCTTAAGACAAGAGTGATAGATACTAATTATTGGGTTACTATAAAGACTTGTCTATTGGGCTCTGTCACTTGTTCCAAGCTCGCTCTTTGGACTCCTCTTGATTATCTCCAAAAGGACTTATCTCCTCTTCAGGTACTTGTTATAATCATTCCAATTTTTTCATAATCAGTACAATTAGTCAACTAGCTAGAGTCATTTAGAGATTTAATCTTCTTTAAAAAATAGTTTAAATTATAGTACAAAAACAAAGATTATAATTAATCTCTACATGTTCTACTCTTTTGAATTCTAGAGTAACAAAAAAATTAGCTAGTGCTAAACATGTTAATATTAATTCGAGTTATTGAAATATTCGATATTTTGGAAACAGTCTGGATGCTGCAAACCACCTACGTCGTGCGTTTACAACACGGACACGGTGATACAACAAGACCCTGATTGTTATCGGTGGAACAACGCTGCGACGGTCCTTTGCTACGATTGTGACTCGTGTAGAGCTGGCGTTTTAGAGACCGTGCGTCGCGATTGGCACAAACTATCTCTAGTTAACGTCGTCGTTGTTCTTTTCCTCATCGCGGTTTACTGTGTTGGCTGTTGCGCGTTTAAAAACGCCAAACGCCCTCAACATTACGGCTTTCCTTACGGACGTTACGGCATGTCTAAATCTAGGCCCGGATGGGAACAGTCCTGGTGAGATTTAATTGTTTATTTAGAATCACAGAAAAATAATGGTCTTCATTTCTATACTAGTGAACTAGATCATCACCCGTACTACAGTACGGGTTGAATTTCATTTATTACAAAATTTATATATTATATAGTTATAAAATAAAATCGTGATATATTATAATAGTAAGTAAAAATATTAATTTTTTTATGTCAGTCCATATATATAATATTAGAATGAATATATTTTTATTTTTCTGTAATCCTCAATTATGGATATATTTTTAAAGATATGAAAACGGAAAATAATATTATTTTCAAAAAAATAATATTGTTTGAACAATGAGTTAATTTATGTTAACAACCACAAAATGAGAGTGCATCTAAAACGTAGATTATTTTGAATTAGTTAAAAAAGTTAGCTATTATTTTGAATTAATTTAGGAAATTATTTTTTCAAATTCTAATTCATTGGTTGTTGAAATAGAGATTTGTTTGAGCTAATTACGGAATTTACCAATTATTCACATAATCGAATATGTTATGAACATATATTTGATATATAATAATACCAAATTCGATCCGTGTGTGGAGTCTATATTTTCATTTTACAATTCCTATGAAAATATTGTGGCATAATCTATTATTCATTATTTCCAAAATTGCTTGCAGAATTAAATTTTCAAATATTTAGAAGTGTCAAACCTTATTTAACTCATCTCATCATAAAATCTTAAAATGTCGTCTATTATAAGGATCATAACTTTCTATCATATAATACATTACTTTTAACCCGCCGCCTACTATAAATATATTAAACATATCTTTTTAGAAAATCAAATTAGTATTGAGAAATTGTTAAAAATGCCCCTTTTTCAATACCCCTTTTCAAAAATGCCCTCTTTGAGAGTTCATTTTTAAGTTTGCCCTCTTTTAATTTTTAATGACCATTTTACCCTTATTTGAAACAAAATTAGGTCCACAAAATACAAAATATTTTTTGGCGGGAAAAGTGATCCCGCAATTTTCCCGCCAAAACACTTGTAAAAAACCTTTAAAATACCTTGTAAAATTTTCCCGTAAAATTTTTCCCGCCAAAAAATTTTCCCGTCAAAAAATTTTTTTTGCGGGAAAAGTGATTCCGCAATTTTTTTTTTGGCGGGAAAATTTTTGGCGGGAAAAATTTACAAGGTATTTTAAAGGTTTTTTACAAGTGTTTTGTAAGGTTTTACAATGTATTTTAAAAGGTTTTACAAGGTACTTATTAGGTTTTATAAGGTATTTATAACTTGTAAAACCTTATAAAAAACTTGTAAAACCTTATAACTTGTAAAAACCTTATAAAATAGCTTGTAAAATCTTATAATATCTCGTAAATACGTTGTAAAACCTTTTAAAATACATTGTAAAACCTTATAAATACCTTGTAAAAAACCTTTAAAATACCTTGAAAATTTTTGGCGGGAAAAATTTTCCCGCCAAAAATTTAACGCCAAAAAAATTGCGGAATCACTTTTCCCGCAAAAAAAAATTTTTGGCGGGAAAAATTTTACGGGAAAATTTTACAAGGTATTTTAAAGGTTTTTTACAAGGTTTTACAAGTGTTTTGGCGGGAAAAATTGCGGGATCAATTTTCCCGCCAAAAAATATTTTGTATTTTGTAGACCTAATTTTGTTATATTTCCTTATATATTTGTGATATATTTTATTAAAAGAAGGGTAATTTAGTCATTTTGTACATAAAAAGGGGTATTTTTAAAAATGGACAGCCAAATGGGGCATTTTTGAAAAGGGGTATTGAAAAAGGGGCATTTTTGTAAGTCTCCCATTAGTATTTATAATTTTTTTTATCTTTTTAATCTATTAAATATTTAAGATATTCTTTAATATATTAAATTAAACTTTTTTTAAATGTTCCAAATTAAAATTTCTAAAAAATTTATTGTAGTATGTAAAATTATGAATTTAAATATATATATATATATATATATATATATGAAATTAAATATAAATATTCAAATAGTTATAAGGATCATAACTCATTTCATCATATAATACATTATATTTAACCCGCCGCCTATTATAAATATTTGTTTCAAAAAATCAAATTAGAGTATTTGTATTTCTTAAATTTTTGATCTATTAAGTATTGATGATATTAAAAAAAGGAATATATTACACAAATATGAATTTTTGACCCGTTAAATTTGTTCTTTCATATATTGAACAATTTTTATTCGTTTTTAAAAATTCAAATCTTTGTATATGCGGAAAAATTTACATTTTTTTTTATTATGTAGATGATATAATAATTTATTTATTTTATAGAAATAGAATAATATAAAGATGAGAGATGAAGTATAATGATTAATAACAAATTAATGTGATAAGTTAGATATCAAATCTTATATGTTCATTTTGATTGGTCATTCTTTTAAAAAAAATTAATAATAGATTTTCGTTTTTATAATTAAATTAAATTAATTAAATTGCATAAAATAGTATTTGACTTGTTTATCCTTAATGAGTTGAATTAATTTACTCTATAAAATTTTATTTCTAATGGCATTCTTAAGTAAATTTTTACAAAAGGGAAGGTTAGTTAAGGGTATCTTATAAAGTGTACTCCCCAAATAATAGTATAGGATTTTTATATATGATTGTTGATTTTCTTTTCTAATGCTAACATTTTTTTCCTTTTTTTTGCTGAATGTATAGGTCGAGATGGTGGCATGGGAGAGATCGGTATTAGTGAAAAATATTTATGTAATGTTTTCCGAATTTCGCGGTTCAGCTTCTTGGCCTCTAATTTATAATTATTGATTTTGTACAGAACCTAAATTTTTGATAATGAAATGTTTACCTTTTTGGTTGTTGTTAAACAGAGTCAGATTAACTAAGAGATGATATTGTAACGATACTCCAACAAGCTAGTAAGAGTACTGTAGGATATCGGATTTGAGGAACACAAAATTTAGTCATTACAAGATAATTTGTTTTGGGATAGTGTGACTTCCGATCCCAAAATCTGACTTAAGAAATTGAAAACAAGAGCTAAATGTTTAATGTGTACGGAACATAATTTAACTTGTATAAACACTGCGACTGTACAATATATCGATCATCATGAGGTCATAGTCAAATCTCAAATGGGTTCTCTTTGGGCCAGACATGAGTCATTGAGGAGGCCCATCAAGGTGTAAAACTAGGGTAACGAGGCCTTGCCTTGAAGATAAATCATAAGTGTTTCTCCCACATCGAAAGTTTGAGGATGGGACAGGTCTGTGGAGTAGTATAAATAAAGAAGGTGGTCGAACCTTAAAAAGTACTTACCTGGACGGGGTCAACTCGTGATCAAGAAGACGAGTGGCCTAGGCTAGTGACTTCCATTGCACATAACGGAAGGGTGCTTAGCCTAAGGTCTTCCCATGTGGAAGAGCCTGCGTCATTATTTGTGGCAGCGGGGGCCTGCGTTCGCGCGGCCCCTTCCATTCCCAATAGTTCAATCTTTTTGCTTGAGTCAAGTCATTCTATGGCTAATGGTCCAGTTTACTTCTGATTGGCCTTATGGATCTGAGATTCTATGATTACTGGTTGTGGAGATCCATTAGAACAGGGTCACTGCTTTTGTCAGACCTGTAGCACTTTTCACATGAAAAGGAGTAAGTTTGATAAGGTTGTTAGAAGGTTTGACTTTGGAGATGCAATCTTCGAGTCCAATCTCCACCACGTGAGAGGGGAGGATTCTCTTTTCTCAACTTCTTCTCTTTTCAATTAAAGTAATCACATTTTTTCTGTAACATATGAATAAAAACGTTACTAAAAAATCAGTATTTTAGCGAAATCCCTCGACCACTCAAGAAGAAAATCCCTAACAAATCTCAGAAAGATGTGGTTTTTTGGATCGAAAGGAGCATCTGGATTCTCGTCTCGTTCCACTGCAGAGGAAGTCACACATGGTGTTGATGGGACTGGCCTCACTGCCATAATCACAGGTTTCTTTTTATCAAAACTTTCATGCTCTTCTACGACTTGGGTTTGTCTAAAGTTGTAGACTTTTCTATAATTTCGAAGTGATTTCATTGTAGGCTATAGATAAAGACTTTTTATTGTTTAGTCAATTGGAAAATTTGAGGTTTTTATGATCAGGGTCTGTTTTTGCTTCGGTCAACCCTAATAGATATATAGAGGTCATCTCTGTTTGTTGTTCGAAAGTTTGTCTTTTTTTTGTCAATCTTTTTGCTCACATGAATTGGATTGAAATTTCTCTGTTTGGTGAATTTTAAAGTACAACATGTTTGGGACCATTTGCATGTAAGGGGAAAATAACAACTTGATCTGCAAATAACATGTGCTAGTAGAAACTTACATATATACACGTCTCTGTTTCAGCTGATTGTAAGTTGTGTTATATATCACACTCTATACAACCATTGGCCAAGTAGAGAAAACTTTTCAATTATTTGATCATATTCAAAAGGGCCCGAGTCAAGAGCAATGGAAATTCTTGAATTGATAGAACCCTGTTAGGTGACTTATAGGCTTAAACAAGAGTTAATGTTAAAGACACTAAGATTTGCACTTACAGATTTAAGTCTAGCATTGATTGAGCTGATTTTTTCCGTGGATGTGGAGTGCTGCTTCCTTACTTGGTTAGATTGAGTATGTAGTTTAGTTTGCAAATGTTCTGTATCAGCCTATCAAGGTATGAAAAGGCTAGGAACGAGCTTAACTTAGTATTAGTTGATACAACTTAAGAAAGTGAGCTTTCTGGACATGTTTGGATCCTTAAGTTTTCTTTTGTTTGTGTTCATGTTTTTTTAGGAGCATCGAGTGGTATAGGTGTAGAGACAGCTCGTGTTCTTGCACTGCGTGGTGTGCATGTGGTTATGGCAGTGAGAAACACTAGCTCTGGTGCTAAAGTTAAGGAAGATATTGTCAAGCAAGTACCCGGAGCTAAACTCGATGTCATGGAGTTAGATCTCAGCTCAATGGAATCTGTCAGGAAATTTGTATCTGAGTACAAATCTGCTGGTCTTCCACTCAACCTCTTGATGTAAGCTATTGAAATATCGTGGTTCATATATAGCGGTTTCGATCTATTGATGGTTAATGTTTTGAATTGTCTTAATTTTGTAAGCAACAATGCGGGGATCATGGCATGTCCTTTTATGCTCTCTAAGGACAACATCGAGCTGCAATTTGCAACCAACCATGTAGGTGAGTAAGATAACCAACAACATTATGGCTTTTTCCTAAATTTATATTAGTGTAGTTAATCTCATTATTAGTTTCTAATCAGTGCCATGGATTTTGTGATCCGAATATATTCCAGGACATTTTCTGCTGACCAAACTTCTGTTAGATACAATGAAGAACACGTCACGTGAAAGCAAAAGAGAAGGAAGGATTGTTAACGTATCATCAGAAGCTCATCGTTACTCGTACCCAGAAGGAGTCCGCTTTGATATGATCAACGACAAGTCAAGGTACTAATGGTGAACCAAATAGTAATTCTTCGATCCCGTGTTTTCTTCTAAATCTAACATTCTTCCTTGATTTGGTCTCCACATGCAGTTACAGTAGTATACGTGCTTATGGACAATCTAAACTCTGCAATGTATTGCATGCCAACGAGCTTGCAAAGCAACTGAAGGTAACTACAAAACAAAAATATAGAAAATCAAGAATCTATGTTTCCATGGTTATCTTCAATTCTGGTATGATTGAAAACAGGAAGATGGAGTCAATATAACAGCAAATTCACTTCATCCAGGAGCCATTATGACAAATCTATGGGGCTACTTCAACTCCTATTTGGCTGGTAAGTGGTAACTTATTTTCTCTGATTCCACTATCATCACTCCATGCTTCATAAGGTTACACACAAGTAAACAAACGCTTACATATACTTTAATATTCTTGTGATCCTCTCTGTCACCGGCTTGATGCAGGAGCTGTCGGTGCAGTGGCTAAATATATGGTCAAGTCTGTTCCGCAGGTACGCATCTGATTTCTGAACCTCACACTGATAACCAATCACTTACAAACTGGTCACAAGGTTTCTCAGATTTAGTAGTAGAAATGATACACCGGTCTAGCTTTAGTGATTAATTTGGGTTTGTTCCGTTATTCGGTTTATAATGTGAGTATTCGACTTTGTAGGGGGCGGCAACAACTTGCTATGTGGCATTGAATCCACAGGTTGCAGGAGTTACAGGGGAATACTTCTCAGATTGCAACATTGCTAAACCATTACCACTTGTCAAAGACACAGAATTGGCCAAGAAGGTTTGGGATTTTAGCACTAAGCTTACCGATTCGCAATCAGGAGAAAGTACTCAAAGTAGTTCTTGAATATAGATAGTTGTTCAGTGAACCTTTACTTTAATGGTTTTCACGTTTCAATGTCTCTATTGTGAGTCACAATTTGTGACAATACTTATTTCATTCTTTATCAAAGGAAATAAAATGTACAACAAATCTGAATCATTTCCATTTCAATTCTGCAAAATGATGGTTTAGTTCTGGTTCTGACCGGTTTAGTTCTCAACCTTCACCAATTAACAGAAGAAAAAGAAGAAGCCACGAGGAGACAATATTGTCAATGCATCATTATTAAAGTAATTTATAGTCAGAAATGAAAACTCAATGATGATATTTGAGTTTAAATTCACTTTCTTAATGGTTTCTTTAGGAAGATTAACATAATTAATTAATCTTTGTGATTGGACATTGGAGTGTTATAGATAGGCTCTGTATTTCGTCATTTTCTCAACTTCTTCTCTTTTAAACTAAAGTAATCACGTCACAATTTGTGTCAAATTCTTCTTTCCTCTCATCTTCTCCAATTTTCTCAAAAGAAAAAAAGAAAAAAACAGAAAGATGTGGTTTTTTGGATCGAAAGGAGCATCTGGGTTCTCGTCTCGTTCAACTGCAGAGGAAGTCACACATGGTGTTGATGGGACTGGCCTCACTGCCATAGTCACAGGTGTTTCTTCTATCAATACCTTTTTCCCCTTTTGGGACTTGGGTTTTGTCTAAATTTGTAACCTTTTCTATAACTTCCAGATTTTGGTTCCTCTCTGGTTCTGTCTTTGAATTGATTTCATATGTAGTCTAGATTTTTGACTTTTATTGTTTAGACAATTGGAATTTAAGGTTCTGTTTTTGATTTGGTCAACTCTAATAAATATGGAGGTTTTCACTGTTTGTTGTTGTTGTCTTTTTTTCAATAAGTAAACAATCTTTTGCTCACAAGTTTTTTTCTCAAGAATTTGGGTTGAAATTTCTCTGTTTGGTGAATTTTAAAGTACAACATGTTTTGGACCATTTGCATGTAAGGGAAAGTAACAATTTGATCTGCAAATAGTGTTAGGTGACTTATAGGCTTAAGCAAGAGGCCAATAGTTGAAGTAACACTAAGAGTTGAACATAAATATTTGAGTCTAGCATCGATTTGGCCGATTTTTGTCCTGGATGTGAAGTGATGCTTCCTTATTTGGTTAGATTGAGTATGTAGTTTATCAAATATTGGTGTTTTAATAGAGGTTTGCACATGTTCTATGTCAGCCTATCAGGGTTTGAAAAGGTTTGGTTGATACAACTTTAAAAAGTGGTCTAGCCTGCATCGAGTTTTCTGGACAAGTTTTGTTCCTAAAGTTTCTTGCCTTTTTGTTCATATTTTTTCAGGAGCATCAAGTGGTATAGGAGTGGAGACAGCGCGTGTTCTTTCACTGCGTGGTGTACATGTGGTTATGGCGGTGAGGAACACTGACTCTGGTGCTAAAGTTAAGGAAGATATTGTCAAGCAAGTCCCTGGAGCTAAACTCGATGTCATGGAGTTAGATCTCAGCTCAATGCAATCTGTCAGGAAATTTGCATCTGAGTACAAATCTGCTGGTCTTCCACTCAACCTCTTGATGTAAGCTATTGAAATGTCGTGGTTCATATATAGCGGTTTCGATTTATTGATGGTTAATGTTTTGAATTGTCTCAATTTTGTAAGCAACAATGCCGGGATTATGGCATGTCCTTTTATGCTCTCTAAAGACAACATCGAGCTGCAATTTGCAACCAATCATTTAGGTGCGTAAGATAAAGTAAACCAACATTATGGCTTTGTTCTAAAGCATCATCAATAGTTTTTAATCAGTGACATGGATTTTGTGATCCAATTTTATTTCAGGTCATTTTCTGTTGACCAAACTTCTTCTAGATACAATGAAGAACACATCGCGTGAAAGCAAACGAGAAGGAAGGATTGTTAACCTATCATCAGAAGCTCATCGGTTCTCGTACCCAGAAGGAGTCCGTTTTGATAAGATCAATGACAAGTCAAGGTACTAATGGTGAACCACATAGTAATTCTTCTATCAAAATCTAACATTCTTCCTTGGTTTGGTCTCCATTGCAGTTACAGTAGTATGCGAGCTTATGGACAGTCTAAACTCTGCAATGTGTTGCACGCCAACGAGCTTGCAAAACAACTGAAGGTAACTACAAAAAAAAACAAAGAGATATATCAAATCAAGAATTTATGTTTTCATGTTTATCTTGATTCAAATCTGGTATGAATAAAACAGGAAGATGGAGTCAATATAACAGCAAATTCGCTTCATCCAGGAGCCATTATGACTAACCTCGGGCGCTACTTCAACCCCTATTTGGCTGGTAACGTCTTTTCTCTGATTCCACTATCATCACTCCATGCTTCATAAGGTTACACACAAATAAACAAATGCATACATATAGTTCTTCTGATCCTCTCTGACACCGGCTTGATGCAGGAGCTGTTGGTGCAGTCGCTAAATATATCCTCAAGTCTGTTCCGCAGGTATGTTTCTAATTTCTGAACTCACACTAATAACCAATATCATTCAAAGCGGTCACAAGGTTTCTCAGGTTTAGTAAGAGAGCATAGGTACTGGTTAATGATACACCGGTCTAGCTTTAGGGATTAATTTGGTTTTGTTCCATTATCTGGTTTATAATGTGAGTGTTCGACTTTGTAGGGGGCGGCAACAACTTGCTATGTGGCATTGAATCCTCAAGTTGCAGGAGTTACAGGAGAATACTTCGCAGATAGCAACATTGCTAAACCATTACCACTTGTCAAAGATACAGAATTGGCCAAGAAGGTTTGGGATTTCAGCACTAAGCTTACCGATTCGCAATCAGGAGAAAGTAGTTCTTGAAAGTAAATAGATGTTCAGTGAACCTTACTATAATACTTCTGACGTTTCAATGTCTATTGTGACAAAACTTATTTCAGTCTTTAATTATCAAAGGAAATAAAATGTATAACGAACCTGAATCATTTCAATTCTGCAATAAGGTGGTTTACTTCTGTTTCTGACCGGTTTAGTTCTCAACCACAAGCTTCGAATTCAAACAGAAGAAGAAGCCACGAGGAGACAATACTGTCAATGCATTATTAAAGTGATTGATGGTCAGAAATGAAAAATCAATGATGATAGTTTTGTTTAAATTCACTTTCTTAATGGTTTCTTTAGGAAGATTAACTAATTAATTAATCTTTGTGATTGGAGTTTGGAGCATAACGTGCAAATTGTCGATATGGAGTGTTATAGATAGGCTCTGTATTTAATTCATTTCACACCCTCTATATATAATTGTCGGTCGTTAGATGGCATTTGTTTTTCTATTTATTTGATTTGGACCAAACAATGTTATTAATGATTTGCATATGCTGATATGCATAATATGAAACTTTTTCTTTTTTTTTGTCAATAATTTTATATGTTGAAACTATGTTGATATTTAACCAAAAGAAAATTTCATCGTATGAGATTAAAGGATTAAATGTGGTCAAGTACTAGAGTACTATTTGTGACTATTTTACAATTGTTCACAATCATATCTATTGTATGTACAAACTATTTGCAGTAAATTCACATGCTCCAATATGAGATATTGTGTGTATGGATGTGGATTTTTCAAATTTCTCGTCAAAAATGTATGGACCTAATATAGTATATAATACGATAAAGATTTTGTTCATTTTACTGTTGTTGATAAACAAACACTATGATTAGCAACAAATAAGTACTCGAAATTTTTTACAACAAGAAATGATTTTTGAATTGTCAAAAATAGTTGCTATCATCAGCAACAACAAAAAATATATGTTTGTAATATTGAAACATGAAGTAACCTTGCATCTATTTACATTCTATTTGAGAAAATATATAAAACTATATTCAAAATAACACAATCATATATGAATGGTTGGGGGGTGTGGACTAATAAAGAGTATGGTAATGTTTCTGAAACTCTCTGAGCAGCCACCAAACCACTTAAAAGAAGATCTAAGTTCACACCTTTGTGTTTACTTTATCTAACTAATCCGTGGTACTACAAAGTAATTAAGTTGTGGTAAGATTGAATTACATATTCATTTTTATTTTATCATTGCCAAAAAGTCAATCATGTTGTAGTACATGTACAGATTGGACGCTTTCTTTGTATTTTTCTGCCATGTACACATTTAACTTTAATAATTGCTCTTCTCCGTAATGTGGCAAAATTCGATTTTATGCATGTACTCAGGATTTCAACAACAGCAAAAATTCTCCTAAATAATCAAAACATGTGGCCAAGTAATCTTTGTTATCACTCGGATACAAATCCATATAATGCATACAAATTATTAGTAAGCTCCATTATTATTGACTCATCTTGCAATCATTGACAAACTTTGTTTTGTCAATAAAAACTAAATCATAAGGTAATAATGTCTACATGAAACTAAGGAAATCAGTGGGTTAGACCAAGGAAAAATCTTGAAAACAGAAAACATATCTTTTTTTTTTTTTGTTCACCAAAAAAAAACAAAAAAAAACATATCTATTCAAATTCCTAATTCATAAAGGATGGGCCTTCACAATCAGACTTTAGCTCTAAATTATTAGACCCTTTTATGCTAAAAGAACACATAGATCCCTTAAAAGAGTGTTAGAGAGGCGCTAATTTGGAGCCGTAGATGAAACGTGTGAAAAGAGAGTGATGAGGCCATCAGGACCGTACGTTGATATCACGTGAGGACACGTGGGGGGAGTGAGTGAGCATGTACAAACAAAACTGTCTTTTGGACTGACTTTGGAAGCAACCAAGGAAACATCGAACATCATTCGGTGTACCATAAAAACAACACATATCATTGATGAGTTGTTTGTTACCCCCAAAGAACATATGGTGTCAAACACAAGACTATTGTCTTATCATCTATTATTGTTGATTTGAATCTTAATTTATATCCATCTTAAGCTTATATCAAGATTCGAGTTAGGGTGGTGGACATTAGTTAATTATCAAATTTATAAAATTTACTTAACTAATGGTAGATTTGGGTGGCTCATCCCGGAATACACAAGAATATATGAAACAACTCAAATTATTTCCATGTACTTCTTGAAACATTCAAATTTCCACAATACTTAAAAAAAAGTAGAAAATTTCATAAAACTTCCTTACATTATTGTTAAATGCATGGGTATATCTTACACTTGATTTAGTGGAGTTTATTTAATAACTCAATTATTGCTTGGAAAAACAGAGAATTGAACTACGTTCATGGGAAGGTCTACGTCTTCAATCATTGACCCCCTCAAAAGCATTGGTCGTAGACACGACTAATACTAATCACGCACCAAATTTTGATTTTATTTATCTACTTTTAATCATATGATTTTGAAGCAAAATCCAGACTAATTACAAGATATGTGAAAGAGACATATTTTTACTAGCTACTATATATTGAAATTGTTTACGGTGGCTAACTATAAGTGAAATCGTAGACAAAGAATTCGATTCATGACCTACAACCTTATAGCAAATTTTAACCATCATGGTTGTTATTTTTGACCTTTATTTTAAATTTCTGTGTGTCATCACCCAAAAAAAGGTGATATATTTTTAACATTTCTTTATGATCTAATCTAAATGACAAAAATAACAAAACCTTTAGCAATGTATACTTTTTGTATAATAATAACAAAATCAGAGCTGATGTTGCTGAATGGTTTGAAGCCCAATGTGTTGACACCGATGGTGTTTCTGTGCTTAATCATTCTGTTCTTAGGGCTGCTCAGAGAAGTGATCTGGTGACAGTGAAAGTTTGGGAAAAACCACCGTGTAATTGGTTCAAATGCAATGTTGGTTCTGCTTGGTCCAAAAGAAATCAGATTGCAGGGGGTGCTTGGGTTTTAAGAGATGAGTTGGGAGTGGTGCTTTTTCATAGCCGTAGGGCTTTCTCTGGTATTAGAAGTGCTGAGGATGCAAAGTTAAGAGTTCTGTTGTGGGCAATTGAAAGCATGGCCAGTCACAAAGTGGTGAGAGTGGTTTTTGCTTGTCAAGAGAAATGCTTGGTGGAGTCAGTTCTTAGGCCGATGGCCTGGCCTTCTTTTAAAGCTCAAGCGGGAGCTTTAAAGAGTTTTTTGCGTTCCATTCCGGAGTGGAAGTTGTTTCTGGAAACAAAGGCTACAAACAGGGGAGCAAATCTTATTGCTCAAAGTGTGACAGGAGATCTGAGGTTGCAATCTTATGTTGCTTTGGGTCCTCCAGTTTGGCTTTCTAGTGTTTTTGAATCTGAAAGGATTTGCCTTACTGTTTGTTAATGCAGGTTCTTCCGTGGTTTCTATTTTTTTTGTGAACTGCATTTTTTGTATAGAACCCCATGTGTTGGTATTGGTGGTTTAGTATAGGTTGTGTTGGCCTGGGAGTTTTTGTTCTCCTCTTGGTTCTAGTTCCTCGTGTCTGTATCTGTTGGTTGCCATTTTATGGCCTTTTCAATATATTTCTACCAGACGACCAAAAAAAAAGCAATGTATACTTTTTACTATTACCTTTATTTTAATCTTTAAGTTAGTCTAAATCAAACGAAAAAACAAAAATGTAAGATCGTTTAAATAGTGAATTAGTACTTTATGAATCAATGCCATGTCAAAATGGAAGTATGTATTGACGGAAACAAATAAATAACAAGCACTCTTAAAAAAATAGTAAAATTCAAACCGAACGATCATAATATGTTTTAGTATTATCGTGCCATTATTCAGAACGTGTGATCTATCTATTTGAATTGACCCGACCGTTAGTAGGCAAATTAACAAAGAAATGTTCTGAAAAAACAAATTGTTTATTTGTAATGCAAGTATGCAACTATGCAACTATTCAAGGTTCAGCATAATATCAATAAAAAATAGTAAACATATATCTATTTAATTTCATATTGGTATTGATGAAGCCGTACCCCATATTCCATTTTCAATTGATAATTATATTTAATTAATTCATGCTACGATTTATTTACGTCATGGCTTTTCGTCTACCACTTGCACGTTACAACTTACAACGTTTCAAATTTTCCTTTTTTTTTGTCAACCCTTCGACCAGATTTTAAATCATATTGTCAACAACTACGTATACAAATATGCAAGCATACTATTGGCATATAATCATTCTTGATAAACAACAACGTTCTACGTTGTTTTTGTCCAATCGGATTTTAGTGCGGCATAAATGCGTTAAATGTATTATGTGTATATGAAGCCAAATCATGGTTAGAGTACATTTTTATGGTATTTTCCAATCACAAGGTGCAAAAGAAGACAACATATAAACTCTCTGTGAAATGGTAGACACAAAACAATATAAAAAATAATCACAACAAGCCAACATATATAAAGTAAAACTATCTTAATAAAGAGCAAAATATAATAACCACACTTCCCCTGGAAAGGATAAAGTTGATACTCATTTTCTTGAATAATATATATTTTGTGGACCTTATTGAATTTTCATTTAACTTCATAGTAAAAAGGTGTGGACTGAATCAAAATGATGGCCAGAAACACTCCAAGTATAAATCATATGCTAAGGGTTTTCCTTTTGCAACTCCTTTTATCAATTGGAGGAAAAAATGCATTAAAATGTACATATTCTCAACATACGCTAAGATGTTTCTTCTCAGGTCTGTGCTTGTGGGGTTTTCGTTTGTGCTTTCTTCCCGTTTTCTGCTTGTGTTGTGTTGTATTGTGTTGTAGTTTTTGGTGATTTTTGTAGTTTTCGGTCTTTCAAATTCGTTGTATTCTCTGTAATTTCTGTCAAAATTTACAAAAATGGTATAAATACTTAACATTGATACCAAATATATATATATATATATATATATATATATATATATATATATTCTCAACATAGAGACATGAATTTTAACAACTACACTTGAAAACGTCCTACGAAATTTTGTAATCACGGTTTCTCGCTGTTTTGAAATACGTTGCAAAAACATATATACTCTGATAAAATCTTGTCTTAAATAAATTTTTTTAAAAAAGAGAATTAAGACTATAATTATACTAGATTTTTGAGTCGTGAGATATGGTTGTGCCTAGCTATATATAGACCTAAGAGCAACTACTTGTAAGGTGCTTTCGGCATATGTGACTCGATGCAATAGTTGTAGCATGGTCGAGATAGCTTATGTGGTGCGTCACATCTTTTGAGATAAGCATTATTAGCAATAGCATATGGTTGAATGACAATCCACACCTCCATACAATAGCATTTAATGATTGCGCATGCATGATTAATCTCTCATACATGTGTTTTACAAGTTGGAGGTGAATTGTTAACGAGCAATGGTCTGAGACAACCCATTTTCATGATCCGAGTGAAGATGAAATACCTATAATTTTAGAGTCATGGGAGAGGTGATGTGACTCTTGCTAGTTAGGCACGAGACCTATCGTCTTTTCATACTTAAGCGATGATTTATCGACCTCTGATGTCGTTCAGTAATTAGACTAATTACAATGGCATGTTGAAGTTTTTATTCAAACCGTTGAAGTAGTGTGTATTGTGTAATGAGAATGTTGAATAAATTGTTTAGCGAAACATCCATGGATCATCTTATCATTGGTTTTCTCATCAATAATAATGAACAATTTTGAGAAAGTGTCGTAGTAAACATAGTTAAACTCTTTTATTGACGTATGTAAATATAATCTACACTTCCCTAAGAAATACTGATTTTTGTTTTAATCTCTTTTTTATTTTATCCAAGAAGATATACACTTATCTTTATGAACAAAAGAGCAGACGAAAAGGGACAGTGACGCCCATATCCTAGTCAGGGACGTGACTATGAGCGCCTCTGTTTTATTAACCCCAGAGACTAAATTTATGAAAATTTTCTTATCAGGTAACATTGTTCATCAGCAGATTCAAGACAGTAGGAAAGGAAAAAAACCAAAAACTTTTTGTAATAACAAAATCACTTGCGAAGTGGAGCCCACAAGCCATACCTAGCTAGCTTGATCTCTCTTTCGTTTAGGTCTTTCTATTTCTTAATTCTTTTAATTTCGAAATTTCACTTCTCCCAATCTCTGTCTTCTCTTCCTCCTTTTGAACAACATTTCAAGAGAATAGAAAAGATCTCTGAAAGAAAGAGAAAGAGAAAGAGAGAGAGAGAGAGTTGTGATTTTGTGTGTTTTTTGTGATTTGACAGTGCCCATGTTTCTGTTTATTGGATAAGGACCTCTAAATTACTTTCTATACATAGATATTCGATAACTATTATCTTGTCTCAGTTCTTGAAACTCAAAACTGGTAAGCCTCTCTAATAACAACAATTCCATAGTTATTTCTCCTCTAGTGGTAATTAATCAAAAATCTCACTCTTTATGGATTTTACCTCTTCTGGGTTTTGAGAAACATGTCTTGTTCTCTTCTGGGTCTTGATCAAAATTCAATTTTTATTATAAAAATCTCAACTTTTGTCTCCCCTGTTTTTTGTTTTTTTAACCCCTAAAAAAAAATTAGAGTCCTTTTCAAAAGTCTATCTGTAAATGGTGATGCATTCGACTACTCTATGAAAGCTCTATTGTTATTCTCTCCTTTAAAACTTCTCAATCTCTCACTTTCAACTTCTTTCTCATTGATTGATACTGTTCTTGAGTGAATTTAATTTATCTGGCTTCTTCTTCTTCAGGAGAGAGCTCTGAAAAAATCTTTAAAGATTCTGTTTTCAAGGTTCTTGATTCTTCTGAAGTTCCTGGGTTTGATTGGTACAAAGAGTTCAAGATGATCTTGTTCCGACCAATGTAAGTTCTCAGATCTGAATCCTCTGTACGAAAATGAAAAGAAAAGAAAAAAGAAATCATTTTTATTTAAAATTAGAAATTTTATTATGATTATTATATTTCCCTTTCTGCTTAGATCTGCAATGTCCTCAAAATCAATTATTTTCCTTAAAAGAAAAAAAATGATGATTCTTCTTCTATTTTGCTTTTGGGAAGTTGTTTTCTTTTTTCCCTTATGTGTGTAAAGTGAAACCAACTTTTTAACTATTCAAGATTTCAAATTCATTCAACTATTTAAGTAAAAGCTTTATGATGGTATATACTCTCAAGATTTCATTTCCTTTAACTTCATTTCTTACCAAATTTATGTCTTTCTAGGGTTCTTGTCTGTCCAAATCTTGAATCTTTAAATCCAAAAATCTCTCTTTTTTGACAGCTGTTTGACTTTTTTATTTTTCTTGAATCAGATTGGCTTCAATGGATTCATAAGCTGCATTTATGGGATTTGATAGATTGTCTATAAAAGAAAAGTTGTGGTTATGGATTCTCGAGGTGATAGTTCTAGGTTCGGGCAATATCCTACAAAGCCTTCTAGGAACATGTCTTCATCTTCATCAGCTGCTTTCTTCTCAGCTAATCAGTCTCCGTTTTTCTCACCAAGATCTCCTAAAATCCAACAAGAACTATCTGAATCTACTAGGTCTGATGCTCAATGTGATAGCTTTGATCCTCTTAGCTCCAGCTCTGGTTTTCAAGAACCTGAGCTTGCGTTTTTAACCGCACCTAATCAATGTCAGAGCCTCGAGGCTGCTGATCGAATCGCTTCGAGTAGTGTGATCTCTTGCACTCCTTCTAGATATGGAAGAGGTCATGAGTCTTCGTCGTATACTCAGACATCTTCTGTCTCTGTTTCTTATAATAGGTTGAGATGTTGTGATGTGTTTATAGGATTGTATGGTCAGAAGCCGTCTTTGCTTCGGTTTGCGGATTGGCTTAGAGCTGAGTTGGAGTTTCAAGGGATGAGTTGTTTTATGTCGGATAGAGGGAGATGTAGGAGTTCAAGGAAGCAGAGAATAGTCGAGAGAGCGATGGATGGTGCATCGTTCGGGGTTATAATTCTAACGAGAAAGGCGTTTAAGAATCCTTACACGATAGAGGAGCTACGGTTTTTCGCAAACAAGAAGAATCTTGTTCCGGTTTTCTTTGATCTTTCTCCTGGAGACTGTCTTGTGAGAGATATAGTTGAGAAGAGAGGAGATTTGTGGGAGAAACATGGAGGGGAATTGTGGGTTTTGTATGGAGGGATTGAGAAAGAATGGAAAGAGGCAGTTCACGGGTTATCGCGGGTTGATGATTGGAAGCTTGAAGCTCATGAAGGTAACTGGAGAGATTGTGTTTTCAGGGCAGTTACTTTGTTGGCAATGCGGTTAGGCAGGAGAAGTATAGTGGAGCGGTTAACGAAATGGCGGGATAAAGCGGAGAAAGAGGAATTTCCGTATCCGCGGAATGAGAATTTTGTTGGGAGAAAGAAGGAGTTATCTGAGCTAGAGTTTGTTTTATTTGGAGATGTTGCTGGAGATTCGGAAAGGGATTACTTTGAGCTAAAGGCAAGGCCGACAAGAAGGAAGAAGAACGTGACGCTCGGGTGGAATAAAAGCGGTTCAGCGGAAGAAAGACGGAAGAAAGGCAAAGAGAAAGTTGTGTGGAAGGAGTCGGAGAAAGAGATCGAGATGCAAAGTACAGAGTTGCCCTCCCGGAGTCAAGTGAAAGTAGGGCGAAACACAAGGAGAAAACGGTCGATGAAGATTGTTTACGGGAAAGGCGTGGCTTGCATCTCTGGTGAATCAGGGATTGGAAAAACTGAGCTGCTTCTTGAATTTGCTTACCGGCATCACCAGAGGTATAAGATGGTTCTTTGGATAGGCGGCGAGAGCCGTTACATAAGACAAAACTATCTGAATCTTTATCAGTATTTGGAAGTCGACATCGGGATAGAGAATTCTTCTGATAAAACGCGGATGAAGAGCTTCGAAGAGCAAGAAGACGCTGCGGTTTCCAAAATTAGAAAAGAGCTGATGAGGAATATACCGTTCTTGGTTGTCATCGATAACTTGGAGAGTGAAAAAGACTGGTGGGATTCAAAGCTCGTTATGGATCTTCTTCCTCGGTTTGGAGGCGGGACTCACATTTTGATATCTACGCGTCTCTCCCAAGTTATGAACATGGAGCCATTGAAACTCTCCTACCTCTCTGGTGCTGAAGCTATGTCATTGATGCAGGGGAATGTGAAAGATTATCCGGTTTCGGAAATGGATGCATTGAGAACGATTGAAGATAAACTTGGGCGGTTAACGTTGGGATTAGCAGTCGTAGGAGCAATATTGTCAGAGCTTCCTATAAACCCGAGCCGGCTTTTGGATACAATAAACAGAATGCCGTTAAGAGAGATGGTAAGTAGTGGTCGGGACGGGAATCTGTTGAGAAAAAACGCGTTTCTGTTGCAGCTGTTTGAAGTTTGTTTTTCGATCTTTGATCACGCGGATGGACCGAGAAGTTTGGCTACGAGAATGGTTGTTGCGAGTGGGTGGTTAGCTCCGGCACCAGTTCCAGCTTCTCTATTAGCTTTGGCTGCTCATAAACTCCCTGAGAAACACAGAGGCCCGAAGCGGCTATGGAGAAGACTAAGACGAGCTATAACCTGCGGTTTTACGTCTTCAAAGTCCAAACGATCAGGAGCTGAAGCTGCTTCAATGCTACTTAGATTCAACATTGCTCGAACCAGCAGCATCAAGCTAGGGTTTATACAAATCCACGAGCTCGTGAAACTCTATGCGAGAAACCGAGTACTGGTCAACGACAACGCACCCGCAATGGTTCAGGCAGTGATAAGCCGCGGGTCGACCGTTGAAACCGCAGAGCAGATCTGGGCAGTTTGTTTCTTGCTGTTCGGTTTCAGCAACGAATCTCCGACTATTCAGCTCAAGATAACAGAGCTGCTGATTCTTGTGAAACAAGTAATCTTGCCTCTTGCAATCAGAACGTTCATATCATTTTCGCGATGCACCGCCGCAGTGGAGCTACTAAGAGTCTGCACAAACGCTCTTGAGGCAGCTGATCAAACGCTAGTGACACCAGTAGAGAAATGGCTAGACAAGTCGCTTTGTTGGAGACCAGTTCAGACAAGTGCACAACTAAACCCTATTCTATGGGAAGAACTTGCTCTAGCTCGAGCCACCGTGCTAGAGACTAGAGCTAAGCTGATGTTACGAGGCGGGCAGTTCGGTTTGGCTGATGATCTGATAAGAAAAGCAATCTTTATAAGAACTTCGATCTCAGGAGAGGATCATCCTGGGACTGTGTCGGCTCGAGAGACATTGAGTAAGTTAACGAGGCTTTTATCCAATGTTCATCAGATTCATAACACTTCACCGTAATAGAGAGAAGCTTTTAGGGCTTTCTTGTTGTAAAAGTTATAAGGTTAGAGTTTCTTGTTTTTTTTTTTTTCAATTATCATTATTTTAGTCATAAGAGTTAGGATTATACAGAAGCTTTAGTAATAAAAACACTGTTATGTAAGAAATTTGTCAGAGAATCCTTTTTTTTACACAGTAAAATCTCTGAATTTTCAGACTTTTCTCAGACTTCTCTTAAACTTCTCAGATTGAGAAACAAATCGTAATTTTAAAGAATATTAAACAATCAAATCTAATATCTGTATATATATTCAAAAGATTGGTAAGAAAAGAAAAAAAAAAAACAATCAAAAGGAAGTGAAAGCTTCTGAATGTAGTAGATAGTAACAATGTTCATCATACCACCAGACTAACCCCTACAGTCCTACTGCAAGTTTATATCAAATCTTCTGTACCGTTTTTTGCACTTCTTGTTCCGAGCTATCGGTTTCTTGTTTACGATTGCGATTCAGTGATTACTATTTCCTGTAAAAGAATACCAAGAAAAGTAGACTCTATTGTCAAAACAGATTCTAGTGACCCGGGAAGTTGAAAATGTATGTGAAAAAGACGGATTTTAAACGGGCACAAACCTTGTCGCAAACTGGACAGGCTTCGCTTCTTTCCATCCATTCAAGAAGGCACGCGAGATGGAAATCATGGCCACATTTAGTGAGCAATTTCGGGTTCTCGATATCATATTCTGCAAACAAACATAACATATGAAGATGGAAGATATTTACCAAAAAGTTATAATTAGCATGTAACTTTGAATGATAAACAAAATACCTTCTAAGCAAATTGGACATTCATCTATGGCTTCTCGATACTGTTTATTTAGCTCAAAATCAGTTAGACCATCAACATGCCATTTTTCCTTCTCTGGAACAACTTGAGTGAGTCCCGGGGATGCTTCGCTCGAATTGCTCTGAGTTCTTGGCAATTTCGGTGGACTAGTTTGAAGATTTCTATTCGTAAAGGCTAAAGGAATAGGTGGCGAAAGTGGCGAAGTGTATGCATTAGAGAGAGAGGAAGGCGGTGCACGAGATAAGGGAACATGCTCATCTATAGTTCTTGAGCTCTACAGAAAACAATAAAACATAAGAAAAGAAAAACAAAACAAACTCTTTTCGGAATCTTTAATCAGGCTGGAATCTCAAAGAGGAAGAAACTTTACTTCGGGTATACTCGGGAGACAACAGCAGCAACCCATTCTTTGGTATAATAGAGTATTTGACAGTTCTCAGATCAGTGTATAGCAGCTCTTTAGGTTACCAAAAGACCTGTAATATCCAGACTAAATTCATAAGACTCCTTATTGAAACTCCAATGGGAGGGAAAATCCAGCTCTGTGATCATACTTGGTAACTGGAAACCAAACTCAAACACCACAAGCACTTTAATGTAACATAGTTAAACTATACACTAACAATAGCCACTTAGATTGAATCATATAAATATGTGTGTATATTTACTTCAAATACACTCAAACCCTTAATGATTATTGTCTACTTATGAGGTTCATAATGAAGAAAGTATTCAGATTTCATGTTTAGTAGTGAAGGAAAATCATTTGATCCTAAGAACATCTTGAGCTTAATGAAAAATTATTTTATACCCCAAATTAGGTTTACCACAATAGATATATTACAAGTACCAAAAATCAAATCTAAACCATAATAGACGAAGAACAGAAACAGAGAAAGTAGAACCAAGAAACTAAACAAGTGTGTTGAAACAAAAGACTTGTTTCTCAGAAAAACCAAACAGAAACAAACCAAAACAGAAAAGAAGGAAGCTAAGGAACAGAGTTCGTGATCATACAAAACAAAATATAAAGTGACTTTTGTAACGGAGAAGAATAAAAAGATGATTAGTTACCTAAACACAAAGAAAAAGAAGCTTTGTATTTTCCTTAAAAACTACTTCTGTTGATGGGATTTCTGGAGAAACTCTTTGAGGTTTTGTGTTGAATAAGAATTTTGATGTGAGAATTTTCTGATGGCGAAGAAGAAGACTAGCTGCGACGAAAGAGGCGACTTTATCACAGAGATAAAATCAAGGGATCACAATTACTTTAATTGTTATTTTGGTTGTTAATCAAACTTTTTTGTATTTATATTCATTAATCACAAACCATATCGTACAAGGAAACTCTGGATTTTTTAAAGAATATTTCCCACTATGCGCCCCTTTATTTTATGATTTTCATTATTTGACCACCAAGGTTATTAGTATTATTTTATGGGATATAACTGTATATAAGCAATTTTTAAAATAAATGATTGCACTATTTATAATATCTTAAATCTAAAAATTATGATTCATTATTTTGGTTCAAAAAAAATAAAATAAATATTAACTGACCAGAAAAACAGATTTGCAAATAATTAGTAAAATATTGGATATGAACAGATTTAGCATTATCTACAGATAAACTGATATAAACCCTTGGTGGGGTGAAATAATAATTATTCTATTAGTAATGATAAAATTGTCTAAAAAATATTTTCAAGATTGGATCCCTTGTTGTACTTACGGTCTCAACTAAAATGTATAGTTTTGATCGAATTAAAATACAACCGTGAACCTCTATAAATCAATAATAATGTCGAAACTATAGTATTTTATTAATTTATAAAGATATTAGTTGATTGTTAGTATAATCCTTTTTATGTGATGGCATATAGGTCCTTACTCAACCCTTATATTCGGTGGCATTACTTCAATCTCACGCTACTACTCCTTCAAGATTTAAAATTTTCAGTTAGTTTTGGTTTTGAATTTATTTAATAATCAATCAATAATTAAAAGAAGATTAGTTTCGACGAAACTATTTTGTAACCGCATGTTAAAGAGAATCATGATTGGTATTAGGAAATTGCTACGTCGCATTACGGGCCCAGTATCTATCTACGCCTATCTGTTGTGAAGAAGGTACCAAATTCTCAATTGGTTTACGTGTACGAATCTCTTCGTTCCACTTGGAGAACTTTTTGATTTCATGTCGGTCACTGAACACTAAAAATAGCATTTGCTGATAATAAGTCATCATCACACTACTAGTTAATCAAAAACATTTTGGGAACAACAACCAAAAAAAAAAAAAATCATAGCTCTTTCGAGAATAAACGAGTGAGTTCCAAATACAAAAATTAGAAACAAACAGTGAGTAACAACAATCACTTACTAGTTACTACATACACTAAAAGAAGAAAAAGGGGAATGATTTTTTGTTACCTTTTTGACAGTGTAAAATCAAAATCTCAAGCTTTGAAAAGAATTTCGACGGCTTCAAAGAAGAGAGGAGCGATCTCAGGTGTTGGAGTCTTGACTGCACATTTCAGACCAGGTTGACCCACCATGGCTGTTAGTTCGATCAAGAACGGTATGCCTCTCGGTACCTTGGCTGAAAGATAGAGCACGTCTTGGTTTCCGTTCTTACGCTTTGCTATGAAGAACATGTTTGATGCGGCGAGCAAGTCTAGTGTTGACTCCACGCTCATGATGGTTATCCCGGGGAATTCCTTCTGGACCTCGTTTGAATCTGGTAACGATCTCCATGTCTAATCAAAAAAACAAATGTTTTATAACTCAGAAGAACTGGTGTTTAAGGCTGTGGACTGTGGTATATTGTTATGATCAGAAATCAATATCTTACTTCAACTCTTACTGAATCTAGAAACTTAAATCAATGAAACCATATCCTATGTTAAGATCTAGAGCACCCTAACTCTCCCAGGCTTTTTAAGGCACTAAATCTGTCACTAATAACTCGACCATCTTAATATCATAAGCCCTTTCCACTATTAGTCAAATGACTAACATGCTGTTGTATCGTTAATAAACTCTTAATCATATATTAATCTTTTACCTCGAGGAAGGTTCCGCGTTCCATCCTACCATCTTCTGAGAAAAGAGAGTGAAGTACAATCTTATCCTCGAAGTACCAGACAGGCTGCTGGTTGTTTTTAACGGCAACTTGCAAAACCGAGCTGGTGGGGCCAGCAGACATGTTCTGGGACAATACCATTGGCAACATTGTCCTGGCAGATGCTCCGGGTTGCAGAGGCGGAACCTAAAATGGTACAAAACGTGGACATCAGTTTCAGGAATCCATGATAACTAATAGGCTTGGATGTTAGCATATGCAACTACTATTACCTGGAGAGGTCCGACAGCTGCAAGGCCGAATGAGTTTTTGTTGAACTGAATCATGAAGCCATCAAGAAGTGACTGCGAGTTGTTTTCGAGGAGCATACTGTAGAATACTTGACCATCTTGTCGGGTTAATTGAGCGCTAATCTGCAGACCTTGACCTTTTGATGCTGGCAGGACAACAGGAAGCGGGCGACTGCAATCAATAGTAGGTGATACAGTGAGTTTTATAAACAATAAGGTGGTCCAAATAGATATGATTGAATAAAACCAGTCCGTCGCACACCCCAACTGCGTGAGACTTTTAATGTAATTGTCACCATTCAAACCAAACTCACCCTGACGGAGTTGTGGGTTCATCTACAGGGACGATTGCAGCATTATCTGACCCCATTAGGTCACCAAGCAGATCGGGCACAGGAGCTGGGGCAGCAGCTGGCTTTGGGACATAGCCTGTGGTAGCTGGAGGGGAAGCTGCACCATCAACCGGAATACCAGATGCCTCAGGATATCCTGTTTCGCTCCCTTCAACATAGTCCTCATCTTCCGTTTTCTGAACTGTGGTTTTCAAGCGGGTTACAAAAGCCTCTGGCGGCTTGTGATACACAGAGGACAAGGTGGATATATTTGCAAGTAGCTCATCCAGGAGCGACGGATCAAGTTGGTTTGAGTCGTCAGTAATCACAGGCTTTTCAGCTAAAACAACATCCTTGGCCGCCTATAGTTAAAAGAAGAGCACTGATGACTGTAGGTAAAACACATGATTGTTGCTCATTGTCCAATGTACTTGAACTAGTTGAGTAGGATAAAATATTTAGAAAACATACCTCGGGATCAGTAGATAGAAGACGCCAGTAGATGTATGCACGATCCCTGAGATCAGGATTATCTGTCTCAACAGTAGCATTATTCAAGACAACCTGAAAAATTGAAACATGGCAAACGCCAGGCCTGTTGTCATATACATGCGCTTTAATCAAATATGAGAGCAAAAATTAAACTTCATAATGGTCATGGCAGAACCTGAATCATTTGTTGTGGGCCTTCAGTTGGCTTTTTCAGAAATAGTTTGACTGTAGCTGTAAGAAGCTGCAGCTGGACCTGTGCTGGTTCCTCAGGAAAATTCTCCAAGAAGCTTTCAAGAAGTTCATCCGCATTGTCGATTCTTTCAGCATATTCACCAATGATCCAAATCATAGATGCCTTTCAAGATGCCAACAAATGCAAGTATTAGTTTCACTGATTTAAAATTTATTTGGGATGGGGAAGCTTCCAGCTATTTTACACTACCCAAACGACAAATTTTATTACCTTAGCTTCTGGTTCATCCAATGTGTCTAGACTCTCACAGAGTGTTGCAATTATGGACTCATACCTGGACATTATTTTGAACGGCATAGCCAAGATTAAAGGGAATTACAGCACTTCAAGAAGCCATAATAAAGAAAATTGAAATAAATCAACTTACGTGTTTGGATATCTTCTAAAGATATCTTTGATGACTATAATGGCCTCCTGAACAACATAGTTTACTTTGATCTTGATCAGCTCAAGTAAAACACTGATGCAACGTTCAGCTGCTCTTTCTAGTTTGATGGCACATCGGCCTATTGCACGAACAGCCTTCCGAACAAAATCTACATCTACCTCCGTGGCATATTCTTTGAACTCCAGAAGAACCTACATAGGCATGGTCCAGAAACCATCATGATATGCACCCAAAAAAAATAAGTTGGACAAACGGCAGATGATTAAAGCGTAGTAAGGATTACCTGGTCTATGTTTCTGTCAGAAGCAAGTTTTATCATAATTTCTAACTTCTCCATTTTGACATAAATAGGATCATTATACTTGCAGAAGAACACCTACATGAAAACCATGAAGCATTATCAATAAATATAAGAATTTATCAATTGCATATTTCCGATAGTCTACGAGACAGGATCAAGCTACCTTGATTTCATGGGCAAGAATAGTGGGTCTCTTTTGGACAATAAGGTTAATGTTACGAAGTGCAACATACTGTATCTCAGGTTCTGCAGAAAGCAATGTAACTAGGGGAGGAGCCATCTTCTTGCAAAGATTTCGAATCACATCTGTACTAGTAATAAGCTCCATCTGCTGAAGGATCATCTGGAAAGCTCACGAAGGAAATGAACAGAAGAGGAATAGCATTAGAAAACTATGTAAGGGAATATAGTTGACACTTCACAAACAATTTTAACTGGCGAACAGATGACAATCCAGAGAATTGTTTTATATTAAGTGTCACCTTAACAGCTGAAAGCACAACAGCACAGTTGGCATGTTGCAACCTTGGAGTGACTCTCTCAACAATATTCTCAGCTTCACGAGGATCAGCTGCCTTATACCTCGACAAAGCATCTAATATAAATACTTGACCCCATCTGTGAAGAACACAGACAGTATTACTAAAATTGAAAACTATAAATATGTATCCAACAAAAGCAAGCAAGGAAAAAATAGTCGTTTTATGGATCCCTTTGCCAAACTTCGAAACAATGAGTCCTTTATCTACACAGAAAATCTTCAACTTCAATAACAACAAATACATCCTAAACTGCCACAATTTTAGGTTAGATACAGAATAAAAAGCATAGATAAACTGATGCTTTAACATGAGAAGCAAGTCCGCAACTCAACAGATTATCTTACTGTGAATATTTAGGCTAGCCTGTACGTTCTTTGAAAACAAAGCCTAATGATGATCTGACTAAAATGAGTCAATCAGACACAATCTGAGAGAAAGTAGGATATGGAAATCAGGAACTACTTACTCAGTACATTCATTCAAAGCTGTAAGGAGCTTTGTGAGGGTGGTACTATTGATTTCAAATATGGGACTAGTACTATTCTCTTGTATCTCTGCAAGGGCTGCTACTGCATTTGCTACAACCATTGGATTATTGTCTGATATTAAATCCTTTAAGGCTTCAAGGAACCCCCTATCCTCAACTAATTCAGCATTTATGTCAAACAGTTTAGCAACACAAATAGCTGCTGTCTTGCGGACATATGGATCATCATCCTGAAAATGAAAATTTCAAAAGGCCATGAGATACAGAAATATGCCATCAGTCAAAGATAAAAAGAAAATTGTTGATGGACATAAATATTTGCTACAAGTTGCAGTGACAGGGTAGCATAAAAAAACTCAACCTTTAGGCATTTCTGAAGAGGATCACACAAATATTCTGTGATCTTATCAACACGAATACAGCCCATTGTTCGCACAGCCAAAGCCCGGATCAATGGATTTGGGTCTTGTGAATCCTGCCGAATACAAAGCGAAAGTTTAATAATGATGAGTTTCTTTATTAAATTTTCGTCTCCCAAAATCAGAGAAAGACCAAGAAACTTGCCATATGTTAGGTCTTTTTGTATGGGTAGGCTATATAAAAGTAGCTTAAGTGTTACCTTTACAAAAGTATTAACTGCGAGGATAGCAAGATCCGGCTGGCTTTTTGCATAGTTTATCAGATACAAGTAAACAAGCTTCTTCAACTCCAGATTCTCCGTTTGCATGCAATTGACTACATCAGTGAAAAGTGACGAAACATCCTTTCCAACAGTCATTGCCGCAATAACCTTCTTAACAGCATCTTTCCTCTTATCCTAGGAACATAAAAAAAGAGAAGGAGGTTAGGAAACTGTAGCAAAAACGCATGCCATCATCTTGAATCAGTACCATATACAACCATTGGACCATCTACTCAAAGAATAACTGATCGTCTAACCAATGCATTGATCCAGATTCAAAACTTATGATCCACCAATCTAAACACATCCCCGTATTATCCATTTCTCTGAATTTCATTCCATTTCCACATATCTTCAAATCAACCATTGAACACATAACTATAACATACACAATCATCAATCTTTCCAATTAAAACCAACACTAATCAATTCGTATCCAGAATCATACAGATCTATCAGAAAAATAGTTCTGCAAAATTCAACGAACATGAAAGAGATAAGATTAGAATCGTAAAAATGGCGGATCACAGATCCATATATGAAATGAAACGGAGAAGAAGAACCTTATACTGTGAATTCAGCTCTTCTTTAAGCTCAGGGATCTCTCCCTTCTTCGTAGTCGAAAAGTATTTAGAATCATGACCGCTCATTTCTCCCTTCTTCAACCTCCACACTTCTTCTCCTCCGAGACGATCAGTGACAGAGAGAGAGACGAAGACGCGAAATTGCAAAAACTAATAGGTTGGGGTGTTTTAGTAATTAACAAAAGTAAGAGGTCGTTTTAAAATTAAACTTAATTACAAACTTAACCCTAATAATATTAATATTTCTCGAAATTACCTCGTGACTTCGTCTAGTCAACGCCAGTTGCCATCCAGGGGAGGGGAGAAGAAGAATTTGTATTCACAAGTTGACGGATTCGAGAGAGATGAAGTCAGAAACACGTTTGTGAGAGAAAAGCTTTTAGATGTGACTTTGGATCAGATTCTCAAAGACTTTTTTGCGAAGAGTCTCTGATCCTTAATCGCTTCTCTCTCGCTTGACCTCACTTCGTCGTCGAAAGCAGATCCGTGTGAAAAATGGCGCCGAAACAAGATATGGAGAAGATGGAGCTTCGCAAGAACTTCCGTAATGTTTGGCATACCGATCTCACCCACAGTATCCAGAACGATACTCCTTGTAATTTCTCAGTTTCTCTCTTGAAATGTGTGTTTGATTGGTGTTTTGGGTGTTGTTTTGAACGATTTCTGTGTTGTTGTTGTTGTTGTTCGCAGATTGTTGCTTCGCGTTGTGGTGGTAAGTTAGCTTTTTCGCTCTGTATTTGGAATTTGGATCTTTTTATTTGAATTGACGAAGATTTGACTTTGAAATGACTTCGATTTACATTGTAGACCGGTTTGATTTATGTAGTTATCTGAATTTCACAGATAACACGAGTTTTTTCTCTGATACATCGTTGTAGTTTCTCATCTTCGAGTTTGGTACTATAGAATTTGTAATAGGACTTTGACATTGTATGTCTTTGGGTCTGATATGTTTGGGTCTGATATGTTCCAACACATGGAAATGGGAATGTCTTTTTCTTCTTCTTGCAGTGCCCCTTGTGCATCATACTTGCTTCGCAAGCGTGCACTTTACGATGATATGTCAAGGTATATCACACATTTAGTTACTTTCTTATAGATCCATTCCAATTCCATCTTCTCAGTTTAAAAATATCTTTTTTTTGTATCGCAGGTACGTATGCTGCGCAGGTTACATGCCTTGTAGTGGTAGGTGTGGAGAAACCAAATGTCCTCAACTTTGTCTTGCCACTGAGGTAAGGATCTTGATTTTGCTAGCTATTATCTTCAAATGAAGTCTTTTTTTTTTTTTGTTGGAGAACAAAATGAAGTTTTTTCTATAGACCTAGTTAGTCTAGAAATTTCAGTTTCTGTATCTGAATACTTCCTGTAACATATGCATACAATCTCAGTCATACTTTGGTGTGACTTGTGAGGCAACCTCGAGAACTTTTAGCAAATTTCCGGTCTTCTAAATAGCAGATCAATCGCAGGTCTTCTGCTGCTTTGCAAACTCTGTGGCCTCGACTCGCTTTCTTCTGCAAGATGAGTTCCAAATTCAAACGACAAAATGTGACAACTGCATCATTGTAAGTATCCTCATTGCCCAGACCATGCCTTTTACTGACACTCACAAGCAATTACAAACACGATAAACAAGTTTCGTAATCTGTGCTTTCTTTTTGGCTGTGTAGGGTTTCATGGTTTGCCTCAGCCAAGTGGCTTGCATATTCTCCATAGTTGCATGTATTGTCGGTATTGATGAGCTTTCAGAAGCTTCTCAGTTACTCACATGTTGCTCTGACATGGTGTACTGCACGTAAGAATCCCCCATCCATAGTGTCATTCTTATAAGTTTTGATCAAAACCCAATTTTAACCTATTGTCCTGACATATCGTACTTTTCTTCGTCTGCAGGGTTTGCGCATGTATGCAGGTAAGAGTGATGATATCATATCAACCCCATTACAATCTCTCCCTACTTAAATCCTACACTTACGGGTTCCTGAATAGAATCTAATAATATCTATAATACTTTTGTAGACACAACACAAGATGGAAATGGACAAGAGGGACGGTAAGTTCGGGCCACAGCCAATGGCAGTGCCTCCGGCTCAGCAAATGTCACGGTTTGATCAAGCCATCCCACCTGCAGTCGGTTATCCTCCACAACAAGGTTACCCACCTTCTGGTTATCCTCAACACCCTCCACAAGGTTATCCACAACACCCTCCACAAGGTTATCCACCTTCTGGCTATCCTCAAAACCCTCCTCCATCAGCTTATTCTCAATACCCTCCCGGTGCTTATCCTCCTCCTCCCGCTTACCCAAAGTAATCATCTCTCTTTACCTGTTTTCTCTTCCGATTGGAAAAATCTATTTCATCTCTTTTGATTCACGGCATGTCGTTAATATATATACTGTCTTGTTACGGGTCAAGCCTTGAGCGTTCGCTGATTGTTTTGAGGTCGTTGTTTGTATGAGATGTTGACCTCACATGTTGTTGTCTGAAACGTCCCTCTTGGACTAAGAGATTTCATGAATATTTTTGTTTCCTTTAAATTCTCTCTTTATCGAAAGTACAGAGCTCTTTACAATTCACGATCCGTATATACAGGAAAAACATACTGTCCTGATAAAAGAGGCAGAAGTAATCTTGTGGTTGTTAATCTTTAGATGATCGATAAATTGTATTTGAGAGCATTTCTATGAACCATCATATACTGAGAGAAGAACTAGGGCGGGATCTCAATGAATAAAATTTTAAATAACGTGGCAAGAAATTAAGAGCGGTAAAACAGCCTAAAAAAACTCTAATTTTCTTCCCTTAATAAAAAAATTAATACAAAAAACTAGATTAAGAAAATTACTTAACTTCAGTGACTTCACCTGCTCTACATACACCAACATTGATCCATAACGTATTATTCCTCTTTGTTTGTAATACTCTGCAACAATTCCTCCTAGGTGACTGTACATAAAACACACAAAAACCATTAATCACATATCAACCATATGCAAAAAGTGATAATATGTTACTTACCCTTTCCCATAGATGAGGGTCGGGTTTCTTGTAAACGAGGATGGTGTTAATTTCAGCTGGGTTTGTCATCTTCCATCGGCAAGAAGGATGCGAAACACGGTGTATTGTATATTCGCTAACCGTCGTGTTCAGCTGTTGGTCGAATTTCGTGCTCGACATATAAAACACAAACGGTTTTTGGCATGGATTACGGCTAACTGGCCTGGTGTTAAAGGCGTAAGCAGTGTAATCCGCCCGTTTGTACCAATTCAAAAAGGTTCTAGAAGGCATTTCCATTTCCCGGGGAGAGAAAATTCCGCGGAATATTTGTACCGCGTAGCCCCAGGAGACTGAGATGGTCCAGCTCTTGTGCTTGTCGTAGCATATCGACTGCTGGAGAAGCCCGGCTGAGTCAAGCTTCATAGGTTGGGTTAGCTTCTTTAGAGCACGGACACGTGTCATATTCGGGAAGATCGGTTCCACCACGTCGAGGTGGTGCATTGAGACGAACGGTGTTACTGGGTGTGCAGCTAGAAGGCCAAAGAGGTTCCCGTAAACGTCGTACTGAAACGAAGAAACAGAACCAAAAAAAAACTCAAGATGTTACAAGGGACGTGGATATCACGCGCTATTTTGGCGCGTAAGGAAAAGAGAGGAACGAGTCATTAATTGTAAAAAAACAGAAAAGCGGGTCCCACTCATTACAATTAGCAATTGAGCTACTCACGCGCCGATTTGTCGGTACCAACCCACAGGAAATTTTTTGCCAAAATAGCATCCAAACAAAAATCAGAACAAAGAGACGAAATTGAAGTCATGAACCACCAGCTTGAGATTTTAAACAGAAGCTTTCTTTGAAGAACATTAAAACATTGAATGCTTATAGCTTCAAACTTTGAAAGTTTGGTACTAAAGCCATTCCTCCTAAAACTAGAAACAACAAAAAAACAGAACAAAGAAGCTTTTCTTAGAAGAACATTAAAACATTGAATGCTTAAATTTTGAATGTTTGGTATTAAAGTCATCCCTCCTAAAACTAGAAGCAAAACTCTAAAAGTCTTAAACTTTGTTGAGTAGATTCCATTCCCAAAGTTCACTAATTGATTGAAACCCATCTACTTCCATCTAACACCAATACTTTCAACACCCAATGTCACAAAATCATTAAAAACACCAATTTTGCCACCAATCACCAAACTTGCTTATACATTCTACACTTAAAACAAAAAAAGTACACCAATCCAATATATCAAATTTATTCTCTAGACTCAACATCATCAGTTCTCACTTAATCAACTCCTCAAGAATCTCAAATTCCATTCTCACACAACACCAGCAATTACTACCTATTTTTTGCCCAAATTATCAGAAAAAACAACACGGGTCAAGTTCTTACCTGGTGAAATCCGAGTTCTTTAGTAAGTGGAACTCCAAGTTCAGCCATACAAGCTTGCATGCGATCATCTGATCCATACAATGCAGGATACCTCTGTATACACCGATCTTGCATCTTACTCAAAGCTTTAGCCAATGGATAACTTATAGCAAACCCACCTCCACCATAAGCCATACCATACGAGAAAAATATGTTCTGTAAATGAGATTCCGACAAACTCCCAATGTAATACATCTGCTCATGGTCATACTTCCTCAACACCCTAATCAAATTATCAGTAACAAACACAGTATCATCATCACCCATCACGAACCACCTCACATTCTTCGGACCTAAACGCAGCGTTTCAGAAACAATCCTCGAGATCCGTAACGCCGAACGTTGTCCTTGTTTGTTAGTATAAGGAAAAGAAGCAGTTCCGCCGGAGATTTTCACCGGCGGAAGAAGCTTCTCGTCGTCGTCATCATCACTAACGCTCTTTTTCACCTCTTTATCTAACCAAACGTAGCCACGCATGTGTTTTGGTTTATACCAGATCTTGATATACTCTTTCCTCTGTTTCCATAGCTTAGACGACGCAGCGATCCCAAACACCACGTGGTTAAGATCCGTCAGCTTATCCACCACCGTGTCTTCTTCTTCTTCCTCCCATTCTCTCCGCCGTGAAGCTAAGGTGGTGGATAAAGACGAGACATTTGAAGAGACGTTTGTGGAGAGAGCAGAGACGGTGGTGAGAGAAATGGAATCGTCACAGGAACGTGAGGTAGAGACAAGCTTAAGCATGTAGATAATGTAAGTGAAGACAATGAAGCAGATTAGCCAAACCATAAGTTTTGGACCGGGTCGGGTTAAAGACCACATTCCGGGTATAGATGTACTTGATGAGCTCCGATCCCATATCGGTTTTTTCCGACGAATCTTTCTGGTTTCCTTTCATCCAAATTTTGCTTCTTTTTTTTCGTTCCAAATTACAGAAAAAAATATCCAAAATTTGTGAAAACAAACCCTAGTTCTGTTTGAAATCAGGGGAGAAACAGGAAACAGTGTGTCTGTGTAGCTCTTGATTCGTAACCCGGGAGAGAACGAACCGAAAAAAATGGATCTTTCTTGCAACAATAAAGAAAGATCAATGAGAAATGAGACTGTTGATGCCAGAGAAATCGAGGGAAAATTAGAGAAATTAAGGGAAAGACAAAGTTTTTTTTTTTTTTTTTGGCTTCGCTTTGGGCAGAGAGAGAGAGATGGAAGACAGTCAGATTAAAGGTGAGAGAGAACGCAATACTCTCCCACTAGAAAGTAGAAACTCCATTAAACGAGAAAATAAATAAATAAAAGAACAGAAAAAGTGTAAAAATAAAAATAAAAATGGGGTTGTTGTCATTGTTTTGTTTGTTTATAATTTTAGTTTTATATAATTAATTACTTGTTGAAAAATATAAATAAATATCACAGTCTATTTTTTGTTCTTCAAAAATATCACAATCTATTAAAAAACAAATTTTCAAGCTTTTTGGTGTTACCGTGAAACAAAAAAAGTTATGTGTTTTTTAAGATGAAAGTGAAGAAGCATCATAAAAAAAGACGAGCGGTCGGATCAATGAATGTGTATGGGTCCTACTTTTCCTCGTTCTTCCACGTGGGCCATTCGAAACTATCTACGTGTCATTTTCTGTCCTAAATTCAAAAGCTAAAAAAAGCTACGTCGTTTCGTAGGCTCGTTCGTTTTCCCAGCAAACTGGCTATGACCATTGGCTTCATCATTTGTTTCCGTGGTGGTACTGTTTATCGTTCTATGCTTTTAACATTTTAAGTTCAAATCTAGTTTTGTTAGATTCGAGTCAGTCCACGTGTTTGTGTATATTTATTTCAACCTAGATTTGATTCTTTTTGTGGAAATATTAATGGGTTTTAGATTTTGTCATTAGAATTTTTGGACATATGGAAGATTGGAAATCTAATTTTAGACTTACTCATATGTATTGATTAAAAAGACTATAGATGCTCATATTTATACATAGAAATTCAACACTATTACCCATTTATGATCAATGCAATCTTTACTAATGCATGTATTAGCATATTTTTGGTAAAACATCCCTTAATACTTTATACATTTTCAATTTTATATCCTTTGGAAAGTCATGTTATTGATTGTGAATATTATGAATTTAATCAATTAACTTTGGTTCAAACAAATTATTAATTTCTTTAGTTGCCTACTTCTAAGAAAAATCCATTTGAGGAAAAAAAAAAAAAATCCATTTTGGATGTATTAGTACAAAGTCAACTTAGATGTATATTACATAAATAAAATTTATTTTGTCAAGTACTTATATATAGAATATAATTTACTATAGTTAGAAATTGTAAAAATAAAAGTTGAACTATTGGAGAAAAATGGTGGACAGATATGAAACTAGAGCAATGATTAGTTTGTTGCTGTTGGAGAAGGTGATAGATAATTGTAACCACTACTACTATTTTGGTGTTTGACATTTGTAATACGTGATATAAAAGTGTATAGTTGGATTTGGTAGATTTTTTGTTGTAAACTCAATGAGTCCAGATGAATAAGATTAATAAGAAAACGAATCCAATGTCAAAACTTCTTCTATAACCAACAAAATACAAATTCTTAAGAAAACGATGGGACTCTATTGTTTTGTTTTGAATTTAATAACTATGACTAAATAAGATAAATGAGAGGGATTTGCCCACATTAAATATTGCATTACATTCTCCTTTGGATTATTGAATAATACTGTTTCTGTCCTCTGCTTAATTGGTTTAATCTTAAAACAGAATTATGAATAAAATAATAAAAAAAGCTGCATATATACCTGCTCTATATTCTCTAATTATTATATTTGGAGATCTTTGGTCCCAGCATTAGGGCAATTGCACAGGGATATCATATTCTATGTCCACTTTATATGATTTGGTTTTTTTTTTTTTTTATCGTCTGGATTTATTATTTATCTGCATTGGACCATCTGAGGCCACGTTCTTAACATTAAAATAATAAGAAAAGTTAGAACAGTTGGCTTGGATCATCTTGGATAGTTCTTGAGCAAGATCTGTTTAAGCATTGTTCTTCTCCCCACAAGATCTTTTACATTATTTTAATACTTTATTTAACAACTTTTATTATTTTAAAAACCTTTAGAACACATGTCATGTTATACATACTTATGGTCTTAGGGCAATTGCACAGGGATATCATATTCTATGTCCACTTTATATGATTTGGTTTATAAAATGGTTCATTACTGCTTTGCTATTTCATATTTTTTTATATAAAAAAAAACACTTGGGTTATTGTTTGATGGACCTGAATTAGGCCAAAGCCCATTAGCTTTTGATGAAACACTAAGCTCATTATCTAACTTAAGTATTCTCAAACGCTGTCGTTCTGAATTCTCTTCATTTGATGAGAGTTTGAGAACACAGAATCATTCAAATTGTAAAACCATGACTCAATTCTTATAGTGTTTAAGATAATAGAGAGATTGTTGGTCTCTGGTCCATACATCTTACCAAATCTAAATGTAGTGATACTAATGTTCTTGTTTTATGTGTATGCGTGTATTGAATATGGACCGCTGATGATGCATAAACAATGTAATACTCATCTTCAGTGTACATAAAATTGGTCGAGAACACTAGCCAAATGAACCATATCAGTTACTTACTAGATGCATATAAAGTACATTACTGCAAAACTCATTTGATTAAACATGTAATTCACATAGCACTCATGAAGCTCAGAAAAAACAAAAAAAAACAAATGATCTACTTAATATAAACAACATCAAACTTTTATTCTCAAAAGGTTCTGCTAAAGACTCAGTTATTTATCTATCAGAGAAGATTTCAGAAATTCTGTTAAAGAAAACTTTGGCAGACATCTCATGAGCAACTAGCCGTCTTCATCGCGACTAGACCATGATTGAAGCAGGGAATACACAAGCACTGGACCAACAAATGGTGAAAATGGCGGTGGTCTACTAAAGGCAACCATAGGCTCTACCGTTTCCTCCATCTTCTTCATTGTTTCGCTTTCATTATTGTACCCGTTCACAGGTTTCTTCGGTACAATGGTTCTCACCACTTTACCTGCTTCTCATTAAACAGAGTCACTCTTTTCGTTTTCTTCCTAATTATGACAACGAAGTCATATGAAACTGTGGAGGATTTTGATACAAGAGTTATACCGTTTGATCCTGAGACCGTGAAGATCGGTTTGAGCTTCTCTATCAGAGCAGGAAAACGTCGCATGAGGTTAGGATCTACGTTGGTCTCTCTCTATAGCTTGTGAATGTCATCAAGGGAACAAGAACAATTAGGTTAATATATCAGATCTCTTTGCAATATATGAGTAACTCTAAACCATCAACACTAAATCAATGATTATTCGTAAAAAACAAGGAACTGAATGAACGTGATAAATATATTTGTCTGAGTCTCAGTTTTAAATTCTGATCAAGAACTTCAAGAATCAATAGTATCAAATGAGAAAACAGAGATTTAACGTACAAGAGTAAGATGGAGATAATTACCAGATTTCAAAAACTGAGCAAAATCAAACGAGTGTCGCGATTTCTTCTTTCGCAAGAGATTTTTCTTCAGTGAAGACTGATCGCAGATTTGTTTTAGTTGTGGATAATTTCAATGGCAAAGGAAGGTTTGAGAAGGTCCGGGACTCTTGGTTTAATTACTAAATTTTATAAAACAGACTCGCACTTTTTCATTATTTCTTATTTGCCCCATATTAAATATATATTTTCATACAGGTCCAGTTATATAGTCCATTGATTTTGCTGGTTTGCTTCTTTGATAAATACATTGGTACCAAAATTTGTTATTCTTAAACAACATGTATTAAACGTGGTACAACATGTAAGTATTTATGATTGAAAAAAAACATCGAAATTTAAACAAGTGTAATTTTAAAATTATATTTTTTTCGATTTTATAAAATTTAACAAACATGGTGATCTAATAAAGTAATAAGTAAAAATTTGTTTTGTTAGTCGGGATAAGAGAACAAGCATCATATAGTGCTGTGTTTCTATATTTGGTATTGTAAATATTTTAATTGACAATAAAATTAAATCGTTAAATACTTTGTTTTTTTGTTTTTCTTTTTGTTAATATCTAGGTTTCACGAATTATTATCCGAGTTACATAATGTATACCCATGTGCAAAGGAAGAAGCTTCACTTGTCGAATTATTAATGAGTGAAGAAACTTCACTTGATCACGTAATGCAAGGACAAATCAATTAATGTCCAATGTTCAATACTTTTATATATTGCTGAAAATATCGACTAGAAAGTAGAAACCCTTTGTTCCACAAGTTGATCAAAAGTAATTAACTGCAAACTCAAAACACACATTTCCATTCGTAAACATAAATAACTGATGTGTAGAGGATCTAGATAAGGATCTCTACATTACATTACGTATGATATAATATAGTAAAAAGCCTCACTAGAGAGATACAAACCCTAGTTTTTAACTTCATTTTCATTGCTTTACTTATCTCCGAACAAGTATCCTAGAGATGAGCCTCCACCAGGAACCGATTTCACCTTCGTCGTTGGACGATCCTGAAGTTTTAATTATAAACCTTTTTGTTTTCTTTTTGAAAAGCAGAAACTAGAGTTTAATTAATCAAAGAATAAGAAGAAAGATAAAGACTTACGGTGACGAAGTTGCCGGAGTTTTGGCCCTGAGCTCTTTGGTAGTTGTTGTTGTTAGAGATCTTGGGCTTTTGGTCAGCTTCATTGTCCTCGGTGGAATCTACGCCGTACGGTGGTGCAGGCTTTGGGGCCACCGGTGGAGGCGTTTTTGGAATCTCATTGTCTGACCCAAAAAGATAACCTAACGAGCTTTGTCCGCCTCCAAAGCTCCCACCTCGGCTCATTGTCTGATTGAGAGATAGATTATTAAATGCCAACCAAACCCTAATTAATTAGCAGACTTGTTTTGTACGACAGCTTAATCAGACAACGCTACTAAACAATATATTAATGTAAGACAGAGAAGCTTAAATAGAGGTGGTGGTAGAGATTGTAGACGATATATAGCGTAAGTGGTATAATCTCGTAAATACATTAACTCAATTATCTAAATAGAGATGGCAGTAGAGAATTGTAAGAGTTATAATCTCGTAATTAATTTAAATTTACAAATTTGTTATATATTTTTACGTTAATATATAACCTAATTACCTAAACCATGCATGAACTTTCAATTTTTATAATTTTCAACTAAGTACTAATTAAATATCTCTCTAAACACACAGTTAAAAAGAAATATGATGAAAGAATCTTTGAAAATCTTTTACAAATCACAATAGAGTAATTATCAAAATATTTACAAATATCATAAAATAATTATCAAAATAACACATTTTATATTCCATCTTCCAAAATTACCATCAAAATCCTAAAATTTAAAAAAGTTCCTCAAGTTTTAGGTTTAGCAAGTCATAAACCTAGTACATCTTGTATTTTAAATATTATAACCAATAGCATCAAATTTCAGAAGAATTTTTAAACATTCATAATTCTTTAACAAAAGATTTGTGTTCAGTGCAATATATTAAGGTTTTTAATTGAATTCATGGATAGTTTTAGTCGATGAAATATTCTTAGCTTTTGGTTGAATTCTGTTTTTAATACTTGATGTTTAAGGTTTTGCATACAGATTAAAAATTATATAAGTTTTTGTTTATTTCTAACCTAAAATATTATTTATTATCTATGTAAACATGATTCAACCAATTATAAATCAATTTCTAAAAACTAACTAGTTTTGTATTGAAAGTTACAAACATCATCTAATTTTGAACAAATATTTTTTCCTAAAACATCTAATATAAAAAACCAAGGGAATATCATTTTAGATAACTCGTTTGCAAATGATTACAGTTGAGCAGACGAGTTATAGGCTATAAATAAATCCTTCATCTATCTTAATCGACAGACCCAGGTGGGTTGGGCCGAACCTTTATTAAATTATTTAATTTTCATGTCAGTCTTTTTATCATTTAGTGAAGGGACTAGAAAAATAAAGTATCGTAAATAGTGGGGTTAAATCGAAGAGTACTGTGATTGAAACTAAAAGAAAAATGAAATTCCCTTGTTTCTCTCTAAATAGGAAATGGCTAACTAAAGATAAATTACTAACAAAAATGACATTTCCAGATTTTCTCTAAATGGGAAAAGTCTAACTAAAGAAAACTTCCTAAATATATTTGTACTAAACCATCATTTCTTATTAGGACCTTCATTGTTTGTTTTAATGATTATGTTTGGGTTTATTGTTCAGATTCTGTTTGTAAATCAGTAAATATACATAATTATCGTTTTATCTTTTAAATCGTTCATTTCAAACTATCCCGTTCGGCTTTATCAACATATTTGATTGAAAATTCGAGGAGGTTCACAACCACTCACCTCCTATGCTTCCAAATATCCAATCATAAATATCATATACTAAAACCAGAGAAGTATCAATATGTATTAAAAAGTTATATAAATATCTTCAACTCTAGACGGCTCATAGCAATCTAGAAAAGCAACTAAAAACCATTCGCATAAGATTAACAAAAAAAGTCAGTACAAAGTAGTATAAGTTTTGTCCACTAGAATTAGTTGGGTGGGGAGGGCACTGGTAGGACAACTATAGACAATAGGATTGAGCCATTCCATTAACTACATTATTAATATGTTAATCTATTTTGATAATTTACATTTTGTAGGTAGATTATGTACTAAATTACACCTAATTAATCTTTATTAAAGCAACTTTAACTACCTAATCACTCTGTTTCAAATCAAGTCAAACCATATATCATGTCATACTAGATTTTTAGATTATTTTGAATGCAAATGAATGGAGCTAATGTCCAGAGTGTTCGACTGTTCAATAGTCTTTGCAGAGGCATTTGCAATTGTCAACCGACATCAATGTTTTCAGAAAATTGGGTGAATATCTCTAGTTGTTTTTTTTTTTTTTTTTGTGAAACTAATATCTAGTTTGTTATCTTGTCAGTTTCAGAAACTTATGATTATATGATTCGTGAAGTAGTATATATTCGTCGTAAATGAATCTATATCCATTGTGTTGGTCTCCCATTGGTCTCTTTGGTTTATTATTCTCAAAAAGTATTTATGTATTTGGATCTCTTGTAAACGTGGTTATGGCTTTATATCCGATTTTTTTTTATAATTTCCGGTTTCGTCAGTTTTGTTTATGGAAAAACTGCCGCTTATATTTTTCACCGAAAATTTTAATAAAACTAAAAAAAATTGTACAGAGCTGTTCAAATCTTTTTAAAAAAACAAAAACAAAGAGAAACATGAATTGAATTTACATAAAAATGTAATATTTCTATATAAATATTCAAGTTGGATTACGCTAGGACATTTTATAATCAACTCCAACATGGTTGAGCAGATGAGACGTGATGTTGATCGGAAACATTCAAGGGCAACCATGCTGCAGTCGATCTTATAATGTCAAAACATTCAAATACTAATTTGATTTCAATATGATTTTGCAAACGGACTAGCAAAACTGGGCCTTACTTTTTTTTTAACTCAGTGTGGCCTAACATTATAATTGTTGGGTCGGACGAGCCTTTCACTAAATCGGTCCATGTAAAATCCTTATCCAATTTTTTGGTATAATTTTATATCTTTGTTTTATTGCAAAAACATTTCACATTTAGATTTTTTTTTTGGGGCAACACATTTCACATTTTAGATTAGAAAACAGTTTACAATCACCTCAGGTTTATTTTTTTGCAATGCAAAAATGTGGAAAATAGAAATTATATTTGAAGCAAGTAACTCATTCTTTACAACTTACGAGGAGAAAAAAAGGAGAAGGAAAAACCAGTTTCGAGCTAAGTTTGGCATAATAGATTATTTTTTATTTTTTGGGGTCAATTATTTAAGAGTACAATATTAAAATAGTTCTATCTCTTTATCTCTCGTGCACTCCACCACTATCGATCAAAATGCTTGGTCGGTTGCTTCGAAATTTCCCGTGACTTGTGAATTTCCCTTTTCCCAATTATTATTACAACAACAACCCCACTTTCGTTATACAAAATAATACATTTTCCACCAAAGAATCAAGATTCTCTATATTTTTTTTTAAATGTTACATTATTCCATTATATTTATATGTTATAGTTCCATTTTGTTTGTTGTGTACGATATGCAAGTATAGACCATATAACAAAAGGAAGAAAAATACAAACAAAATGATGAAAATTACTTAAAGAAACGTAAACTCTTTAAAAGGTTGTTGAAAATGTCAAGCAATTTCAATAGCCGTGCACTATACAATATGTAAAAGGTAAAGATGAAGCATGTTGATATTTCCGTTAGTTGTACCTTTTAACAAAACAGAAAATACTACTATACTTATTCTTGCATATGATGAATCTATGACGAAAGATAAGATAACTACAAACAAATAGAAATAAAAATAAATTGTAAGAAGTGGGAGAAGATATATCATGGGTAATGGGTTCATGCCATATTGCCATTGCTGAGGCTAGCTCACGGATAATGGGCAGAGTAATCGTGGCGTGCAAGCCGACATAAAAAGCACACATCATTAGTTTGTATCACATACGGTCCCTTTTCAGACAATACTTATCCCACTTCGAAAATTTATTTTCTCATTTATCAGCTTAATCCATCTCAATTCTATTTGATTAAATGTTTTATAATAAGGCATGAAGTGTATATGAACTCGAATTTAGTAGAGCTGGCATAATTAAACGATCACACTTGACTGATTCTGTATTATTGTCAATTAGTGGGGAGATATACGCTGGTGGTTCTTCTTATGGTGATGGGTCGTATGAGATCGAATGATTAAAGGTACATTGCAGAGATAGAAGCACTAGCCAAGTCTCATTACCAATTGAGAAGATTTGTCAATTTTTTTCTTTTTACTTTTGAATCATAATATAACTTGAGAAGATTTTTGTTATCCATTTATAAATTTTCTTTTTCAAAAATCATAATAGATATATAAATATATTATTTTTAGATAGCTTGTTAACATTTTTAATTTATCCAATCATACTCTTTATGCAAATTAACCGGGTTTCTAATAAATCGGCCACCTTCTTTCTTTAAATAGATCCCATCTTCTCTTGCTCTCCAATCCCACAGGCCTCCATGATCCTCCATACCAAAAAGCTTGAATGCTGTAAAGTTTTGATAGTGTCTATAGTTAGGACCTTGTTTCAAAGTACACATAAACCGTGTTGTACCCCAAAAGTTAGTGCCAAAATAATCTAAAAAATGCCCTCCGATTGGTATTATATGTGGACCTAAAACATCATCTTTGGAATAACATCTCATCCAAAGGAGTTTTTTGAATTTGAGTTCGTTCGCGATCCTGATTCCGGCTCCCGATACATGGCCAAGCATGCAAAGGCTAAAAACAAATAGAAAGACTGACAGGTTTTTCATTTATTTTTTAGTTTTTGGTAGTGTTTAGATCTTTGGGTTTGTTAACTTGGTTTTTGTGTTTCTGGTATTATATATATACACACACATTTGTATTACTATTATTGGCACACGATTTCTTTCGGTATTAGTTTCCAAGTTTCAACATATATGACATAAAATATTACATAATTACATGTGAAGATATCTTATAATAATCATATTGTGGATAATACTGGAAAGATTATCAATCAACCAATTGTGCATAATCAATTGATAATACTGGCAGATCAAAGTAATTAAATGATAATTGTATTTTTTTATATTAGGAAACAAAAATCTCAACATATATAATACTATACTGATGTGTTTGTAATATTATTGCATTTATAGCAATATTTTATTAAAATTTCAACCACATCAATGTAGATCAAACATAATCAATTATTATTAATAAAACAAAGGAAATATGTACAAATGTTAAGTGGAACTAGGCAAAGCTAGAGAAACAGAGCAACCAACGAAACAGAGCCTTTAACAACTATTGGATCACATTATAGTTTCTCAATTCC